AAACATTTGGTATGGTCACAAATGTGTCAATGTTCTGTGCTATAAACTCAACAGGTTAGTAATATGTTATAATTTATCTGTCTCTTTATATAGAATGTTATAGTTTATTTTTCTCCTTATAGAGAATGTATTAGTTTATCTTTCTCTGTCGATAGAATGTTATATTTTATTTTGCCCTGTCAATAAAATGTAATAGATTATCTTTTTCTGTCAATAAAATGTAATAGTTTATCTTTCTCTGTCAATAAAGTGTAATAGTTTATCTTTCTCAGTCAATAAAGTGTAATATTTTATTTTTCTCTGTCAATAAAATGTAATATTTTATCTTTCTCTGTAATCTAACCGTGAAGTATCTGTACAAAAATTATGCATCGAACCACAGCGAGTGTAAAAAAAAAAACCACAAGGTAGCAACCACTAATGTCAAGGTCAGGTAGGAAACACCAAGGTCAAGGTCTCAGACCGAGATTTCAAACTCCGGCTCCTGCGACGAGCGGTGGGTGTAGTCGCTGTACCGTGGTGGCTGGGTGCCGGGAGGATTCGAACCCTGAACTTTGGACGAGCCGGCAGCGTGATGGTGGGTGGATAAGATATTCTGTCGCTGGGTCGGCTGGATGACTGGATAACTCTGTAATGGATACTCCGTGTAGCTTGGTGGTGGATAATTCAAATGTTGAACGTGTTGTGGGTACAGTGGATAGGGCGGTCCCTGGGAGAAGCTTTGTGGTATAACAGCAATCCCTGGGGACAGTTTAACATATTATGTATTCATACACCCAACAGTTTAACATATTATGTATACATAAACTAAACAGTTTAACATATTATGTATACATACACTCAACAGTTTAACATATTATGTACACATACACATAACAGTTTAACATATTATGTATACATACACTTATACCTATATGATCATTTTAACATATTATGTATACATACACTTATACCTTTATTAATAGTTTAACATTATGTATACATACACATGTACCTATATTAACAGTTTAACATACTAAGTATACATACACGTATACCTATACTTATAGACACAAATAATTATGTATGCTCTATATATAAATTACTTTTGTTGGCATTTAACTTATTGATTGTTGTCGCTACCCTTGACAAGACAGTCGTTAAAAAATAACGTTAAAATTGTTTTATAAATATTGTAAGGGCGGTAAGCAGCACAAAATATATTTGACTCTGAAACTGTGTCAATTATCACCCGTGACCGTTCTTTACCTTTGAAATTTACTGGCGTATGTAATTTTATCATGTCATATTTATTTGCGTGTTCCGTGTATCTAAATTTATAACATTGAATTATTTTAAAAATAATTGACTGTTTTTAAACTAAGCACATTGGTCTAAATAGCTTAAAAACAAATAGTAAAACATCTATACTAAAACAACTATGAGTTTGAATATTTTGACTGACTTGGTTGTCGTTGTCTCCTCTGTCCTGTTCCCGCCAGACGACAACATCGCCAGAAGATCAGGAGAACACCAACAAGGAGCAGCAGGCCAAACAGGACACACAGACCCACGGCCAGACCCACTCGACTCTGTGGAGGGGGACACATAGGTTGGTCAGTTAGACAAACAGGACACACAGACCCACGGCCAGACCCACACGACTCTGTGGAGGGGGACACATAGGTTGGTCAGTTAGACAAACAGGACACACAGGTTGGTCAGTTAGACAAACAGGACACACAGACCCACGGCCAGACCCACTCGACTCTGTGGAGGGGGACACATAGGTTGGTCAGTTAGACAAACAGGACACACAGACCCACGGCCAGACCCACACGACTCTGTGGAGGGGGACACACAAGTTGGTCAGTTAGACAAACAGGACACACAGGTTGGTCAGTTAGACAAACAGGACACACAGACCCACGGCAAGACCCACTCGACTCTGTGGAGGGGGACACATAGGTTGGTCAGTTAGACAAACAGGACACACAAGTTGGTCAGTTAGACAAACAGGACACACAGACCCACGGCCAGACCCACTCGACTCTGTGGAGGGGGACACATAGGTTGGTCAGTTAGACAAACAGGACACACAAGTTAGTCAGTTAGACAAACAGGACACACAGACCCACGGCCAGACCCACTCGACTCTGTAGAGGGGGACACATAGGTTGGCCAGTTAGACAAACAGGACACACAGGTTGGTCAGTTAGACAAACAGGACACACAGACCCACGGCAAGACCCGCTCGACTCTGTGGAGGGGGACACATAGGTTGGTCAGTTAGACAAACAGGACACACAGACCCACTTGACTCTGTGGAGGGGGACACACAAGTTGGCCAGTTAGTTAGACAAGACACATAGGTTGGCAAGTTAGACAAGACACACAAGTTGGCCAGTTGGTTAGACAGGACACACAAATTGGCCAGTTGGTTAGACAGGACACACAAGTTGGCAAGTTGGTTAGACAGGACACACAAGTTGGCCAGTTGGTTAGACAGGACACACAAGTTGGCCACTTAGACAATACACACAAGTTGGCCAGTTAGTTAGACATGACACATAAATAAATTGGCCAGTTAAACAAGACACACAAGTAGGCCATAGGACGTTAGCAAAACAAGACACACAATTAGGCCAGTAGCTGAACAAGACACAGAAACTGGTCATTTGCCGTTTTATTTTTAAAGAAAACGCGCAAGTTGGCCATATGCTATCTCTTCAATTATCTTATTACGATGAAATAAAAGTATGGTGCTAAGTCAGAGGGTGTTAGATCTAAGTAATTAGGGAAATGGATTTTTCCTCAGCCTATGTCTAACAATGGACTGTTCCAGAGATAGATAAAATCAGAATTACTGGCTCGAACTAGAAATAAAAATGGCGGTGTTAGTACTTGGTTTAGGGGTAAGGTTTGGTTTGCTATGAGAAAGTTATATGACATTCATAATTTGTACGTCACGATTTAATGCGTATCACTTGACATTTTTTTTTACTGTATTAAACTTCATTATATAATTACTAAATATTTAATAATTAGTCTATGATTATATAATAAACTATCACATTTGGGGAATAAAGACCTTTCTTGGTTATTTATAGTACAGGTGTAGCTAGACTAATCATTACCTGGCGTGCCATCAATGCGATGAGATATTTGTGGGCACTTTCTTAATCCTCGGCTAGACCCTAGAATAATAAGCTCTTTGAGAAAATCATCGGAACTTACATAGAACTACAATAGGAGCAATGCAAATATGCTGTAGCACTACTTTAAAACTACTGAGGATTTATCTAGGACCACTGAACACGGTAAAAGGACAAATATACCTAGAACAAACGCTAATTAGTAGTAGTTACTGCTAATTCTAACGACTCACACAGCTGGTGCGGGAGAGGGGAAGATATGTGCTCTTTATCTCAAATTCACTTTTATAAAACATGATCACATCAATTTAATAAATAAATAAATAAGTTATATATATATATATATATATATATATATATATATATATATATATATATATATATATATATATATATATATATATATGATATATATATATATATATATATATATATATATATATATAGAGAGAGAGAGAGAGAGAGAGAGAGAGAGAGAGAGAGAGAGAGAGAGAGAGGTAGGTAGACATACATTTATGTATGTATGTATATATATATATATATATATATATATATATATATATATATATATATATATATATATATATATATATATATATATATACATTTATGTATATACTTAAGATACAAAAAAACTCTTACTTGGTTATGCTGGTATATGTAAGTCATGCTCACTTTACTAGCTACTCACAGTGCAGGAGCTGATCAACGTGCGACACGTGATCCGCGTGTTTACATTCTATTTTTAGTAGCATAACAAATGACGTTTTCGTTTTCTTTCCATTCACCGGTATGTAAGGGAAGTAACAGCGTATGTCAATAATTAGTCCATTGGTAGCGATTGCAGCCCTTTGATTGGCGGCTGAAAGGATCTTTAGTTGTGATTTGTTTGTTTGAAGTTGTGTTCGTGTCAGGAAGGATCAGTTAAGCAGGTAAATAAATAGATTGTGATGTAGGACTTTGAACGCCAGGTGTGTATTTGCAGCGTGTACACACTAAACTGCTTACATCTGCTGTGTCACCCGACACACAAACACGCACAACACACTTGCGTAACACAGAGAGCATACACACATACACACCGCGTCTGATCTACTGCTACTTCAATGTGTTTTGTTACTTTTCTCTTACATAGTTGCATTTATTACAAAAAGGGCAGTTACATCGATCTGTTGTTTACCTTTTTGTACTCAGCTTTCTCCTCTCCCTATTTTTCCTTTTTTTTTCACCCCTCTCCCCCCCCCCACCCCCACCTACTCCGCAACGCGAATAACCTGAATCACCCATAGGTATAAAAAAAAAGGTGTTAGAACACCTAAAGAAACTACTGACGTGAGCGAATTGCACTATGATTGCCTCTTTATTTTTTAATGTATTTACGTGATCTTTGAACACCTTTTTTAAAATCACATGAGACTAAATATTCACATTAAATGGCTTGCGTCAAAGACGTATTGAAAATGCTAAAAACATTAACTTGGAACTCACTTGTATTTCAGAGTTTTTATTGCTTCAAAAAACACATTAATGGCATTTTATAAAGCAACTTTTGAATAAATAAATAAAAACAAGCAATTTAAAATGTTTAATCGAGAAATATTGTAAATAATAATTGTAAATAATAGAGGTATTTGCACTGAGATTTTTTTCCGAGATATTTTGTCCATGAGACTCTTTGTCCTGAGATATTTTGTCCGAGATTGTGTGCGTTAAGATACTTAGCGGTTGAAATGTTTTTTCTCAGATATTTTTGTCAAGGAACTATATACATATGTACATATCTATAAGATTATTCCTATATATTTATATACCTACATATACCTATATATATATATATATATATGTATATATATATATATATATATATATATATATATATATATATATATATATATATATATATATATATATATATATATACATGTAAATATGTTTATTTGTGCATGGATCTCCACCCCGACGCCAACTCAATTATCAACAACAAAAGAAAAAACATGTTTAGATACATTAGCAATAAATAGACTATACAGCTAACTATAATGTTTGAGAATTTCAATTTTTTTTTGCCTTAGACATGTAATTTAAAGCGTCACTTTATCTTGCCATGTTAGCTTTAGTAGTACAGTTTTCACCATCGGCTTGTGAGGACCGATACAGATTTACAATAGTCATACTTCTTTCTGACATGTACTTACATTAATTTAATATGGTTTACTTATACCTAATACAAAACATCTAATTACATTTTATTTTTAAACCTGAAAATGCAAATGTGTAATTAAAAGGTGATTCAATCTTCAGTAAGAAAACACTTTGAAATAACCAACGGTTAAAATCAGCTCTCGTTCACGTACATGATTTGTACCATTGTCTTTACATCCATTACCATGTCAACAACAATACATCATTGTGCGCGTAACGTGCAGTGCGGTGATTAGGATTCTCATTGTCTGAACCAACTCAACTGATGTATAAGTAGACTCATTGAAAGTTTAGCCAAGTGCTGAATAAATAAAATGTCGATTTCATGTTATCTAAGTTTAAAATAATGAAACTCGCTTTCGCGTCCTGTTCGTAGATGAATATCTCTTCATTAAGAGTTATCCTTCCTGTGAAGGGCGTTGGTTCTCCTGTTAAGTTTTGTTAAGTGTGTTTTGGAGTTATCTCTCTTGCCCAAAATTGTTACAGCTGTTGTTTATGATTGAGAAGGAATTTTTTAATCGTATGATCTGGAGTTAAACGGCTTAGTTAAAGTGATCTTTATTTAATGTTGTGAGCTTCATCAGTGTCGCTAGTCGTTAAGGTTAAAACTTAAAATTTAACTACTGGAATAAAAGTAGCACAATTGTTTTTAAAATGGCATTACATTGAAAATGAATTAACACTAGAATTAGACATTAGAATTCTCAAAGTGAAGCAACCTAAAAGTTTAATTTAGACCATGTTGCCAGCTTCAAAATGAAGTAGAATCGGGAAGGCAATAAAAAAATTGCCCTGCCAATGTTATAAAACTAAACTAAAAGCATGTGAAAGGGTGTATTAAGAGAAATGAACACATTAAATTTCCACGAGACATGTTAGTTGTGTAGGGTTAGTCAGTGTTTTTGTGGATACGAATATCAAAGCAACGGTATAGGGGTGGGTGACATGTGGCTGGGGGGAGGGGGGGGGGCTATGATGTCTGGAAGATACACAGAGCTATTGATGTCTGGGACAAAAGTCAGTAATCTTATTAAAGAATGTTTTTGGGGGTCGAATGTATTAGGACTAAGGGTTCAGTGGTTTGGGGGTTAAGGGTTCAGTGGTATTGTACATAAGAGGCTAGTGTTATTGGGGCTAAGCGGTCATTAATATTGGGGCTAATGGGTCAGTAGATATAGGGCTAAGGGGCATGTGGCATTGTAGCCAAGAGGTTAGAGGTATTGGGGCTAAGAGATCATTAATATTGAGACTAATTGGTCATTAGAATTAGAGCTAAGGGGTCATTAATATTGGGGCTAAGGGGTTAGTAGATTTAGGGCTAATGGGTCATTAGAATTAGGGCTAAGGGGTCATTAATATTGGGGCTAAGAGATTAGTAGAATTAGGGCTAAGTGGTCATAAGTATTGGGGCTAATGGGGTCATTAATATTTTATTTAGAGCTAAGAAATCAGTAGAAATATGACAAAGGGGTCTGTGGTATTGGGGCTAAGGGGTTAGTGGAATTGGGGCTTAGAGGTCAGGGGCGTTCCGACAGTATATTAAGGACGATGGGACCCGCAACCCTGTAACCTGCGTGTGTTCCTATACCAACTTGACGTAATCAGGTTCTGCATCACCAAAGCCGTTGATGGCCCTGACAACCGAGCTGAACTCGGAACTAATCTCAGACACCTGGACAGGTGGGATGAAAAGACGTTCAGACGGTTCTTCTGACGGCTCGCTGTACAAGGACTCTGGCACTTCCTCGGGTTGAACCCGCAGTGGTTGACCTCTATCCCAAGCTGTCTTCCCTTTCAAGTTCACCGTGACGTGTGTTGGTACCGTGAACACACTCAGCTCCTCCGTGTTATTGTTAACCTCGCCCACACGGCTATATCGTTGGGAATCTTCAGAATCCACGAGAACCGGAAGTTCCTGAGTCGAAACCGAAAGTGGCGTTTGGATGTCCGGGAAGACACCAGAATCGTCTGACGTCATCGGTAGCAGAAGTTTGGTCGGCTGGCCGAATTTCTCATGGAACCAGTGACGGTTGTTGGCCTCAAAGAGACGCGCCTCTCTAATGGCGGAGAGAAGTTGCGAGCCCTCCTTCAAGAATTGGAGGTTCTCCGCCTTCATGGGTAAGATGGTCTGAAAGAAAGGGGAAGCAATCCTCTATGTATTGATTTCTGGTGTTCACAAAATAAATGGGGATGTATGGCTAATGAATTTTCCTTCAGTCTGTACATGAACTTGGTCTAAAACTAGGGTGTTTGATATATTATTTCGTTTCTATGATCAATTCCTTGTTACAGTCTATTTCATTTTAAAAAGTATATAATTTCATTTTAAAAGTTTGTGTCCTTTCAAAAGTTTGTTTCATTTCAAAAGTTTGTTTCATTCAAAAGAATCTTTCATTTCAAAACTTTATTTCAAAAGCCTATTTCGTTTCAAAAGTCAATTTCATTTCAAAAATATATTTCATTTCAAAAGTTTGTTTCATTTCAAAAGTTTGTTTCATTTTAAAGATGTGTTTAATTTCAAAAGTTTAATTTCAAAAAGTACATTCCCCTCCCTTCGCTCAGCAAACCATGTTCACTTTTAAATAAATGCCCCTTAAATACACACACACACACATTCACACACATACACACACACACAATCAACCATTCACTAAACACACTTCCTTTGGATAGTTGACGAACACACATACGCCCATGCAAACACTGCATTCCATAAACCGCATTGGAGTAGCAGAAATAGACCGGTCTTTAAACCACTCTACCATGCTACTAGCACCATAACGACGATAAGATCTGAAGAAACTAAACTATCGGTCCAGGTTCTGTTGTTAAAACAGCCAGACATTAAACATTTTTACTATAGAAGACAACGAAAATATTGACGAAAGCTTAGACGAATGGTTCTTTGTCATCATCGACAGTGTTTTTGTTTATTTTTTTAAACTGTTTTTTTTTTACTAACGTTACATTAATACTAATAAATTATTAATGAAGTCAAATACTCACTCCGACAGCGTCCAAACTCTTGCTGCTGAGTACGTGAATTTTCCTGAGCAGCTCCGGCAACTGACGCGGCAGCTTGTAGACGAACGGGGAGGGCAGGTACGTGCGGCAGCGCACCACATCAAAGTGGACCGAGATCAAACCCTCCCGCAGCTGGTCGTGGTTCAAGATGTGCTGCAGGTAGATGGGGTACAGGTCACCCCCGGGCCGGCCCCTGTAGCGGGTGTGGCTCAGGTGGGCGGAGAAGAGCTTCTCGGCTGCTACCGAGTCCACGAAGATCACGTGATCCGCTTGGTTCAGCTGACGCAGGAACCACTCGTAGGTCAAGGTCTCTTGAACGTCCGCGTTGGGAGGGTAGGTGACGTCACAGTGGCAGTGGACCTGGTTGGAAGGGTTTAGGAAAGTCCATGTGAAGTATCGATTTTTACAAAAAGTCCGTCAATGGGATCTTCCTAAAGCAGGGGTGCTAGGAAGCTAGTACTGTTTCAATATCAGATTCGGATTCGGTGCTAATGCGTGAAATTAGAGTTTGTGATGTGGTATGTTTTGAGTTCGGGTTTGGTTTAGGGACCGAGTTAGCTTTGACACTATCAAGTTATATTTGTTTATAGTTTACTACCATTAATCTCAACACCCCCCCCCCTTCTAAAGAAGATGCCATCATTGTGCTATTAAAGGACATTCATCAACTATGTTTTCATGTACGAGTCATTTTATGAGCTCTCAAGGGAGCAAACTGTAAACTGATTGACACATAAATTCAGTCCATTAGGTGGTTCCACGTCGCGTGTCTTTAAATTAGAACGTGTATTATATTAAGGGAATGTTTATATGTTAATGTAAGACGGTGGAGACCACCATGTTTTCTCGGCCATAATATTTTACTTTATTCAAGCCTATAAGACTCGCTTGATTAATAAGACATGAGAGCCAGCTGCGTTTAAGTCATTAACATGTTCAAGTATTTTCTTGGCTCTTTAATAATTAAATAATATTTAATAATAGCCGCCCTTGGATTCCTCTCGGCTCTTAAAGTATTCAGTCGTTAAACATTTAGATCTTTGGGTCTAGAGAGCACCGTACATTTAGATCTTTGGATCTAGAGTGCACCGTACATTTAGATCTTTGGGTCTAGAGTGCACCGTACATTTAGATCTTTGGATCTAGAGAGCACCGTACATTTAGGTCTTTGGATCTAAAGAGCACCGTACATTTAGATCTTTGAGTCTAGAGAGCACCGTACATTTAGATCTTTGGGTATAGAGAGCACCGTACATTTAGATCTTTGGGTGTAGAGAGCACCGTACATTTAGATCTTTGGGTCTAAAGAGCACCGTACATTTAGATCTTTGGGTCTAAAGAGCACCGTACATTTAGATCTTTGGGTCTAAAGAGCACCGTACATTTAGATCTTTGGATCTAGAGAGCACCGTACATTTAGAGCTTTGGATCTAGAGAGCACCGTACATTTAGATCTTTGGGTCTAAAGAGCACCGTACATTTAGATCTTTGGGTCTAAAGAGCACCGTACATTTAGATCTTTGGATCTAAAGAGCACCGTACATTTAGATCTTTGGGTGTAGAGAGCACCGTACATTTAGAGCTTTGGATCTAGAGAGCACCGTACATTTAGATCTTTGGGTCTAAAGAGCACCGTACATTTAGATCTTTGGGTCTAAAGAGCACCGTACATTTAGATCTATAAGTCTAGATAGCACCGTACATTTAGATCTTTGGGTCTAGAGAGCACCGTACATTTAGATCTTTGGGTCTAGAGAGCACCGTACATTTAGATCTTTGGATCTAGAGAAACCCGTACATTTAGATCTTTGGATCTAGAGAGCACCGTACATTTAGAGCTTTGGATCTAGAGAGCACCGTACATTTAGATCTTTGGGTCCAAAGAGCACCGTACATTTAGATCTTTGGGTCCAAAGAGCACCGTACATTTAGATCTTTGGGTCTAAAGAGCACCGTACATTTAGATCTATAAGTCTAGATAGCACCGTACATTTAGATCTTTGGATCTAGAGAGCACCGTACATTTAGAGCTTTGGATCTAGAGAGCACCGTACATTTAGATCTTTGGGTCCAAAGAGCACCGTACATTTAGATCTTTGGGTCTAGAGAGCACCGTACATTTAGATCTTTGGGTCTAGAGAGCACCGTACATTTAGATCTTTAAGTCTAGAGAGCACCGTACATTTGGATCCGTGGGTCTAAAGAGCACCGTACCTCCAGGAACTTGACCAGTGCTTTGATCTTCTCCATATGAAGGTGGTGGTCATCGGCGGACATGACGTAAAGACGTTTCCTCTTCAAGGCTGGGGCTAAAGGAAGGTCAGACAGACATTACATGGGTCAAGGTTAAGGCTAAGGAGGGTCAGTTGGACAGGACATAGGTCAAGGTTGGGGCTAAAGGAAGGTCAGTTGGACAGGACATAGGTCAAGGTTGGGGCTAAGGAAGGTCAGTCGGACAGAACATAGGTCTAGTTAAAGCAGCTTATACTAGCTTCCCCCCCCCCCCCTCCCACCCATGATAATGATGTACGTATGAATTAAGATAAGATTATCTGAAACAGATAGGGTACTTTACCGATGGTTCTTGTGTGCTCTGAGGTACCGTCTGATGATGCATGAACTTCTCCACTTGTTTTATGCGAGATAGGATCATCTGGTGAACATAACATGAACTTATAGGAATGAAACATGACATGAGATTGGCATGAACTTTGATATTAACATTTTCTTTCTTCTTCTAAGTCCTTCATTGTAACGTTAAACGGGATATCCTCCAACCACATCAAGTATTACGTGTCAATATAATAGGCCGTTAATTCTGATTTCGGTCTGCTTTTCTTTATGAAATTTGCTTCTATAGCATTTGTATATTTAAAAATAAACTAAAGGGCGGCATTTTTATTTGATTTTTGGAGTTTTCTCTTCAAGAGGGGTTTCTGTCTCTAGCTATTGCGCCGCATCTGCCCAAGGATTCGAACTCAGTTTTTTTTTCGGTTTAGCAACAATGAGCTTTACCGGCCATACTACGCCGACACAACAGCAACAATGAGCTTTACCAACCAGACGACACCGACTCCACAAATGAACATTGACATAACTATATGGAAGTAAAAAATGACATTTACAGTAAAGCAAATGTATAATTCAAAAACTTGATTTCCTATCTAAATTACGAAAAAAAAATTGAACAGCGGCAAAGAGATGAACGACCTTGCTGTTGTTTCTTCAGGTCAAGCATTAGAGACTGAATTTGATGACGTTGACACGGTGTTAGTGAGAGGCTAATGTTACAAACTTATTAGGTAGGAAAATACATCAGGAGCAATGTGATAGCTTATCTTGGAAAGGGAGGTAATGGAGGATTTCATAGGGAGGATAATCTGGGAAAAAAAGTGTAAAAAAAATATTTGGCTGAAGACTGCTTTGTTTGTGTGGGTTACATAATATATATATATATATATATATATATATATATATATATATATATATATATATATATATATATATATATATATATATATATATATATATATATATATATATATATATATAAAGCCATAGTTTATTTATTATACCTCTCGGCGAGTGATTATCTATATAGCGCTTTAAAACAACGCCCAGAATGATGACGGCAGCAATTAGAATAACCGCCCCTGTAACCCCGCCCCAGATGTAGAAGGTTGTATCATCCTCGTCATCAGCTTCAGGTTGATCATAATTAAAATTCGGCACAAGTTCGGCGTCTGAAAATAATTGCAATATTATGAGGTAGTGATATTTTTTTAAAGAAAAAACTAAAAAATGAGGCTTTAATGTTTTTAAGATGGTAAGTTAGTTTTATAAAAGGGGTGAAATCGTTGGCTAAGGAACGCCATTTAAAATGTATCCTTCAGTTAAAAAAAAAAGAACAACCATACCTGCTAAACTTATATTAAACCAATAGGTCTCGGTGGCGACACATTTTTTTTTACATAGCTTCTTCTTATTACAATTACAGTTCACCTGGATATAAAAGCAAAAAAAACCCCATCCTTAGCTCCGCATAAAACATGCAGTAAGAATTTCGTACATACAAAGAGGTTTCACTCTAAAACACACATGTCTAAGTCAGTGGCTTAGCTAGGGGGAGGGGTGGGGAGGATGGGCGTGCCATGGCGCCGACCCTGGGGGAGGGGGCGCAAAAGGGGTAGAAAAAAATCTTAAAAGCTCAGTTTTGTTGCACTTTTGAATTATAAACAGTCAGAAGTTAAACGGATACAATATATATATATATATATATATATATATATATATATATATATATATATATATATATATATATATATATATATATATATATATATATATATATATATATATCACCCGTCATTGTCTCTAATATATACCTACCCAGATCTTATAAGCGTCATCCGTCATATTTGGAAACTCAACATAACCTAGTGTTTCTTCAGTTGTGGAAATCTGTTTAAAAATGTTTACAAAAAAAAGGCTGATACTCAATTTGATTTTGTTAATGGTAATATATATATATATATATATATATATATATATATATATATATATATATATATATATATATATATATATATATATATATATATATAATCGTTTCATTTTGTGTACTCTTAGATTTTTAAAATCTTGAGGCGAGGCCTAGAATCATAAAACCGCCCTGTTTTTGTTATCAATGGGAATCATGGTGAAAAACAATTTATATCGAAAATGTATATATCTTCCTGGTTAACGAGATTTTAAGCGAGAGAGTTTCACAAGCGCACACCATTCAGTGGTTAAATTAATTAAATATTAGAGAACCAAATCCTAGTTTTGTGACAAGAGTTTTTGATTAGACAAAAAAAATTGCTTTCAACTTGGCAAATAAAGAGTTCAACTGTTTGCTTTTATTTTGTTGCTGTTTTTGTTTTTTTTTAGTTTTTGTCCCTTTAGTTAAAAAGGTGTCCAATTGCATGGTTATCGGATTTGGATCCACGTGCCAAGTTTGAAACGAATCGGTCAGTTAGAGGTGATCGAAATTTTGCTCCGCAGTTTCGATCCTTGACGACAAAAGCACAGATATATCGACAGATAGAAGGAGGAAGCAAGTTAAAATAAAAGCTTTTAAAAACACAATGTTGACGTGTGCGCTGATTTTTTTTTTCCTTTTTTTACAGTGAAGATTAACTAGATTCAAGCTGATTAGTGTGAGGAGGTCGAGCTATAGCGATCTAGCTGTATAGGGTCTAGAATTGGGGTCTAGTTGTATTGGGGCGGGGGGTCTGGTTGTACTAGGGTGTGGTTGTATTAAGGTCTAGCTAGGTTGTGAAGGGAACAGTGTTGTTGATAACTAATTTATTCTTGAACACACATATGCTTATGTAGTGAAACATATGTATACTGATGGTGACTGGGGGGAAAATTCGTTTTAAAGTAATATTTATAAAGTCGACAATTTCTCATTGACACCGTGTGATAGATGTGATACTTATAATACAATAAACAATTCACACTCGTATAACATATTGAAACTACTCTACGATACAATGAATGTGTGTACTTACATTAAAGACTCGAGTGAAATTCCGGTAGTTTTTCGTCAGGCTGTGGTTGGCTTTAAACAACCTAAACTCGAACTCTGTGACGTCGAGGTATGGCGGAGACAAGAGAAACCAACAGCTCACGGTCCGGTTGGGGTTCACTTTGTAGGACACGTTTGGAGACCATTCATCGCTGGACACTGTTAAAGAAGGTCAGAATAAAAATTAGAGGCCGATTCTAGCCGGTAAAGGATACACGTGAGCAACGGAGAGAAACTACTGCCTTCATTTGCGGCGATGTTTTCGATGGTACTGCGCATGCGTGTGTTTGAAAACAAACCGCAGAACCCTAATCCTATCCCTAAACCTAACCCTAGCCCTAGTCCTAACCCTAACTATTGAGTTTCGTATTTCTGCCGGAAAATCTTGTTCCGAGTAGCCACTTTACAATTACATTCGGTTCGTATTTTACTTTCTCGTATACAGAGTATAGAGAAAATATTGTAATTGTGCAAAAAAAAAAATCGAGATTTTCGCAAATCTCGACATTTTACACCTTTCCCTGAGTAGGAAAAACATAGTTTTGCAATATTGTCCGTATGTCTGTGTGTGTATGTGTGTCTGACAACACTATAACTCGAGTAACGTTACAGCTAGGTTAATGAAATTTTATATACAAGTATTATATCAAATTTGTAGATCCGTATCAACTTTTTAGTGACTTCCGATAACCGGAAGTGGAACTTTTTTACTTTCAATTTCTCTAAAGCCTATAACTTGAGTACTGTTTCAGACAGATAAATGAAATTTCACATATAAGTAAAATGTCTAATTCTCTGCCTACTTTTAAATTTTGAGTAACTTCCGTTGATCGGAAATAGTAATTTAGGCTATTTCCGATTTTTTTAAAAACAAAAAACAATTTAGATTTAAAGTGAAATTTTACTTTGTTTAAAAGAGAACATTTGGGCGCCATAATAAATCGGGGCCTCGACTCAGGGGTTGGGTGGTAAAAAAATATCTGAATTGTCACGATGTAGTTTATGTGCAAACCATAAAACGCCAACAAATTACAAGACTAGAGATGTCTTCAGACTAAAAAAAAAGGCTTTTAAAATTATTTAGCAGTAACATGAAAATTATGCTAGTAATTCATTCTTTGGGCTAAGTAAGTTAAGTTCAGGGTTTCTATCTCTCTCTCGCTTACCGACTTTTTCAGTTGTGATAGAAAGCTGGTCGTACGTTCCCTGAACATCTCGTTCGTCTGGTCTAGGTGTCGGCAGACTGTAGAGCCTCAGGTCATAGGTTTTCTTGGGGGAGAGACTCAGTCTGTACAGGAACTTGGTCTGTATGGAGGGGGGGGGAGGAATGGGAGAGGTGTATTCACTAAAGTCTTTTTAAATTCAAAAGTGTATTTCATTTCAAAAGTCTATTTCATTTTAAAAGTTATTTCTAAATTACATTTTTTTTTTCCAAAGCCACAGCTTCCTTCTAAGAAACTGTGCCCGATTCATGCTATTTGTATATAGAACTTTAAAATGAAAAATTAAAATAGTCTTAAGGGGTCGTCCATAAATGACGTCACACTCGGGAGGGAGTGGGGTGTCCGTAATTTTGTGACGGTGTGTGATGAGGCAGGAGGGGGGGTCAGATGGTGTGACGTAACAGTTTTGCATTATAAAAAAGCATTGTTAGAAAACGTGTTTTTTTTTTGGGGGGGGGGGGTCTTGCTTTTTGTGACGATATGGGACGCAGGGGAGCGGGGGGAGGTAAAAATCGTCAAAAAATCGTGAAGTCATTTTCACAAATGACCCCTAATCTAGTCGGTGGAAAATGATCTCAGGATAAATTAGCTCTGAACAAATAATTTCAGGACAAAATAATAATCTCAGAACAAATTATTACATAAAAAATTATTTCAGACATCTCAGGGCGAAATATCTAAGGAAAAGTCATATCAGGACAAATTATTTCAAGAAAAATGTTCTCAGCAGAAGTGGTCTCTGAAAAATATCTAAAGAACTAATTATCCCAGAACAAGCTATATTAGGACAAATAATCTCAGAATAAAATATCTGAGATATATAGACTTAGATATTATGGCTTTAAGACATTTCGTATGGGATATTTTGTCAGAAATAATTTGTTTTGTGCTATTTTGCCATGGAAACCTTGTATGTTATCGACAAAAAACTGCATGTTACCGATTATAAACTGTTTATAATACATTTCTAAACGGAACATTTCTGATTTTACCTCAAGAGGCATAACTCCCAACTTAACTACCAAGTACTCGTTAAGATTGTTTCAATGCTACCTTTATAGGCCTGACTGAATCCGACTCATTGAGACGAAAAATTCTACAATCTGTTGTCTGATTGGTAGTCCAAATAAGGAGAAATCCTTCGATCTCAGCACGAGCGCTAGCTGGAAGTATTGGATTGTATGATTATATATATATATATATATAAATATATATATATATATATATATATATATATATATATATATATATATATATATATATATATATATATATATATATATATATATATATATATATATATATATATATATATATATATATATATATATATACATGTAATTTAATAAACATAAAATTTATGTTAATGAACCTATTGCTTAATACTAAGAAGAACTTTTATATATATATATATATATATATATATATATATATATATATATATATATATTCAATGTGTGTGTATATATATATATATATATATATATATATATACACACATATATATATATATATATATATATATATATATATATATATATATATATATATATATATATATATATATATATATATATATATATATGCCTATGTATATCTGATTCCACAAATAAGTCGTGGCTAAGAAATTATTGGCCATAGCTCTTACCGATATTATACACCAATGCATAAAATACTTAATATAGAAATAAACAGGTAAACTAAACTTGTTGTGAGCATTTTTTTTTTAAATTAGAGTTAGAACAGTTTGCTTCTGGAAAAGCAATATTTACAAATATGTTTGTACAGTAGTAGCTCCACGACCCGTCCAACGGCCCGTAAAGACCTTACATTGTACTCAAACTACAGACCTTAAAGACTTACCATTGTACTCACCCTATAGACCTTATAGGCCTAGCATTGTACTCATCCCATAGACCTAACATTGTCATTACCCCAGAGATCTTATAGACCTACTCGCCCTAAAGACCTAACATTGTACTCACCCTATACACCTTATAGACCTAACATTGTCCTTACCCCATAGACCTAACAGTGTACTCACCCTATAGACCTAACATTGATCTCACCCTATACACCTTATAGACCTAATATTGTACTTACTATATAGACCTAACATTGTCCTAACCCCATACACCTTATAGACCTAACATTATACTCACTCTATACACCTTATAGACCTAATATTGTACTCACCCTATAGACCTAACATTGTACTCACCCCATAGACCTTATAGACCTAACATTGTACTTACCTTATAGACCTAACATTGTACTTACTTTATAGACCTAACATTGTACTCACCCTATAGACCTAACATTATACTCACCCCATAGACCTTATAGACCTAACATTATACTCACCCCATAGACCTTATAGACCTAACATTGTACTCACCCTATAGACCTTATAGACCTAACATTGTTCTACCCCCATAGACCTTATAGACCTAACATTGTACTCACCCTATAGACCTTATAGACCTAACATTGTACTCACCCTATAGACCTAACAACGTACTGACCCTATAGACCTTATAGACCTAACATTGTCCTACCCCCATAGACCTTATAGACCTAACATTGTGCTTACCCCATAGACCTAACATTGTACTCACCCTATACACCTTATAGACCTTACATTGTACTCACCAGAGTTGGGCAGCCTCCACTGAATGTCAAAGTTAAACTCATTGGATCCAGCCAGCACAAATTGACCTGGCGGCTCCACAGAAAGTTTGCTACGGGAAAACTCTGGTGGAAGAAGAGACCTGTCGAAACTTTGAGCAAACTTCTGGCATTCTGTTGGATTTGCAGGATGATTCGTCAAAACATTTCAAGTCACATATTGTGGTGTATGGGGGTAATGTGTGGGTACAGAGCACTGTCAACAATGTCACCTGTCTTTTCATTTCTGGATTTATATATTTTAATTAATTTTTTTTCCCTAAACATGTCGCTGTTTGTGAATTATTAAAATTTAGGTTGCGTTGTTTTATTTTTTTTTTTTAAATAGTAATGTACATTATTATGTTTATCGATGATTTTCTTCTTTTTAGTGAAAAATTATTATGAAAATTGTTGTTAAAACGTGTTTATAAAATATTTAAAATAAATATTTAATGAGTCTTTTTTTTAAATTATATCAATTCCGTTGGTTTTTTTTTTTATTGGTTTTTTTTGCAGTTTTTGCAGCCCCAAAATATGTCATACTTTTGGGATATGGGATGGTTCCGATTAATATTAATATCAAAGGTAATGGTCTAAAGCAGGGGTCTCCAAACTACGGCCCGCGAGGTCTACTCATCCGGCCCGCGGATGTCCAGGGAAAAATCACTGTTTGTTGGATTTGGCTGAGGAACTTTGCCCAGAAAATTCAAAACAATTTAAAAATGTAGTTTTGGGTGCAAATACTTTGCCCGCCGTGTTACGAACATTGCTGAAGATGGTAAATTTAATAAGGTAACATGGGCTCATAGACATGCTGAAAGATACAATAAACAGAATCGCGAGATTTACCATATTACACTGTAGTAAGATGGCTAGTTATGAGAAAGTTCTGAGCAGAGTATATAAGTTAAGAAAGGAAGACTTTGCTAATGTCAAAACTTTTGCATCAAAGTACCTTTCAAAATTTGAAACAACATACCTGTGAAGGACAACGTTAGAGCAAACTTGGACCTCGAGTGTGTTGTTGACCACCCACAGTGTTTCTTTCACACTTTTTTCTCCGGGAGGGGGGACACTTGAAATGTGTATATATTTCTATATATATTTTATTTTATCGAGGGGGTTAGACGCTCTTCGGGGGGAGGGGGGGGGGGGAAGAGGGGCCCCGCCATCCCGAAGAGCTGCCTGGATAAAACTCTGGCCCCCAAAATGATATTTGATAGTTAATGCGGCCCTCGGGCTGAAAAGTTTGGAGACCCCTGGTCTAAAGAAATGTAATTTTAGGATACAATGGGGTTCGGGAGAGGGTAAAAAATGTTACATGTTTGTTCTATATAATAGTATAAGAACGACCCCCGTATAGGTACTTTCTACGATTACATTTAAAAAGAGGTTTTAAAAAAGTTATATATATTTGCACTGACAAAAATTGAATAAAACGAAAAAAAAAGAATATTTTACTTGCCGTGTGTAAGGTAGGTCCGTATACATAAACTAGTGAAATCCCACTCAACTCCAGACTATAAATAACAGAACAAAATATCCATAAGCTTATTTTGAAAAGTTAAATATAAAAACGTCCAAACTTTTATTTTTAAAAAAACCCAAATTTAAAATACCAAAGAAAGATCTTAATAAAGAAAACCAGAGGAAACACTCCTGAAAATAACTGGGTTTTTTTGTTTCTAAATTTTAAAGTTATAATTCTAAAAATGTGTCAACACTCTGAGTCGATAAAGACGGTGGGCGAGTAAGAACAATAAAATATGGGCGGTCGTACTCTAGCGTACCTGTGAAGCGGTGTTACTGATAGTCAGGTTGCAATAGTTGACGACACCCCAGCTAGAGTGAAGGAAAGAACAAAAAAAGAAAACACCTCTAACAGACAAAAGCCGGGCTCCATCCATAGCTGTGAGAAACGGTGCACTGAGTAGCCTACGAGCGATCTTCACTTCACATTGAATACTTGAGTTAATCTTTACATCCATTTCCTTCCTCTTCGCTTCTTCATACAGTTTTATGACGTTTTAAGAATTACTCGTGTTATCAGAACACAACATATTTATATATGGATGTAAATAAATATGCATCTAATGTTATATGTATATATATATATATATATATATATATATATATATATATATATATATATATATATATATATATATATCCATTTCTTCTTTAAGAGATCATTAATCCGTTAATCCGCTACTTAAATCCCAAGGTCACAATAATAAAAAAAATTGTTCCAGAAAAAAAGCTTTTGTACGAACTGAATGTAAAAAGGAAGTAAAGTTCTTCTTTAGACCGTTGGGTAAATGAAGCAGAGTTCATGTGCTACTTGACCTCAATCTGTGAGGTATCCATCACAGCTAAGTGGGCTCGGCGACGTCATTCAGTCACAAAGTCCGAACAGAGATCCTAACACAAGACCTTGGGGTTAGTAGCCAAATACTCCACCATCTGACCACGCCGTTCCCTATGAAATGTATTACCCTCCTTGACATTTTTTTAATGAGCTATTTACGCTTTTCCATTTCATACGCTTCTTGACGATCTTTGCTATTCCACACACAAGACAAAGTGAGCCGCTTTTCTTTTATGGTTACAACACCAACAACGACGACAACACTAGCAATGTTGACAAGAGCATCAACAGCGACTACTCTAGCAATGAACACAAGAGTATCAACGACGACAACACTATCAATGGTGTCAACAGCATCAATGATGATAATACTATAATTGGTGACACCATCATTAGTGACAACACTATCATTGGTGCCAACATCATTAATTGTGACAACACCATCAATGACGACAACAGCATCATTGTTGAAGCAACTCACAGGTGAGAAGCTGCAGTAGAGTTCAGTTCAACAACCTCAGATGATCAACTCCTCCACCCACCCACCAAACGTTACAGTTTATGACGGCACCGCTGACGTCAGACCCTCTACAGAACAGAGAGGAGCCGAACTCTAATTGCCGCTACCACCCGACCACACCACCCACTAACACCAACAAACACATAACATACATTTGATTTATTTATTTCCTTGAAGCTTTCCCCTAAATAACGTAACTAAATTGTGTACGTTTGTTAAAGCTTTTGTTCTTCAAAATTCTGAATTTTCATTTTGGTTTTAAACTAGTTTTATTAATTAAGCTATTCCTTGATTATATCATTTGTCTGCGGAAGTAAAGTCTACTTACCAGAACATAAAAGAGTTTTAAATGAACCTAAAATCTCACCAAAAATAACCAACACCAACGAAACATTTAAAAAGAAATAACTTGTATTAATATTATTATTTTTTATTGTACAAATTATAAAAATACGATGTGGGATTTGTTTTTCAAAATTAGAAAAAGAAATTTAAAAAAAAGAAAATATAGTTCACTCAAATATAGGCGAAGTGGATATGTTGTTGGGTACAATCAAAGCATAGTGATACAATAAGCCGAATCTAGATTTTATAATTACTATAATGATTATGCTAAGATTAACATAGATTTAAATGTACTCGAGAATTACAGTGAGTATATTTAATGTGCGGAATTAAACAGTGTAATCAACATTTACAGGTTGTTTGATTCGTAATTACACAAGGTATACAGCATGGCTTAAATAGAACTTTTACTTACACATTTACACGTTAGTTACAGAGACAAATCAGTTTAAAAATATTAATTACAGCAACTGATTAGCTAAAATGTTTCAGTTACTGAATACCTGAAAATAAGGTACATCAATAGGTTAGCTAAACGTAAACTCTTCAGTACAGTATAATAAAACATGAGGTACATGAAAAAGTTTGCTGAAAATTAGCTTCATCAATAGGTTAGCTAAAAATTAGCTTCATCAATAAGTTAGCTAAAAATTAGCTTCATCGATAAGTTAGCTAAAAATTAGCTTCATCAATAGGTTAGCTAAAAATTAGCTACATACACATGTTATTGAAACATTAGTTACAGAAGTAAGCTAAACATTAGCTACAGCAATAGGTTAGCTTAAAATACTGGCTGCTGGTTTGAAAGTTGTGGGAGGTTCTGGGCTGTCAATCACTGTAGCCGGTCAGTGATCCACCAATCACACACTCAGTATTGGCTCTGTGAATCATCGAATTGAAGCATTAGATGAAAGGAAACATTTGTTTACAAACAACAGATTGGAAACGTTAGATGCTGGAAGAAGTCCCGAGTTCGAACCCCACGGGCAGATAAGGCTCGATAGCTGGGGACAGTAACTCTTCTCCAAAATCAAACAACTGCTGCCTTGTAGTTTGTTCTTGGTTAGACAAAAGCTATGGAAGCAAATACAGAAAGAAAAGCGGGCTGAAATCCGAGCCTAAATGGCGCATAACCAGTTGACACGTAATACTTAATTGTGTCCTAGGAAATCCCTTCCACTTCCAACAATTAAATTAAGAACGAAAAAGAAGAAGAAGAAGAAGAGCAGCTGAAGGAACCAGATATTCAAATTGTTTACTGAAATGAGAAAACTGGCTAGCGTTGTAAATTTTACCTAATATAACTTTCAGTCTAGAGGTAAAGATAGAATGAAATAGTTCTGGAATAAATCTATACACATCATTGTTTTGGAGTATACTTAAAATTTCTTCGAATACATTCATATTGTAGAATATTGAAAAAACCCACTAATTTTCTGGAATTAGCCTAGAACTTTTCAAATATTTTGGCATAAATCTAGAACAAACAAATTTTGCATGCGGGAATCTAACACAGACATGTTCTGTAGAGAATCTAGAACACATCTATGTTCTGGAGTAAATCTAAAACACATCTACGTTCTGGAACAAATCTAGAACACATCTATGTTCTGGAACAAATCTAGAACACATCTATGTTGTGGAACAAATCTAGAACACATCTATGTTCTGGAACAAATGTAGAACACATCTATGTTCTGGAACAAACCTAGAACACACAGACTTACCAAATGTTTTAGAAAGATCCTGTTTGCTCTGCGACCGAATATCCGAGCTGTTTTCTGAGGCCACATCCAGATGTACTGAAACACAAACCAACTCATGTATAAACCAACATACACATCACAATAACTACTACTACTAATATCGTTGTTTTTTTTAATTAAAAAAACATACTTTTTTACATAAAAAGGGAGATAACTGTTTTTCCACTTTAAAAATAAACACCAAGTGGTTATCTCCCTTGATTTTGTTTCCTTTGTGTTGTCTCCCTTTCACTATTACTATGTCTATATATCTGACTGTAATTTTTTATTTCGTACTAATTAGCTCCATTGTCTATGTAACACAGCCTCTTATCCTGAGTCAAGTTTCAGTTAATTCCCTTTATCGTGTTCTATTATATCACAACTAAACACCATAATTTACGGAATTTTTTTACCCCACAGGAACATTTTAAAATGTTACCTCTCCTTATGATATTTTTTTCCATTTCGAATGATCTACTCAAACGATACCACCAAGACTTAATATTTATAACCCTAGGGAAACATTAAGGATAGTCACTAACCCTTTATTGAGTTACCTCCCTTTACTAAACCACCAAGACTTACCAAACTTATCTCCCCTAGATCCGTCAGAGCACAGCTGTTTCCTGTAAACAAACACCACGGCTAGCACCAGCACCAGCACACACAGCAGCCCCAGCAGCACCACCAGCACCACCAGCGTATCCTCCATCACGTGATCTCCCAGGGTCAAGGTCGAGTGTGAGGCCACCAGAGGGCGGGTCGTTTTGCGATCGTCCTTGACATCTGTCTTGTCGTGAGATTCGAACTCCTCCCCTTCAGGCATGGTGGTGATGCGGGTCGATCTGGAACTTTCTTCAGGACCGGATGGTGAATCATCATCAGAGACTGGATCATCCATCGACGTGGTAGGCCTCATCTTGTAGGCATCAGAATCTGGTTTAATATTCAACAAATTAAAAACGTATAAACATATATATATATATATATATATATATATATATATATATATATATATATATATATATATATATAGTGAAGGGGGATGAATGGGGGTGAATGTTGTTATTACTTGGTACCCTATCCCGTTCGTCCTTGTTCAGTTCTCTTGCTTGGTGTTCACAACAATATATATATATATATATATATATATATATATATATATATATATATATATATATATATATATATATATATATATATATATATATATATATATATATATATATATATATATATATATATATACATATATATATATACATATATATATATATGTATTTTTTTATTTATTTATTTATATATATATATATATATATTTATATATATATGCCTATATAAATATACACATATATATATACACACACATACACACGCATATATATATATATATATATATATATATATATATATATATATATATATATATTGCTATAAAGATTGTTGCAATAATTAGGTTTGGGCAAAAGCACTATGGGTTAAGTAAGAGTGAGTGTGTTTGCAGGAAGGGATAGTACGTTACATTACTTAACTAAAGACAGTTGACAAAAATAGAATCAACACGAATATATCTTGAAGTTGTATGTAGCGGAGAGGTGGGGGTGATACTCTACTTTAAAAAGTCGTATTTTTTAAAAAAATATCCTATAGATAGGTTAGTGTCCTGTCTGTGTCGATGACTATAACAGTGGCGTAGGCAAAGGTGGGTTAGGGGTTATAACCCCTTTCATGGACCCACCCCCCCTCTCTCTCTCTCTCTCTCTCTCTCTCTATATATATATATATATATATATATATATATATATATATATATATATATATATATATATATATATATATATATATGATTTTATACATTGGAAAGATGTCTGAACCCCTCCCATGACCAATTCCTGGCTACGCCACTGCTGTATAACGTGATCTGTTGCACGTAGCAAGGTGATTTTAGTCAAATGGTAGCTAGTGTGTGACGTGATGCACTTTTTTTAGCAGCAACTATTTTTACTCAAGAAAATATATTATGTAATTAAAATTATTCAAAAATATTAAACCATTTGACTATGTGCTTGTTTATCGGAAATGGTTTATTTTTAAATCACGAAATTTATTTTTAATACTAACTTTTTTTTATAAACGTTTCCAAACAGTTTTCTAAAAATACCTTTAACACCCCCTCCCCCAACCCCCACACACCAAACCCAACCCACCATCTTCTGTTTTGGTTTTATTCAGCAACCGCTAAAATTACGAAGACAGATCTCACAACAAATTTTTGTTGTTTACTTTTTTTTAACAATCTATCTCTGTGCAGAACTGAAATAAATCAAGGAGCAGACAGCTTGCTGACGTCAGAGTGACGTCTTTCTTGCAAGGTGAACCCGGATGTTCTCGCGTCTGTCAAGCTTGAAAGAACATTGTGGTGTGGGGGACACGGATCTTCCTGTTTCCGAACCACGGGACGTCGGCCAAATTATTTTCAATGGGGTTGAGATTATTTTTTGTAAAGGACGGCGGGGGTTAGGGAGATGGGTCGTGGGCTGTATGGTCAGGGAGAGGGGACGTGGGGTCGTATGTTTAGGGAGAGGGGTCCTGTGTCGTATGGTTAGGGAGAGGGGTCAATGGTCGTATGGTTAGGGAGAGGGGCCCTAAGTCGTATGGTCAGGGAGAGGGGTCCTGTGTCGTATGGTTAGGGAGAGGGGTCCTAAGTCGTATGGTTAGAGAGAGGGGCCCTAAGTCGTATGGTTAGGGAGAGGGGTCCGGGTCGTATGGTTAGGGAGAGGGGTCGTGGGCCGTATGGTTAGGGAGAGGGGTCAAGGGTAGTATGGTTAGGGAGAGGGGTCAAGGGTCGTATGGTTAGGGAGAGGGGCCCTAAGTCGTATGGTCAGGGAGAGGGGTCCGGGTCGTATGGCTAGGGAGAGGGGTCAATGGTCGTATGGTTAGGGAGAGGGGTCAAGGGTCGTATGGTTAGGGAGAGGGGTCCGGGCTGTTTGGTTAGGGAGAGGGGTCAATGGTCGTATGGTTAGGGAGAGGGGTCCGGGCTGTTTGGTTAGGGAGAGGGGTCCGGCCCGTATGGTTAGAGAGAGGGGTCCTGTGTCGTATGGTTAGGGAGAGGGGTCCTGTGTCGTATGGTTAGGGAGAGAGGCCCTGGGTCTTATGGTCAGGGAGAGGGGTTAAGGGTCGTATGGTTAGGGAGAGGGGTCCTGGTCGTATGTTCAGGGAGGGGGGGGGGGGGGCAAGGGCCGTATGGTTAGGGAGAGGGGTCGTGGGCCGTATGATTAGAGGGATTGTCGGGTCAGAGAAAGGGGTCTGGGCTGAAATTCCCGAAGTAAAATAAACGTGTGGGTGCTGTCAGTGTTCACGAGACATAACTTTTTATTTTTAGCAGTTGAATGACCCCGTCACACCACACCATTACTTTACGGGAGAGGGATGGGGGGGGGGGGGGGGGGTCATACATTCTTGTAATGTCTTCCATTTGACCCTCACGCACATTCGTTATGCGCCATACACGGATTTATTAAATAATTCATTATACATTATAAAAGTATTACACAGACTATCTCACCGATATGCGGATCTAAGGCAGTGGTTCTTAACCAGTGTTCGTTCGAACCCCATTGGGTTCGGTGAGTCGGTCTCAGGGGTTCAGATGTCAATACACACACCCGACTCATATGATTTACGATCAGAATTATTTGTCAGTGCCATGCGACAGCACGGCATAGGTATAAAGTGCGCCAGAAAATCATATCTTAATGGTTTTGTTAACACAGTGATTTTGATGCACACGTTAATTGTGTGCAACAATAAATGTTCTAACTGCGATTTGAATTTGGGAAAAAATTTAATTTTATTTTCACTATGTAAGTAGGGTTCTTTGAATGCGCATATCAAGCTGGTAAGAACCACAGATCTAGGGGTTTCGAGGGGTTTCGTGCTGGGAGGAGGGGGGAGGCTTTTATATATATATATATATATATATATATATATATATATATATATATATATATATATATATATATATATATATGTGTGTGTGTGTGTATGTGTGTGTGTTTGTTTGTGTGTGTGTGTGTTTGTGTTTAGAAGTCTTACCCACCCCACGCACCTCAACCCCCACCCTTACCCCAAACACAAAATCTGTGGCTGCCAATGATTACACTGAAATTACCTGTGAAGTTAAGTCCCATCCAAGGTGTAATCGTTGTGCCGCAGACGTTCGAGCAATATTTCTCCAGGTCAAACTTCCAGCACAGACACATGCCCTCTACATCCGGGTACGGGTCTCGAACACGCACCTACATTTGTGTGGAGAGTAGACATTTTTTTTTAACTGCTAGTGCTAAGCTACGGCATAGTTGACGGACACATTATACACAAGCGAAATAACCAATAATGACAACAAGGAAGTGACTTGCTGGTTGCTACAATAATGTCATATAAACGTTCATAATAACAAGGTTTTATATAACTATAATAACAAGGTTTTATATAACTTTGCACTATAAAGAAGAAAAAAAGTGCTATCTTTGAAAATATAAAAAGGCACCACTATTTAAATAACTTTAAAGAAAGGCGAGGGTCCCTGTAATGTGTATTGAATACCCTAACAAATTTCTATGAGCAACCCACGCTTTTCTTTATGTTATAAAAATATTGGTACCTTACTTTATTTTTAGAAAAAAAAATGTTCTTCCTTGTTGTGCAGAACTATAAAAGCTTGTTATTTTATTTTTAAACTGTTTGAAATCAAATCGCGTAGTTTACAGCGCGAGTGTATCAAATGAATGTTCTCATGTGTTGTAGTTTTTTTTTTTAAAAGTACTTCTATATCGAAATCTTTACTTTACTTTTAAAAAATAATTAAACATTTTATTTTGTCAAAGTTTATGCCACATTGCATTGTCATCGGGTCTTGACCTAGATCTACATGGGTGAAATTGCGTTAGTATTTTTTGGCCCTAGATTAAAACAAAAAGTGCCGAATATGATTGTTTTCGGAATCTATTTTTTTTTAAATTGTAAAATATCAAATTTTTAAGTTTTAATTGTAAATACATCTGTTAAAATGTCTGAGTTTTTAAAGTGAAGTTCTCCCTTCAGGCTTAACAATCTATAGCTAAGGTGAAGTAGAGTTGTTGTAGTCAGCACTATTCCCTACCGCCATACTTTCTGTCACTTGTGTCAGGTACTCATTAGAGCTGGGTAGACTCAGCACACTCTACAGACTCATGCCAGTAGTTCGGGTATGGTGTTTACACGTTCTATAAAACATTTTATAACTCGGCTTTCCGGAAAAGTAAGTGCTTCCTGTTTCACTATACAGACCACACCCCCAGAAATTTTTTTCTTTGTAGTAGTGTGAAATACTCGAGGATGAATGAATGAAATGTAATTCAACTTGACTGTACTAAACATACCAGGATCCTGTAGATGTCGGTGATGAGGTTGTCGAACCTGACTGAACCTTCTGGCTTTTCGTCTGAGTAAAGCTGAAATTTTTTTAAAAATATACACTTGAATAGACCTAGAGTCTATAGCTGTAATTTTGTCGTTGTTGTTGTTTGTTTCTTTTTTCTGTATGTAACATGTTTAGTCATATATTTTTCGTGTACGTGGAAATTCTATTTTCTAACTTCAAATGTTGGCTTCAAAGGTTTTTTAAAACTATTTGACAAGTCGAAGTTTTAAAGTCCTCTCTGTTAGTAATGTTGGACAATACTGTCGTACCAACATATAAACCCAACCCTGTTAAATTAGACTCCCCATCCGCAAAACCCAACCCCGCCAATCAGGACATATCAATCCCTAAACCCAACCTGCCACTCAGAATACACCAACCCCTAAACCCAACCCCGATACTCAGAACACACCAACCCTTAAACCCAACCCGCCACTTAGGACACACCAGCCGCTAAACCCATCCGCCATTCAGAATACATCAATCCCTAAACCCAAACTCACTACTAAGAACACACCAACCCCTAAACCCAACCCACCACTAACAACACACCAACCCTTAAACCCAACCACGCCACTCAGAATACACCAACTCTAAACCCAACCCCACCACTAAGAACACACCAACCCCTAAATCCAACCTCGACACTAAGGAAACCGAACCCTAAACCCAACCAACCACTAAGGACACATCAACCACTAAACCCAACCCCGACACTCAGGACACACAACCCCTTTAACCCAACCCAACCCCACCACTAACAACATAACAACCCCTAAACCCAACCCACCACTTAGAACACACCACCCCCTTTAACCCAACCCCACCACTAACAACACACCAACCCCTAAACCCACCCCATCACTAAGAAAACACAACCATTAAACCCAACCCCCCCCCCCCCATAAGAACACACAACCCCTAAACCCAACCCCGCCACTCACCTGGTCCTCATGCTGCACTAGCAGGTAAGAATTGTCCTCGTCGTAGGACCTCTTGAGCAGCAGGACATCGTACAGGGTCAGGTTGTAGGCGGTGGGGGAGAGGGTGAACCTCACGTCCACGGTCCCGTTGGTCCACCACTTGACGGACACGGATGGGGACCATTCCCCGGGGGTCGAGCCGACGCCTACATGTTGATAAGGCAAATATTGTTAGCTGCTTTGATAGGGTGGACGTGGAGCATTGAAATGGTAAAGCGTGGTTATTAAAAAGAGAAGAAAAATTCTAAATTGAATTTGAACTCGCAAGGCGTCGCGGTGGCCGAGTGGTTAAGGCGTTGGACTCGAAATCCAATAGGATTATCCTGCACAGGTTCGAATCCTGCTCGCGACGATAATATTCATTTTTAGCAAATAATTCCATGCTTTAAATATATAAGTTACATATCTTACTTGATATCATCGTATCTTAATAATACTAAAAACTAGATAGTTTATGACAAAGTGTAAAACATTTATACACGAACGCATTTTTTTAATTTTGTAAAAAACAAAAATAAGATTAGACTTTAGATAATATCTGTGATAATGCAATAGAATTTAATAAATCCTTGCTTTCCATCTCACCCTCCCCCACCCCCTTCAGTCTGTAGCTTGTAAACTAGCTCATAGTGTTAACGAAATGAGCTAACTACCCCCTTCCCATATCACTCCACCACAGAGATTTTCCAAGGAACCTATTAACTTTCCGTAGCACCCCCTTCTCCCCTATATATCGTGTAGTCTAGAAGATTCCATCAACTCACGGTACCCCCCCCCCCCCCCCCGTAGTCTAGAAAGTTCCATCAACTCACGGTATCCCCCCCCCCCCCTCACCCCCGTAGTCTAGAATGTTCCATCAACTCACGGTATCCCCCCCCCCACACCCCTGTAGTCTAGAAGATTCCATCAACTCACGGTATCCCCCCCACCCCTGTAGTCTAGAAGGTTCCATCAACTCACGGTATCCCCCACTGGTCTGGAGAAGGACTGGAACTCTGGGCAGACTGGTCAGGCCAGGTGACAGAGGCATGCTGGCCACTGTGACGTCATAGTTCGTGAACCGTGCAGCGTATTGGATGTCGTGGATGAACTTCAACTGTAGAGCAAATAATCCAGGATTAATTCAGTAACAGGTTTGGAAATAATCCAGGATTATTTCATTCAGTAACAGATTTGGAAATAATCCAGGATTATTTGGTGTCAGTAACAGGTGTCGAAATAATCCAGGATTATTTCATGTCAGTAATAGTTACAGGGCAAATAATCCAGGATTATTTCATGTCAGTAATACCTACAGGGCAAATAATCCAGGATTATTTCATGTCAGTAATAGCTACAGGGCAAATAATCCAGGATTATTTCATGTCAGTAATAGGTGTGGATTAAGTGATCTATGATTATTTATTAGCAATACCAACTACGGATAAAGTGATTTAGTATTTATCCCACGTTTTTCATCGCTTATAGTAGAGTGATCGCTTGCATTATTGTGATGTATAGCGTTTATTTTCTACTTTTTAGTTCAATCAGAAAACGTGGGTTTTTATAAACTTTTTTAATGATTATTATTAGAAACTTTCAGGTTCTCATTCAGGAAGACCTGGGTTTGTTCATAATTAGTCTTTTTTTTTATTTTTATTTGGTGAAACTATGCAACTCCAAAAGTCATGAATCGGCGAAAATATTCTTTTAAATGACAATACAAAATTACACAAAATAAAATCAGTAAATTTGCATATAAGAACCATAAAAACAATCGTTCATATAGCACTCAAATCTGTAAATGAACATCTAAAAAAACCTACATCTTCCCCCTTCCACATCCATTGTATTTGCAGCGGGACTGATTCGATTAGCAACAGAGGGTAAAGCCCTACTGCATTTTACTGCAGAATTTTGTCCCGGGGGGGGGGGGGGGGCTAATGCTTAAGGTGGTTATTGACAGTGGGGGAAATTCCTCCAGGGGAAGTAATAACGACAGGGGCGGGAACTTTTCGGGGGAGGGGTAATGTCCTATACTCTATTATATTAGCTATAATCTCTTAGTTGAAAATTATTATTTTTAATTAAAACACTTCATCATTTCGATTTGTCTTCCTTAAAAACATATTATACAACCAAATTCATTAACCGCCAATTAATCTTAAGTACTTACACACTTAATAAGACCTAACACAAAGGCGAGGAGGTGGAAATTCCGTATGAAGTTTAAGAGATGAGCAAGAGCAGGGAAATACCAAAGTGTGAACGAGGAGACGTGACACATAGTTCGTGAAGTACAGCGGTAATTACGTTTAATTTTAAGATCGCGTTTGGGTTTATTTCTGTTTGGTGTGGGTAGCTAGTTTGGTGTGGGTTACATCCTTGATTTGTTTTTATTCGGAGACGGTTAACTAGTACTTAGCCAGTGGAGATGCCCTTAGAGCAAGGGTCGGCAACCTTTTGAGACGGAAGAGCGAAAAGTTAAAATTTTGACTATTTCCCAGTTTTTAAAGAGCCACTGACATTTTTATTTCAATATTTTATTACTTTGTTAGGAAAGGTAAATAAATTATCAAAAAATAAAAATACAGGACTATCCCAATCCTCTTTAGAAACTGTTAATTTTTTTTAAAAACTTTTTTACGGATAATACCGGCTTAGTAGGTGTCTACCATTAGCCAGGCAGGCCTCAACACGGCAAACTCCGACTAACTGGCTAGGATATCGGCTTGATTACCCTGTATCGATCCCTTCTGTCCTTTGGTTCTTACCGGTTTTATCTTCCACCACACAGAGCCCAGGTGGTAGTGGAGTGGGGTCGGATCTGGTGGGGGTCGAATCTGAGTAACAGTATTTAATGGGGAGTCGGGGGGGGGGGGGTAACAGTAATAGTTCTTGCCGGGCGCCGATATGTGTCACTACGTTCTGTCTTTTTTCTAGTTGTAGGTTGACGATAGAGTAGATATTAATCTCATCTCAAACCATTTTCTGACAAAAAATCAAAACCTTTTTGCTGCTGTAGGCTATGACAAAATATTTTATACCTTTTTGTGATAAAATATTTTATACCTTTTTGTGACAAAATATTTCATACCTTTTTGTGACAAAATATTTCCTACCTTTTTGTTACATATTATTTCATACCTTTTTGCTGCTGTAAGCTGGGACAAAATATTTCATACCTTTTTTGTGACAAAATATTTCATACCTTTTTGCTGCTGTAAGCTGAGTTGGGTTTGAACCGGAACAAGCGACAGAGCAGCTCACGTTGTCCATTAGCGTTTTTGTAGGTGGCCTTCAGTAGATAGCCGTGTGGCGTGTTGGTGTTGACTTCTGCTGAGAGAGTGGTGATGGTGTAGGGTAGGCAGGGAGGTATGGTGGGAGGAGACAGAGAAAGGGAGGAGGGAGGTGATGGTGTATAGTAAGCAGGGAGGTATGGTGGTGGGAGGAGACAGAGAAAGGGAGGAGGGGGTTATGGTGTAGGGTAGGCAGGGAGGTATGGGTATGGTGGGAGGAGGCAGAGAAAGGAAGGATGGAGGTGATGGTGTAGGGTAGGCAGGGAGGTATGGTGGTGGGAGGAGACAGAGAAAGGAAGGAGGAAGGTGATGGTGTAGGGTAGGCAGGGAGGTATGGGTATGGTGGGAGGAGGCAGAGAAAGGAAGGATGGAGGTGATGGTGTAGGGTAGGGTAGGCAGGGAGGTATGGGTATGGTGGGAGGAGGCAGAGAAAGGAAGGATGGAGGTGATGGTGTAGGGTAGGCAGGGAGGTATGGTGGCAGGAAGCAGAGAAAGGAAGGAGGGAGGTGATGGTGTAGGGTAGGCAGGGAGGCATGGGTATGGTGGGAGGAGGCAGAGAAAGGAAGGATGGAGGTGATGGTGTAGGGTAGGCAGGGAGGTATGGTGGCAGGAAGCAGAGAAAGGAAGGAGGGAGGTGATGGTGTAGGGTAGGCAGGGAGGCATGGGTATGGTGGGAGGAGGCAGAGAAAGGAAGGATGGAGGTGATGGTGTAGGGTAGGGTAGGCAGGGAGGTATGGGTATGGTGGGAGGAGGCAGAGAAAGGAAGGATGGAGGTGATGGTGTAGGGTAGGCAGGGAGGTATGGTGGCAGAAAGCAGAGAAAGGAAGGAGGGAGGTGATGGTGTAGGGTAGGGTAGGCAGGGAGGTATGGTGGGAGGAGGCAGAGAAAGGGAGTTGATGGGAGGATAGGGGGTGAGGTGGAGAAAGAGGGAGATGGGAGAGAAAATGACGGCTCATTAGCAATGTTTTATAAAGAAGATCAGGGGAGGGGAGGGGGTAACAAATAGGGTGAGAGATGAGTGGATTTTAAGGGAATAATTTCGACGATTGAACTGCGTGTGTGTGTGTGTGTGTACATGAGTGTGTGTGCATGTGCATGCGTGGTTTCATACATCCAGGTATTTAAGACATCGTCAAGCCAATGTTTATAAACCACCCCCAGGTAAACTAAAGCTACCTGTCGCCGGTTTCTCCCAGGTGACGCGCACGCCTGGTATGACATCATCATTATAAGGACTATTCAAACTGATCAGATCAACATTGATCGGGTCTTCGATTGTGTATTGATCTCTCGGATAGCCTTCGGGCAAGGAGGAAGAGTTTAAACTCTGTACAAAATTGCGGCAATCTATTTCAGAAAAAAAGAAAACATAAAGAATTAATTTTTGTTCGTGATTTTAAACAAACGAACAATGCTGTTCAAACAATAATGTATTATATGAAACCCAAGCAGTAGCGATTATTATATGTAAAAACATTTTCTGAACTTTAAGCTCGACTAGCGCTTCAGCTTTAGTGTTTTTGTGTTGTAGGGGGAGTACAGTGATAATAGAGCATGTCTTTGATAACCCGAAAATCACCAGCCGCCTATAGCTTTACTCAAACGTCATAGGCTGATAAAATAAAACCTTGATGGAAAGAAAAGGGTGATCGTGGCTTTTGAAATGGGCAGAAGAATTGGTATATTTCATTGGTCTTTGGTGGGCATTGATTATGTGAGACTAGCAGTGGCGTAGCGAGGTCGGGTGTCACCCGGCGCGGCACTTAATAGTGTCATCCCCCAGAGGCGTAGCGACCCCAGGGACAAACTTTCAATTTTCTATTTGCACCCCCCCCCCCCTCAAACTATCGATTTACACCCCCCCCCCTCCACCCTTATCGGGATTTGTCAAATTTGCTCGTAAAAGACTATTTAACACTCGAATTAATCACTAAATTAAGTGGAATTATCATTTTTCTCTATATATTTTGCTATTTTTTGCCTTAGTGTCACCCTCTAAATGGTGTCACCCGGTGGCTAGACATAGTGAGCTCATTCTGTAAAGTTTAAGCAGAGTTCACTATTTCTCTGTTTTAATGTAAATAGACAAAATAACGAATTCAATTATTTCCGGGTACGGCGTGGTCGGGCGAGTAAGCGTATGATTGCTAACTCAAAACTCCCGAGTTTGAACCCTGGGCATATGAAGCTCGTTAGCTGAAGACAGCATATCATCTAAATATTTTGGAGGAAATTATCTTCTGTACTTTAATTAAAAACGCTAAAGAACACGATCAAGTACTAACAACATGTAAAACTATACGGTTCTTTTAATTAATATATCAATTCAAAACTAGACTCGAAATGAAATCCAATCTAAACTTTTTGTATAGGAACTGTGTGGTCGAATGGTAACACGAAAATCTCGGGTTCGAGTTCCGTGTTCAACCTAGGAAAGCAAAGCGGCAGGGAATAGTGCAGTAAAACAAGATCCCTTCAAATGTCGAGGTCATTGAATCAGGTGAGCACTGCTGCAACTGTCCCATGAGTCGACAGTTTCGAAGGGTACTTTACTATTTTTGATAGAAATATTTAATTACTAAACAAAAATAATTAAGTAATTAATGATGTCTATGTTAATTTTCACATTATAGCCGAATTCCATCAACGAATCAATTCAAATTTTTTTTAGAAAAGTTTTAAAAATTATTTTTCCCCACGAGAAATCCTTTTTTAAATTAAATTAATAATGGGTAACAAATTCATGATTATTAATTTACCTGCTGTCACGTATTTCTGTTCACACAATTCACTGCTTTCAATCTGTCAAGACATAAATAGATATTGAAGCATGTGAAGTGTTGTTACATGTGAGATATTATGCGACATGCTAAAATTGTTGCTATGTGAAATGCTAACAGTGTGAAAATGTAACGGTGAGAAAAATGTTGAGATATTGTTATGTACGTTAAATTAATTGTTACAAGTGTGAATATGTTACGGGGGAGAAAAATGTAACATGTTAGATATTGTTACCTAAATTATCTGCAAAATTAATTGCTACAATTGTGAAAATATTACATGTGATGTATTGTTACTGAGGTTAAATTAATTGTTACAATTGTGAAAATATTACATGTGAGATATTGTTACTTATGTTAAATTAATTGTAACAAGTGTAAAAATGTTACATGTGGGGTATTGTTACAAACGTAAATTTATTTCTAATGTAAAACTGTTACGTGTGAGGACAAAAAAAGAAAGTACAACACGTATTCTAGCTGTATAGTTACTCTAACACACACTCTCATACGTGATAACGCACATTATAACGATACCACTACAGAAGAACACAAGTACGTCCAAGCATTACTGTGTGTAGCCTACCTCAACATCCCCATCGAAGACCCTCAACTGGCAGTCAGAACCCAGGCAGTTGGCAAACTGGTAGAACCAGCAGACAATGACTAGAGTACACTTGGCAAACTGACTCAACGGTGCCTGGCCAGGCATTGTGATGCGCATGCCCAGAGACTGGTTTAATCTAAAAAAATAAGTATCCAGAAATAATTGAAAGCAATTTGACATAAAAGGCATACATGAATAAATACACATATATATATATATATATATATATATATATATATATATATATATATATATATATATATATATATATATATACATATAGATTTATTTATTTACTTATATATATATATATATATATATATATATATATATATATATATATATATATATATATATATATATATATATATATATATATATATATTCATAAATATAATATATATTCGTATATACATAAATATGTATAGGCCTATATACACGTTTATATACATTTATATATAAAGAATATATATATATATATATATGTATATATATATGTATATATTCATATATATATATATAAATACATGCATACATATATATATATAGTCTCTATATATATACATGTATATACAAATATATAAATATAAATAAATATATATATATGTGTATATATATATATATATTTATATATATATATATATATATATATATATATATATATATATATATATATATATATATATATATATATATAAACATATATATAAACATATATATATACATATATATATATATATATATATATATATAGGCCTATATACATACACATACTTAACGTCAATTCAACGTTATTTGAGGTTGGAAAAATGAAAATAAAAACACAATATATATGAAGCGATCTTGACCATATTTTGAAGAGCCACTTCAAACACTTGTAATTATTCAGGATTATTGTGATCTTATCTTGCTATGTTAGTAATCGCCACACCCCCGACCCGCTCACACATGCCTCGGGACCAACTACAAGCTATGTTGAATATAAGATCCTAGTTTTTCACTATCCAACTGCGACCAACTGCGTTTTGCCTGGCGAGTGGTTTGTATTTTCCGGGCAAAGTTTTGAACTCTTTGGGCCGCGAAATAGGAAGTGTATTATATGTTTGTATGGATGAAGACTGGAGTGTGTAGTTCGCTGTAAAATGTTGTATGTGTGTTATTCCCCGTCACCACAGTATGACCATTAAAGGTGGACTGACAATGGAAAGAGTGTGTGGTGGGGTGGGTGGTGAAGGGGAGGGGGGGGTCACTGTCATTCAACGTTTGTTTGTTTTTTATTCATAAAAATATCGGTTAAGCTGAAAAAGGTTTAATGTGTTTTTTATGGACTAGTAGAGATTCAAAATTAGTTCTGAGTTAGAAATGGGCGTGAAAATTATAGGCAGTGCTGTGAACAATATATATATATATATATATATATATATATATAGCTATCACTTAGATATTGAACCATGGTCACTCATAGCTCCTTAAAGTTCTTTTCAAAATAAGCCTTTAAAGTGCGTGTCTTCTGCTCTCCCAAAATCTCTCACCTTAAACACAGACTCAACTTTGAGTTACAAAACCAGGAATATGAGTGGAGAAAGCTGAGATGAAAATCATGAGCTGAAATTGATGATACACATGGAATCTTGGTGCACCAATTAATTTTTAAGCTAAAATTGATGTAAGACATGTAATCTTGGTGCACCAAATGCGATGTAAGTGAAAATTGATTAAACACATGGAATCTTGGTGCACCAATGTTAACGTGTTGAAATTATGAAAAGAAGGCCAAGGTGGAACGAAAGTCAGAAGAAAACAATCTTACACACCCCTCTCAAAGATGGTGTGATAATGGTGACGACCGTATAATCATGGTGTCACGATGGTGTTATGGTCTTTTGGTTCTAGTAGATAGCAATCATTAATTATGTTTAAAATCTAAAGAAAAATTTAAAAATCTAATTATGTCAAAGTTCACGTTAAATTGCATTGTCATCAGATCTTGACCTACGTGTCAAGTTTGAAATAAATCGGTTCGGAAGAACTCTTTGAAATTGTGTTCGCGAGTTTCGATCTAGAACGGACGTACAAGAGGGAACGGGGTGGTCAAATGAGAGAGCTGGTACTTTACCTGGAGATAGCACCCCATAGAGGAGTGAAAACTACAAAATCAAACAATTCCTGGCTTGTAGTTTGTTTTTAAATGGACAAAAGCTACGGAGGCAAATCCAGAAAGAAAAGTAGGCTAAAGTCGGACTCAACGAGCCATAAACGCATAACATCTTGATATATAATAACTTATTGTGTGGAAGAAAATCCCCTTCAGTATTACAATTAAGAACGAATAAGAATAAAAGGAATCAAGCTAGATAAAAGCTTCTAAAACCGCGCCGTATAATTATACAGTATCAATAACATATAGGTCTTCGTCTTTGACTATCTGACTTCGAACAGAATTCATGTTTATAGGACTAACAAACACATTTTTTTTACTTTTAGTAAAATAATAATAGTCTAATATTTTAAAATATATCTTAGATCCTGAGTCCACTCTATACTTTGCCGACCTGTGGCTTATACAATTTATACTACTAATACATCCGTCCTTTAAAAAAAAATATCTAACAGTATTGAAACTTTCGTTGTTACAGCGATATTTACAATACTGGGTTTTCTTATCATAAAATGAAAAGTTACGCACCTACTGAATAAGAGCTGGAAAAGTTACGCACCTACTGAATAAGAGCTAACCACAGGCGATCAGATTTGACGTGACACCGTTAAAGTCTGCTTGCCTGTCTATTTCAAAAGTTTTATACGTATATTTATATCCCGCTGCCAAGCTATGCGTATTAAATATCCTGTTATCTTGATCAGACAGTACGTTTTATATTAAAAAAAAAACTTCTACTGCAAGTTCTGCGGCGCAATAATTTAATATGTTTATTTTTTAATTTCAAAACGGATCTAATGTTTACGCGGATGTTCGGTTCTTCCTACTTGCATAGAATTTGGCTTATAAAATATTTCGGTTTTAAGAAAATACAATCAGCAAAAGTTATCGCCCTTTTGAAACAATAGCGACGCCAGGGGAGATATGTATGTTCATGCACAATTAAAGCATTTCCGTGATTAGAGAAGATAGTAGAACAGATCCTAGGACTAAGTTGAGTAGATGATAACTATCTGGTACGAAACGTAAAAAACAAACAGGAGTTTAGTTCTCCGTGCAGTGAGGTGGTTGAGATAATAATCAAAACTAGAAGCTAGATCGTAATACAATGTGGGAAGTTAGAATATGTAGGCATTTATAGGGGCTTATATATAGTATATACTGATATATATATATATATATATATATATATATATATATATATATATATATATATATATATATATATATATACATGTTTACATATTTACATGTAGGCCCTATACATATATAATATAGTTGTGTACATATATATACATGTATACATATACATTAATATACACATAACACACATATACACATATTCATATTTATATATATATACACATATATATATATATATATATGTAGATATATAATATACATACATGTATATTTTTATGTATATATATACATATAATATATAAATATATATAAATTGGTTTGTTTATATATATATATATATATATATATATATATATATATATATATATATATATATATATATATATATATATATATATATATATATATATATATATATATATATATATCGAAACAGAGTCGTCGAAAATTCAAACGAACGAAACCGTTTAAATTATTAAAATTAATTTAATTATATACTCGGAATAGTAAAGTGTTCCATATTTTAAAAAGTCGATCATAAAATAAGAGAGTGATATATAAAACATTGAAGAATCGACTTACTTTCCTCAGAGCTTACTTTTTACGAAACACAGCGTGAAGGGGCGAGCCAGGTGAAGGTTATATTGTTTTAGGTGACAGTTTTCTTTCAGGTAAACATTACATAACACTATAGCGCGGTTCTATGTTCGATGATTCGATTGGCAATGTGTTGGTAAATCGGCTTTATTCAGGCTTTATAATGACATTAAGAATAAGGACCAGTGGCGTAGGCAGGATTTTCTCAAACTGGGGGCCACACCGGGTGACACCAATTAGGGGGGGGGGTGTGACACCAAGGCATAAAATTGCTAAATTTCTCAGAAGAAAAATGTATATATATATATATATATATATATATATATATATATATATATATATATATATATATATATATATATATATATATATATATTTATATATATATATATATATATACATGCTTTGAGATTATTGTGGGGGTTCCATCTTTCTACCCTCACGGGCCACCTACCCTCCCTCCACCACTCCCCCCATACCCTTCTACTTCACCGACCAGGATATAAATTGTTGATTCGCACCACATGCCAGTAAAATATAAGGTGCTGTAAAGTATACGAAGCCCTCCACAAACTTCCGACACACGGCCTCCAAAAAAACGCCTATGCATTACGTCACTGCCATGTATTATGAGTCTGTGCATTGCGCAATCGCAACACGGGGAATCTATGGCTGTATATACCACCCAGTCCACGATCTAGTGAATATCGGTTTGCAAACATAAAACTGTTTTTTTTAAACAACGTTCTAGTGTAAGAACTAGCACTTGAAGATAAAACATATTTACTCAGAGTCACATTTCTTTCTTTTTTTTAGTTTATTGTAATTTAGTCGGCAGTATCATGAGGTAGGGCTTAGTAGATAAGGTTTAAAGAGGGGTCATGCCGCCTATCACATACCAGGAGGTAATATTTTAAAGTCAGGATTGAAGGTCAAGGTTGCTTAGAAATAGGCTACTAGTACTTTGGTTCGATTAACCAAATACTTTACTTTCTAACGTGTTTCTTTTAACGGCATCGCATGTTTACAGGCTTTTTTCTTTTCTTATCTCATTTATTATAAAATTATTTCTTTAAAGTTATCCAGATTAATGCATATTAATCAACGTACAAAAAGTCGGATTTCTAATGTAATTAGACATTAATTTAGTCATTAAAAATTAATTTAAAGACTACTATAGGCATTAACAGGGATCTGTATGTAATTTACAGATGAGGCGTTCAAATGCATCCAAGTTTGATAAGTTGGGTGCGATCATTATTGTTGATAATAATAAAAAAAAATATTTTCGATTTTGCCTTCAAAGTGGTCGAAAAAATTCTTTAAAAAAAATAACTTATCCTGAAAATAATTAAGAAATGTAATACTTTCAGAATCAAAGTTATAAAAGTGCTATATCCAGAGAACTTTTTTTTTAAATATTTTTTTGAGTTTAACACATTTCTATTTATTTTTATCAAGACTAAAGTATAACCAGAAGTTTCAATTTCGAAAGCCAAACATTGATTGGTTAAACAGAAACTCCGTAATTAATCTTCTGAGAACCCACAGTTTAGTCATTACTACTCAACACTTTGACGATAAAATTTAAAATGAAATGATTTTAAAAATAAAACACATTACTTACTTCTACCATTTTTGTTTCTATTTTATATGATAAAGAGAAAACAACAATATAATTTGTTGTTTTTTGTTGTTTTTTTTTTAATTTATTCTAGTTACCTAAAATACTAAAAACATCAAATATATCCGATCTTCATTGTAGTTCGACAAAAAACCTGACAATAAATTTTTTATAACATTTTTTTCAAGCTAAAGTTTATTTTAATTTAAATTTTTTTACCACAGCCATGAAGGTAAAAATTGACAAAAACACGATTTTTTTCCACGTCAGCAATAGTTATGGAAGAATGCTGGTCAACTCGTTGATCTCCATTAGGAAAGTTTTTTATGGCATTTATCTCCTTGTTTTTTTTTTAAGTTTTTTTGGTCAATTTCTTTTCCTCGTAATAACAAACGCTGTCATCGAAACAAGTTGTCTTAAGTTAAACAAAGAAATAGAAGCAAGCAGTGTTTCTTCCAGACTTTTTTCTCCGGGAGGGCACTTGAAATCTTCGGGGGGGGGGGGGCGGTAAACTTTCTTCGGGGGGGCGGACACTGTTAAAAGTATATATTTTCTATATAAATTATATACATTTCATTTCGTTCGGGGGGGGGGGGGCGGTAAAAAAATTTCGGGGGGGCTTTGCCCCCCCCCCCCCCCCGAAGAGATGCCTAGAAGAAACTCTGGAAGCAAGTTTAGCAGTGGCTAGTTTTAAAATATTAATACACACACTATTCTTTCTAAATCTTTGTAGCATGTACCTTTTAAAAAGATCTCTGAAATTAAACTTCACTTGCGTTAATTTAAAATAGATTGTTGCACATTTTATTTCCTGATCGGAGCCCGTTAAAGCTGTATTTGGTGACGTCGATCTGACTGCTTCAAGAATAACAAATTAGGGTTCGAACTCTAATTCTTTTGCTTCTATATTTTTTTTAACTTGTTAAGTTTAATATCCAACACCGTTCTGCGCCGCATCTGATTAAATAATATACTTTTCTTTCGCTATTACATTGTACAAGGTTTAGTGCATATTTTCTCACTAAACATAATCTCTCTAATCTGAAGTTTTGATGGTATTAGCTATGGGTGTGGTGTGTGAGAGAATTATATTGTAGGTTTCTTTCCTTTTGCTTTTTCAGTTGGTGGGTTTAATGTTAAACGAAAAAAATGTAAAAAAAAACAAGTTAATTAAAAAAAGTCTAGTGACATTTGTGCGCAATTTCCTTATGTTATCTAAAAATAGCTCTGACGTATAATGTTGGGGTGCGTTCAAGCTAGAAGAACAATCGGTTTGTAGGTGTTTATGTAATTTTAAAATTTGTGACCGAACGAGAGAATATTTTTGAAAACTTTCTTCGGCAATATTGTTCTAAATTATGACAGGAATCGATTGGTACATGTTTCAAGTCGCTAAGTGGTCTGGTTGCCGAGATATGGGCCAAAAACTGCATTTTTTCAAGGTTTTTTGGCTTTTCCGGGAAATACATGAAAGAAACCCGGAATTTTTATGGCCTATGCTCATTCTCGTAACTTGCTTAACATAATTGCTTTTGGAACTAGTCATCGATATTGCTTCGTTGAAAAGGAGATACGACTTAAAGCCCGGACACACATTCATCCATCCATCCATCCATTCCCAGAAATGACGAGTTAATAAACGCAATTCTCCAGAATGGAAATTGCGCTAAAAACCATTTTAATAACAAGCTTTTATATTACAATAATGCTTTAAGAAGCAGGGGAAATAAGAATTTCCTAAGATTAATAATGATGCACTACTATTTTAAAAAGTATAAAGAAATGCGTGGAAATTAATATTATCTATGAAATAGCTTTAATAAATTTAAGAAATTACCCACGCATTTCTTTATACTTATTTAAATAGTAGTGCATTTTTCCACTTTTTAGTATTTTGTATACAGGCTTGTTACTAAAACGTTTTTATTTTAAAATGCCCATTCTTTAAAATGTTTACCACAATAATTCGTTTCCTTAAAAACAATTGGCACCAAATGAATATAGACAAAGTTCGCTCGCCAGTTTCCACCCATAAGATTAAAAAAAAAACAAAAAGACAGAGGAAGTAAGTTAAATAAAAGCTTGAAAAAAAAATGAGTATACTTTACGTTTTTCCCAGTTTGAGATTTGATTTGTTTCTAAATAGCAACTGAAATGGGATGTTAATTATAGAATATAAAGTGAATTACAACGCAAGATTTGAATACTTGAGTGTATAAGATGACTTCACTTAATCTTATCATGTCAGACTTCTTGAACTTACGTAATGAGATGACGAATCTATCAGATTTAATGGCTTGAGATTTAAAGATTAGTATTGAAGAGAACGTAAGAGAAAGCTGCTAAAATATTAGATGGATCGTTGAAATCAACAACCTCTTAGATGGATTTAAAAAGAAATTTTAGAATTTTAGAAAAATAAAACTTACGTGTTAGTTTTTATCGCTGATTGGTGACACAATCTCACTGGTGACACAGCCTTTGTGGTGAGACTAGCTGTTGGCGATACAACCTCACTGGTGACACAATTTCACTGGTGACACAACCTCACTGATGAGACGAGCTACCTGGTGATACAACCTTACTGGTGAGACAACCTCATTGCTGACACAGCCTCGCTGGTGACACAACCTTACTGGTGACTCTAACGGCCTGGTGACATGATACCGGCTGACTGGTGATACTCCCTGCGTTTTAAACTATCAGATAACACACATACACCATAGTTCACCCCCTGTATAACAGCAACAACCCTGATAAAATACAACCCGCCTATTACTGCACCAAAGACCTCTCCTGTTTAAATAGATCAACTACCTGCCGTACGCAACCAGAACATAAAAGGTGTGTCGCGTCGATTGTCTTATAAATACCTGGGTATCGCACGATCTGAGATTTTTTTTTACAACCGCGAAATCACACGCAAATAATTGTCACCCGCAGTTACGTTTTCGTTATAAATTGTACAGCTGTAAATTTTAGACAAGCTGGATTATTCATTGATTTTACGAGCAGGGACTTTTGAAAAACTGCGTCCCTCCCAATAGACGATTGTCAGTTAGTCATAAAAACGTGATAGAATTGATGATAGGGTAAACAGCGTTTCTTACTAAGTGAAGACTAGGCGTAACACTTAAGAATCGAAGGTGTGGTCGAGAGTTGGAGGTACCCATGAGAGTCACGAGTTCTGATCTCAGGGTCGTGTCTTGGGTGACTCCGAGTCCACCCAGTCGTAATATTGGAAAAACGTGCCGAGGTCACATGGAGCAGTCAAGCTCTACTTCATCTGTCTTGTTAAGTGTTAGATCCGAAAGGTTGATTTTATTTTTTTAATATCTAAGCCTGAGTTTGTGCAGAAGCCCCTGGTATTTAGGTTCCCAGGTTAGATGGTATTTAGGTTCCCTGGTTAGATGGTATTTAGGTTCCCTGACTAGATGGTATGTAGGTTCCCTGGTTAGATGGTAATTAGGTTCCCTGGCTAGGTGGTAATTAGGTTCCCTGGATAGATGGTATTTAGGTTCCCTGGTTAGATGATATTTAGTTTCCCTGAATAGATGGTATTTAGGTTCCCTGACTAGATGGTATGTAGGTTCGCTGGTTAGATGGTATTTAGGTTCCCTGGTTAGATGGTAATTAGGTTCCCTGTCTAGATGGAATTTAGGTTCCCTGACTAGATGGTATGTAGGTTCGCTGGTTAGATGGTATTTAGGTTCCCTGGTTAGATGGTAATTAGGTTCCCTGTCTAGATGGAATTTAGGTCCGCTGGCTAGATGGTATTTAGGTTCCCTGGCTAGATGGTATTTAGGTTCCCTGGTTAGATGATATTTAGGTTCCCTTGCTAGATGTAGATGGTATGTAGGTTCCCTGGTTAGATAATATTTAGGTTCCCTGGTTAGATGGCATTTAGGTCCGCTGGCTAGATGGCATTTAGGTTCCCTGACTAGATGGCATTTAGGTTCCCTGGCTAGATGGTATTTTGGGATCCTAGCTAGATGGTATTTAGGTTCCCTTGCTAGATGGTATTTAGGTTCCCTGGCTAGATTTTATTTAAGGCCACTGGCTAGATGGTATTTTGGGCCACTGGCTAGATGGTATTTTAGGCCACTGGATAGATGGTATTTTAGGCCACTGGATAGATGGTATTTTAGGCCACTGGATAGATGGTATTTTAAGCCACTGGCTAGATGGTATTTTAGGCCACTGGCTAGATGGTATTTTAGGCCACTGGATAGATGGTATTTTAGGCCACTGGATAGATGGTATTTTAGGCCATGACAGACTGGTACTTGGGGCCTCTAGCTAGATTGTAATTTGGGCCCCAGGTTAGATGGTATTTGTTTGCCACTAGCTTACCCTCTCAGGATGGTATTAGGTTCCTAGGGTGTTTTGTTTTCGAGGCCCTCCCTTGACTGAATGGCTTCGGCGCTCCTGGGGTAGTTGTCAATGAGGGTTTATATTAGGGTTAATGTTAGGTCAATGTTAGAGTAATGTTATCAGTAAATGTTATAGTAAATTATCGGGTTAATGTTAGGCTTAATGTAAGGTGTAATGTAAGGTGTAATGTAAGAAGAGTTTTAGGGTTAATGTTTAGGTTAAAGTGTTAAATTCACCTAGTATCCGTAAACGTATTAGTAATAGTAAATCTAAAAACTGAATTTCCGACTCACCTCAATGTCTTCGTTAGAATATAAATCAATTAATAAAACCAGAAGTCCTAATCCAATTCAAGAATTACACACACATATATTATATTTTATACCCCCCACAGTCAAACATAAACCGACACGACCGGTCAGTGTTGCCAAAAAAAGTAACCAAATTTAGTCCGATAAGGAAATTTAAACAAAAAATAACAATTAATTATCTGTTCGTGTGGTTTATTACTTCTAGCGTATACGCTGAAAAATGCGGAAATTTCTGTTAAATGGGACATAACTCGTTATTTACATCACACGTTTGACGCAACCTCCCTTGCGATGCTATCTCTCAAGGTGTTACCGTCCCTGTTCTGGTGGAGAAGGTTAAATTATAAATTACAGGTAAACGCTGGAGGCTCAATCAACTCTCCCGGCCTTGAATTCTCAAGGTCAACGTGTGACGTGTTATTATTTATTCGACCATTTATTTTAATGCGGGGAGACAACTCAAGCAAGTGTACAATTATTACATTTATTTAATTAGTCGTTAATTAATAATTAATGTCTATTTTAAGCGGTGACTCATGCTGAGAAATGTTAGACTGTGCAGTTTTTGTTCCTGGCATATCTTTCAAGATCTCGTTCAAACAAAATTTAATAAATAATGGGAGAATACCAGCGTTTTTCCCCCGTAGTCGTTTTTCCCGTTCACAGAGGAATTAAACTATGTTCCTACAGCTGGCGTGTCCACAGCGTTACAGCTGTTTACTTTAACTGAGTAGCAAGCTGTGTGTTTGTAGATTTTTCTATTGCTTGTCTATGACACCCATGCCGGTGTCACTGGTGCAAACACCATCACGGGCAGAGTTTCTTTCAGGCATTTCTTCAGGCACTTACCCCCCCCCCCCTCCCCTAAAACTGTAGCAACAACCCGCCAGCATGAACCCATCGACGACAATCCACAACGCCAACCCACCGTCAACAACCCACCAACTGAATGTGAAGGACCTATGAATAACAACACAACAACCAAAAAAACCAACGTCGAAAACACCAACCCTAGCCCACCGTCAACAGCCCACTGTAACAACTCACCAACATAAACCCATCGACGACAATCCACAACACCAACACCAATCCACCAACCGAACATCAACGACCCATGAATAACAACACACTAACCAACAAAACCAACATTGAAAACACACCGCCCTAACCCACCGTCAATAACCCATCAACACCAAAATGAACCAAACCGTCACAACTATGTACTATACACCACCTGACACCAAACACAAAACAAAACATGACGCAGAAAATGTCGGTCGTCACTACAAGCTGAGATTGTCACACTGACATTAGACACTTTTTACCATTTGACTGACAGTGATCTCCCCTTATACCTGACCGATAAGGGGCGAATACTCGACCAGTAGTAAACAACTGTGCTGGGAATAGAGCAATCAGGAAGAAGTCTAGTATGTAGACACTGAACTTCCTGTTGAACGCCATATCATGATGTTTACATTGGATATCCTTAAACCATAAGCAATTCACTGACTTCATATTTTTTACTGTTGATTTTTACTTTCTCGTATACGAAGTATAGAGGAGGTATTGTAATCGTGCAAAAAATTGAAATCGATATTATTACAAATTCGACGCTTTACACGTCCCTGAGTCGGAAAAACATAATTTTGCAAATTTGTCCGTTTGTGTGTGTTTGTATGTGTGTGTGTCTGTCTTTCAACACGATAACTTGAGTACCATTACAGCTAGGTTGATGAAATTTCATATATAAGTATAATATCAAATATGTAGTTCTATATCAACTTTTCAGCGATTTCCGATAACCAAAATTGGAACTTATTCTACTTTTAGTTTTTTAAAAGCCTCTAAATTCAGTACTGTTTCAGACAGACGAACAAAATTTCACATATAAGTAAAAGATCTAATGTTCTGCCTTCTGTCACTTTTTGAGTAATTTCCGTTGACAGAAAGTAGTAATTGGCGCTATTTCCAATTTATCAAAAAACGCGTATGAGTTTTAAAGTACTAATAATATTATTACTATTATACACATATTGTTTGCCATTCACTTTTTTGCCATTCTTTTTTTTTTACGAGATTCTATTCTATTTTTTTAAAAGTTTAAGTAATTAAAAAGTGGATTTAAAATATTGTCTATATCCCGAGTGGCCATCCCCTTAGTGTTATATAAGAATATTCGAGAAAATTTAGGGGAGATCACTCCCGGTTTATTTATAGTTCACGCAATGGGTCTGCCAAATTTATATCATGGTTCTTCAAGTTAATGGAGTTGATTTGGTCATCAGCTGACGAACACTAGGCTAGCATGTAAGTGTAAATCCTGGGTTAGTTTGCATAAAAAAAAATTAAAACAATAAATACATTTTTAAAATGTAGAGTCAGATTCCCGGGCGTGTAGGAAATCCCTGAGTTCATCTAGCTTTGATGGGTACCTGGCACAATCAGTGTTAGCACGTCACCATTAGCACACCCCCACCAGCATACAATTCCATTAGCACACCTCTCATGGCAAGCACACACTACCACAACACCATTAACACAATCCCAGTAGCCCAACACCATTAACACAACTTCATTAGAAACTCTATTAGCATACCAACCTTGACACAACATATTCATAAATTAAACCTAAACACAAATGTAAATTCTCACACAACCTTGTTGACCTTTCCATTTATCCGCCTGTGATTTCGTGGAACCATCACAATGGGCGACAGTCAACCAGGCACGGATATGCTCAGGGCAGTCTGTTCCTTCAGCACTGCTTTCGTCACGGTGGTGGATCATGGTATGTAATCAAGTGTCCGGTTTCAATTTTTTCTGTCAATCACCAAGCTATGAGTACGTGACTTTATTGACCTGTTTTATGTTGTTTGTATAGTTTATCCCAGACAACCCCTCTATCTAACGTCAACACTTCACTACTCATCCACCAACTAACACCACCCCTCCACCTGTAAACACCACCCTTCCAACAATGAACACCACCCCTCCACCAACCGATACCACCCCTCCACCAACCGATCCCACCCCTCCACCAACCGATACCACCCCTCCACCAACCGATACCACCCCTCCACCAACCGATACCACCCCTCCACCAACCGATACCACCCCTCCACCAACCGATACCACCCTTCCAGCAACACCACCCATCCAGCTACCAACACGTCCCCTCCAACAACCAATATCAGCATAACACCTCCCTTCCACCAACACCACCCATTCACCAACCAACACTACCCCTCCACCAACCGATACCACCCCTCCACCAACCGATACCACCCCTCCACCAACCTATACCACCCCTCCACCAACCTATACCACCCTTCTACCAACACCACCCATCCAGCAACGAACAGCAGCATAACATCGACCCTCCACCAACACCACCTCTCCTCCAACCAACACCACCTCTCCACCAACCAACTCCACACCCCCACAAACCAACTCCACACCCCCACCAACCAACTCCACCTCTCCACCAACAAACACCACACCTCCACCAACCAACTCCACACCCCCACCAACCAACTCCACACCCACACCAACGAACTCCACCTCTCCACCAACCAACACCACCCCTCCACCAACACCACACCTCCACCAACCAACACCACCTCTCCAACAACCAACACCACACCTCCACCAACCAACTCCACCAACCAACACCACCCCTCCACCAACCAACACCACCTCTCCACCAACCAACACCACCTCTCCACCAACCAACTCCACCTCTCCACCAACCAACACCACCCCTCCACCAACACCACCTCTCCTCCAACCAACACCACCTCTCCACCAACCAACTCCACACCCCCACCAACCAACTCCACACCCACACCAACGAACTCCACCTCTCCACCAACCAACACCACCCCTCCACCAACCAACACCACCCCTCCACCAACACCACACCTCCACCAACCAACACCACCCCTCCACCAACCAACACCACCCCTCCACCAACACCACACCTCCACCAACCAACACCACCCCTCCACCAACCAACACCACCTCTCCACCAACCAACACCACCTCTCCACCAACCAACACCACACCTCCACCAACCAACACCACCCCTCCACCAACCAACACCACCTCTCCACCAACAACACCACCTCTCCACCAACAAACACCACCCCTTCACCAACACCATTCATCCACCAACAAGCAAAACCCCTCCACCAACCAACACTACACCTCCACCAACAGACACTACCTCCTCCCTCCACCAACCAACACTACACCTCCACCAACAAACATCAATAGTCCAGCAATGGCCCTCCATCACCACCCCTTAACTGCCATTTCTTCATCACTAACAACCCATTCCCCCCACCAATAATTACCTTTCCACCACACTTGCAGCCCCTCTCCCCACCCACCCGTTTCTTACTGAAACTTAGGTTTACATTATTGACGAGTTCCGACTATCTGTACCAAGGGCCACAATCTCTACCGTCTCTAACCAAAGGCGGATAACTTGAAATTTGTTGGCACACACTGAGCGATGACTTGTTTTATTTATTTAATTTTTTACTATCTTTTTTTTTGGCCTCAGACAAGTAATTTACAGCGTTCGTTTGCCTTGCCATGTTGGCTTTAGTATTTAAGTTTTCATCATCGCTTGTGAGGACTGATACAACGTTAAAACAGCAATACTTCTTTCTCACAAATAGGCCCTCTTTTCATTCAGTTGCTTCCCCTAATAGCTTTATTAATCTAGTTTTATTTTATGTCATTTTACTTTCTTCATTTGATTACTATATTATGATGCACTTTATTATCTGTCTTTAAAACTGCATAAAACTACAATTTAAATATTTGGTAATGTTTTAAAAAAAAACTCATATAATATAGCAAGGGAAGAATGTTAGTTTTTTTACCATTTTACTCAACATGCCATTCTTGCTTGCTTGTATTTTCCTTCAATCCCGAATGTATTTATCATAGGCTCATACCTCTCCCCCTAACACAGCCCACCAAACAACTCCCACAGACCCCAAGCCAGCTTCCCATTGCGCATTAAAACACCATTTTAAAAATATTTTCATTTTCAAGTGTTAAAATAAAAAGAAAATTGAAACGAGACGTTTTTACGAGTTCAAGATCTGATAAAATTCGACAAGATAATGTGCTGTCATGTGTAGACACAATTCATGGGTCGTGTCCAGAGTTTCTTCCAGGCATCTCTCCGGGGGGGGGAGCGAAGCCCCCCCCCCCCCTCGAAAAATGTTTACCCCCCCCCCCCCCCCCCGAACGAAATTTATATAATTTATATAGAAAATATATACTTTTTAAGTGTCCACCCCCCCCCCCCCCCGAAGAAAGTTTACCGCCCCCCCCCGAAAATTTCAAGTGCCCCCCCCCCCCCTCGGAGTAAAAAGTCTGGAAGAAACACTGGTCGTGTCATATGAACTAATTAGCTATTCACAATTGACACACCACCCCTCCACCAACCAACACCACCCCTCCACCAACCAACACCACCCCCTCACCAACCAACACCACCCCCTCACCAACCAACACCACCCCCTCACCAACCAACACCACCCCCTCACCAACAAAACCACCCCTCCACCAACCAACACCACCCCTCCACCAACCAACACCACCCCTCACCAACCAACACCACCCCTCCACCAACCAACACCACCCCTCCACCAACCAACACCACCCCTCCACCAACCAACACCACCCCTCACCAACCAACACCACCCCTCACCAACAAAACCACCCCTCCACCAACCAACACCACCCCTCCACCAACCAACACCACCCCTCACCAACCAACACCACCCCTCACCAACAAAACCACCCCTCACCAACAAAACTACCCCTCCACCAACCAACACCACCCCTCACCAACAAAACTACCCCTCCACCAACCAACACCACCCCTCCACCAACCAACACCACCCCTCCACCAACCAACACCACCCCTCCACCGACCAACACCACCCCTCCACCAACACCACCCCTCCACCAACCAACACCACCCCCTCCATAACACTCGTCTGTTCATTCAGTAAATGTTATTGTGATTGAAAAACTGGTATGTTAATTCAGTAAATGTTATTGTGATTGAAAAACTGGTATGTTAATTCAGTAAATGTTATTGTGGTAGAAAAACTTGTATGAACTGTGTAAAGTATAAGCTTGATGTAAAATAAACATATTTTATTTAATCATCACCATAGCTAAACCATGGACTCTACTGTCTCTATTAAAAGATGAGTCTGAAAGTAGGGACTTTATCTCATTAGTTTTAAACGAAAACGAATAGCATTAGAATTGTAGAACGTTTTGGTATATTACAGGGAGATAACAAGTTTTTAAAAGGTTAACTTGGCTGGGATAATTAGTGATTACCCCAAAAACAATGTTCCAATACCAGGAAAATCGATTTCTTTTTTTCATTTTTCCAGTTTTTGTTAGAACAGAGTTAAATTTCTTCTAACGTTCCCAAATGTAATGTTTAACACAATACGTTTTGTCTGCACTGATGCTATTATCACTTGGTTATGTTGTCAAGTTATACCTAGACTTTTCTAAAAGGTTATTTTAATTTTATATCAAAGCCAAATCGCCTGTTTTTTTTATTTCAGCCTAAATAATTACTTTTTTTCAAAATTGGAAGTAATATGGCTGTAAGTAAAAATAAATTACTCCTGTCTATTACACAGTGTACTTGTAAAAAAAAGTCCATTTTTCTTAACATATAGGCCTTATATTTTTATTTAATTTACATATAATTTTATTATCAAATGTGCTGCAAAAAATGTTTTAGGACACAAAATGTGTGAATTATTTGAGTAGCCTGTATGTAACATTTACTTCAATGTTAAGACTCAATTATAAACTCTTACATGAGGAGTAGACCTATATATAGCATCTGTAGTGTGTGGGTCAAGCTATGTCCCCGGGCGCCGACCTTAGGGGGGGGGGGGGGGGCGCCCAATTGAAAGTTTGAGGGGGGAGGGGGTGCAAATGAAAAGTTCGAGGGGGGGTGCAAATCGAAAATTTGCTCCCAAGGGGGCGCCGAATTGAAAGTATGTCCCCGGGCGCCGGGAAGGGCCGCTACGCCTCTGAACCTGAACAAGCAATCAAATATTTACCACGAATTTATAACTCAATCACATACATAAGAAAAACAGACACAGGGTTTTAACAGCAAATCTATTAAACATTTTATTTTGATGGTAACTATGTTTATACATTTATCAAGCTTTACAAAGATGTACTAGCATATGCAAAGTGTATGTTATAAAGCATGCCATATAATATTGCTTGTATATTGTAGAAAACACAATACTCAGAACATTGTTATTAAATTTGCTACAAAGCTGATTATTTTTTTAAAAATAAAACATTTGTTTGGCTTTGCAAAAATGGCAGAAGCTTTTTTTTTTCTTCATTGGATGTTTTTATTACAAGACTTTTCAAGACCTTATAAACTTTGACTTTGACAATATTTAATCAACTCTAGTTATTAGGGTAGAATTCTAAAATAAGCTATTTTTAGATTGTGTGCTTCAAGAAAGTAAGGACTCACTTCAATTCTGTAGCTTAGATTATGCACAATCTATCCATTATCTATATGCGGGTGTTTTTATCCTCTATAGTTCATATATTCAGTTAGTGTAGAGATACTGAAACACAAATTCATACATTTCAAAGCAACTATTGTTTATTCAAGCTTTATGACAAAATAGTGGTTGAAAGGGTAGAGCGCATGAATGCTAACCCAAAAGTCCTGAGTTCAGATCCCAGATATAGGATGTCTGAGTCCACCTAGCACTGATGGGTACCTAACTCATGATAGGTTTGAAAGGTTAACTTCATAATGGCACATTTTTAGGAACCAAATGATATTTCATATTAATCATTCATAGTATCTATAACTAAAAATCTGTGACAGATTTTATTTTAAAAATAGCCTTACCTTACAGTTACATACAGCTTATCTTTCCATGTATGTAAATACTTTGCTAGACCCTCCTCTCCCATAAGTAGCATGTAACTATGTAGATTTCACCTGTAAATACAACACATATATAGCCATAGATGCTACCATAAGCACATACATTTTTAACATGCATATACACATACATGGACATAAACACAGGTACACTTTCCATGATTCATCCAACTTTAAGAAACTCCAGGCTTTGTTTTTCCTACACATACACATGCAAGTAAATTGTATTCATCAAAAACTACCAGTCAGTATGCAGAAGTGAAGAGATTTTCGAGCTATTCATGACAAGATATGATGGAAATTAATTGAATTTGAAGAATAGCATAAGCAGCCCCAAATAATGTGAAATTTCAGCTTTCTATTGGTGCATAAGGCTAAGAACGAATTATTTGCCAACAGATAACAATAAAAGTAAAGCATCTATAAAACATCTTCCGTTTTCTCTGCTAGCAAATGTGAAAATACATTATCATGAAACAAATGACAATATTTATGTTATAAAATCTTGACATTCAGCAAAATGCCTTATTAGCTCATGTTATTTTTAATTTAGCTTCATTGGGAAAGTTAAAGCATGACTCTTTGCTGGAGTCTCAACAACACTCAATACACAGCCGTAACAGTTAGACATAAGTGAATATGTTGACAAAAGGCAAGGAATGGAGATATTTACCATTAATTCTGTGGCAAGGTTAACAGAAGAGCTACACATAAGTGAATATGTTTACAAAAGGCAAGGAATGGAGATATTTGCCATTAATTCTGTGGCAAGGTTAACAGAAGAGCTACACATAAGTAAATATGTTGACAAAAGGCAAGGAATGGGAGATATTTACCTATAATTCTGTGGCAAGGTTAACAGAAGAGATACACATAAGTGAATATGTTGACAAAAGGCAAGGAATGGAGATATTTATCATTAATTCTGCGGCAAGGTTAACAGAAGAGATACACATAAGTGAATATGTTGACAAAAGGCAAGGAATGGAGATATTTACCTATAATTCTGTGGCAAGGTTAACAGAAGAGATACACATAAGTGAATATGTTGACAAAAGGCAAGGAATGGAGATATTTATCATTAATTCTGCGGCAAGGTTAACAGAAGAGATACACATAAGTGAATATGTTGACAAAAGGCAAGGAATGGGAGATATTTACCTATAATTCTGTGGCAAGGTTAACAGAAGAGATACACATAAGTGAATATGTTGACAAAAGGCAAGGAATGGAGATATTTATCATTAATTCTGCGACAAGGTTAACAGAAGAGATACACATAAGTGAATATGTTGACAAAAGGCAAGGAATGGAGATATTTACATATAATTCTGTGGCAAGGTTAACAGAAGAGATACACATAAGTGAATATGTTGACAAAAGGCAAGGAATGGGAGATATTTACCTATAATTCTGTGGCAAGGTTAACAGAAGAGCTACACATAGATCTAAGTGAATATGTTGACAAAAGGCAAGGAATGGAAGATATTTACCTATAATTCTGTGGCAAGGTTAACAGAAGAGCTACACATAGATCTAAGTGAATATGTTGACAAAAGGCAAGGAATGGAAGATATTTACCTATAATTCTGTGGCAAGGTTAACAGAAGAGCCATGTGCCTAGGGTTTGTTTGAACGCTCTGGGGAAGAGGTCATGCAATATTTTAGTAAAAGCTAATGTATATAAATATATCACTTGATGATTAGAATATTATCCTAATTTTCTTTTACACTTTCCAAATCCCTAAATTTAAGTCTGTAAAATGTCTCTGAGTTCACAAAGCTTTAGTAAGTACCTAGCACAATTAAGCGAATGGAGCTTTGAATATGAATCAGCGCAATGTCTGTGAGTAGACCCAGCTTTAATAAGTACCTAGCATAAATAAGGGGAATAACATGAAGCTTTCGGCTTATATTACATCATTGAGTCCACCTAGCTTTGACTGGTATAACTCATATCAGAAACAGTAAAAATGACAGGGTACAGAGCTGGAGTAACAGACCCAGATCTAGATAATTCTCTCCTTTATCTGTCCCTTGCATGAGCAGCTATGTAAAAAAAGTAAGCAGAAGCTGCACTTTTAAGGAGTGCTTAGAATCATACATGTCAAACCATCCTTTCAAGTGCTATGACTAAAACTAAAAGAAAACTGTAATTCATCTACACCCCAGACCAGTTGGAATTTTTTTTGTTCTTTTTTTTAAATTCAATCACTTATGTCTGCTATTATTTAATTAAGAAATTGCCCAATGAATAAGTGTAATTGCATTCCTGCGCTATACAAGGGGTGCACAGAAATAATGATAAAGATGATGATTTTTAACTGAACTTACTGGAGGGTTTCTTATTCCTATCAGCTAAAGCAAAAATAATAACAATCAAGGTGAAGACAGCTGCAGCCGTTAGTCCTCCGATGAGGCCACCAATTAGAGTCTTGTTAGAACGTGCCTGGGTGGATGGAAACATCTGCGACAACTCTATCACTGTAGTGCTGTAGAGCTCATCCGTTGTGCCCATAGATCCCATTCCTGTGGGCATCCCCGTCTCCGAAGAATGGGAAGTAGAGAATTCTTCCACAGGAGGTAGTGTGGGCAGAGTGGTAGGCTCTGGTGTTGTGGGCTCAGTAAGATCACCAGTAAAGTCAAATCCGGTTGTGTGAGTAGCTGTAAAAAAAAGTAAAGATTTGTCTTTAGACCTGGCGCTGGGGAAAGTAAAGCTGGGCATAGTGCTGACACAACCATCACTTCATATGCCAAGGTTAAGAAACATGAACACTACTTCATCAGCTCAATGGATCATAAGAATAAACTAGAGTAGATTTTCTATTTCAGCCTGCTTTTCTTTTTGGATTTGCTTCAATAACCTTTGTCCAACCAAGAACAAACTACAAAGCAGCAGTTGTTTGATTTTGGTGTTATCTCTCCTAGAAAAGTTGCTGTCACTAGGTCAGCAAAACTGAGCGTTTTTGTTCTAAACACAACAAGACAGCAAGGTATCAAGGTGTTTTTTTTTTTAAGTATTGTTTTTTTATTTTAGTTTTGTGATGGCCCAATGTGTCTTGGGAGAAGACAATAGTTGCTGTTGTAAATAAAGCCAGGCTGAATACTGGGTTAAAGTAAACCCTACCAACAATTAATAAAACATGATTAAAGAAACACAAATTTAAAATAGTACTAATGGTGAGGTCATTTAACATGTGAATCAGATGTCTGTAAAATGTTTTCTAATTGGTTGAAATGGTGGTGTACGGACTTGTGTATCAGCTGTCTGTAAAATGTTTTCTAATTGGTTAAAAAAATTGTCAACTGACTTTTTCCAAGAGTTATCGCCTTTTGATATATAAACCCTGGCAGTAGTGTCGCGCTACATGAGGCGCACTCCCCACTTGCAGCCTTGCACAAACAATCAGGGCCAGCTGGGTTTTTCTCTTTTGGTTTCACCTGAAAATAAAATACAATTGAAACTTAAAAAGCTGTAAATAATATAAAATAACATTATATTTTAGTTTTGTTGGTTTAAAAACTCCCTCCAAAAATTACTGTTGGTGCTTTTTTACTAATTACATAATAGACTTTTGCAATCATCCCTCTGACTCCACAACTGACTCTTGCAGCTACAATCATCCCTCTGACTCCACAACTGACTCTTGCAGCTACAATCATCCCTCTGACTCCACAACTGACTCTTGCAGCTACAATCATCCATCTGACGCCACAACTGTCTATTGCAGCTACAATCATCCCTCTGACGCTACAACTGTCTATTGCAGCTACAATCATCCCTCTGACGCCACAACTGACTCTTGCAGCTACAATCATCCATCTGACGCCACAACTGTCTATTGCAGCTACAATCATCCCTCTGACGCTACAACTGTCTATGGCAGCTACAATCATCCCTCTGACGCCACAACTGTCTATTGCAGCTACAATCATCCCTCTGATGCCACAACTGTCTATTGCAGCTACAAACATCCCTCTGACTCCACAACTGACTTTTGCAGCTACAATCATCCCTCTGATGCCACAACTGTCTATTGCAGCTACAATCATCCCTCTGACTCCACAACTGACTCTAGCAACTAAAATCATCCCTCTGACGCCACAACTGTCTATTGCAGCTACAATCATCCCTCTGACTCCACAACTGACTCTAGCAACTAAAATCATCCCTCTGACGCCACAACTGTCTATTGCAGCTACAATCATCCTTCTGACTCTACAACTGACTCTTGCAACTACAATCATCCTACCGACTCCACAACTGACTCTTGCAACTCATAGAATTTCTTTGACTCTATATCTAAACTCTGCAACTACTATCATCCCTCTAACCCTATAACATGAATCTTAATATCATTTTGCTTAGAAAAGAAGAGAAATATGTCAGTGCAGCAGCACGTTAAATTATGCTAGTTTACATTACAAATGTGGTGAAAATGTCAAATCACAGAGGGGTGAAAGTGGTGTAGAACCAAAACCCCTTATAAAAATCCACCAAAATATCCGCCTAGGCTTAGGTAGATAGATGATGCAGAGACGGACCTATATAGTAGGTTGGAACTAGTCCGAGTGGAATAAGGTTGTGATGCGGGCCAAAGACCTCTATGAAATATAGAGTCAAAGGGATGAATGGATTAAAATATTTGTACCCCCAAGTTGTATTCGCCTTCTACTGTAAAAGTTGGCACTGCAGGAACACTATGCTTGTCAGCAGAACGTGGCTGTAGAAATGGAAATAATATTACTGTACTCAAAACATAAAGGTATCAAATGTTTACATTTCAGACCAGGGTTTCTAAACATGATAAAAACAACCATTCATGCACATTAATGCATGTCAGGTGGGTGCTGTGCATTGGGCAGTGTGGTTGTGCATTGGGTAGTGCGGTTGTGCATTGGGTAGTGTGGTTGAGCAAATGATTAGTCACTCAATCTCTAGTTCCCTGGTTCATGTCTGTACAATCTATTTGAATCCAGTCAGCTCTGATAGTTGGGGAAAGTTAAGGCAACTGAGAATAGTGATGCCACAGAATTCCTCATGTCCGATCAACAGATTAACTCTACTTCATCTGCTTGATAAGTGTTCTGGGCTGAAAGAGGATTTTACTTTTGTTTTTCAAGAAATGTTTCTGTTTCATTAGAATAATTGAACATTAATTCAGATGTACCCTGGGTTTATACATATACATTAGTTAAACCTATCTACCTATTTACACAATTACTAACTTACTTATCACCATTAAAATTTTCAGTGTACTGTCTAATTAGCAATAGATTTGGGCCTAATTAATTGCATACTCTATCGGGTATAAAAATTATTGAACAAAAATAAAATCAGCTCACCATAACCGCAATAGTATCAAAGGGATCATTAGAACCAGATTGGTAGAGTTCATAAGCTTCAAATGCCAGCCCATCTGGTGGGAGGATGACCACTAGTGATGAACTCTTTTCTACCGTTGCTGGTAACTGAACCACTGTGGGTGACCAATTAGCTGACACAGTAGCTAGAAAAAATATATTCAGCCATTTATTACATTTTGTTTTGTTTATGTCACAGGTTTTTATTATATCCTGGTAGATATCAGCCCCTCTCCAGTCTCCTGAAATGCTGAATATTTGTTACGCTCCAATCTCATAAATAAATTTGTTTTTGCTTACTGTTTTCAGTAGTACAGGTTATTACATTCTGGTTTACACAAATAAATTTTGTAATTATCCAACCATATGAAACTTGATATTACAATTACTTAGAAAACCTCCCTCATTTCGATACTTCAAGTATCATACACACAAATACATAACTTAATAATATTTAATAGGCAACTACAGAAAGTGTGATCTTTTGAATTAATTATGTGCACAGAGACCACATCAGTAAAAAAAAAAATGTGCATTATAATTCTTTAATGATTGTCAACTTAATCTTCCAAACATTTTAATGTAGCAAAAACTTATTCAAAAATATAATCCAGGACTCTTGTTTGCTACATGAAATTGCTCAATACCTTTCACCAACCCCAGAAGACACAATAGAATAAAATGATCTCTAGCTCTCTGAACCTATCTTGTGCATGCATGATAACAAGTCCTTATTACAAAATTTCAGCCATGCGCAATGCCAGGGTGTATCAATCATCAAACAAAAAAACAAAACCAGGGAAATGTTCAGTTATCTTAAAAATAACTTAACTAAGAAAATAAATAAAATATATTTAAAAATGTAATCTTTAAAAAAATAATCAGCATTAGTTTTACAAGCGACTAACCATCATCAGATTTAACATGAGCAATGATGAGCCTACTCAAATCATCTGTACGGGATGGGGCAGCCGGCAAGCTGTAAAGTTGTATTTTGTAATTATGTAGATTGGTGAGAGCAATACTGTAACTAAACGTTTCCTGTGTAAAAAAAAAAACAAATATTAAAAAAAACTATGAATAAAACATTATGAAAGTAAGCATAACTAAACCTATGAGTGTGTGTATGTGTGCATGCGTTCATGTGTATGTGTGTGTGTGTGTATATATATTTATGTATATATATTTATAATTGAGTATAAATGAGTACAGTATTCAAATGCTAGGGCAAATATATTTTTATTATACATGGAAAACTTCAACAACTCTAATGGGAAAACATGAACTTAATAATGACACACATGCTAAGGGTGGGGGCATCTTAGTAGTGGTGTTAAATCAACTTTAATGCAGCTTAGTAGTGACAAGCTCCTTTAAGTAGTCAAATAATGGACAATGTGTGTTCAGATTAAGTAAAGATTCCATTCAGGCCAACTATCTGTGGGGCAGGTATACAATCATATTTCTATGGCCTCAATTTTAGAAATGTTATTATGGTCCAACCTCCTTAACTTTCCCTAATTAAAGTCTAGTACCCATCACAGCATGGACTCAGTATAGTTAGTTTTAAAAGACAGAGGGTTTTGATAGAGATGTGACAAGATAAAATCTAATTTTGCTCAACTTAGTCGTGTAAAATTTGATGGAAGCATGAATTTAAAAAACCACCTCACATTGCTCATCAAAAATAAACAAAACAGGCCTACATTAGGTCTTTCTGTCATGCACTACATACAACCCTACCCCATAAAATAAACCAGATATAACATTTCTAAAAAAAACTCATCCCTCCACACAAACACCCCAGCAACACAGTTTAGTACAACAAAACTTGTGATTTCAATAAATTATGAAAATTATATTATCATTCAATTTATTATTTCTTACTTTATTCAATTTATATTTTTAATTAATTCCTTTTCTACAATCCTTGCTTTAACCCTCGTCATAAAAAGTATTGACATGCTTGAGAATTTCAGTTATCAAGGATTGAATGTCTCTTACTTTCTCTAATTTTTTTAAATGGCAAAAAAATGATTCCCTAAATAGGTATTGCTTTGAGTAGTTTTTAGGCCATACTCACACTATTAAATTGCTCCACATTAGACACATTAAGCTTAAAAAGACGACATTCTGACGCAGCATCTGGTTCATTTTCTTTTTTATTATCCCACCGAAGCATAAATCCTCGAAGAAGCTCCAATTTACCTTCTAAAATTGAAAACATAATATACATTTTAAATGGTTCTTTTTGACAGTACATATTTAGGAAGCAAGTATTTTTTTTAAGATGTAATTAATTTTTTTTCCGCTTTCCTTCCTGTCTATTGTAATTTCAGTCCAATCAAAATGCAGAATATCTAATATAAACAATAGTTTAATAGTGATACTGTTCTGTTTTGTTTGCTTTTTTTGAACAGCACTTTTACTTAAGCTAGCATAGTTTGTATAGAAATATTCTGAATGAAAGTGTTAGCAGATATTTAAATTAAATTTCAAGTCTACAACTGTTCACCTTCTTGTAGGTTGATGGTAATATTTGTGTTGATGGTAATACAAATATATATGTATATATATATATATATATATATACATATATATATATATATATATATATATATATATATATATATATATATATATATATATATATATATATATATATATATATATATATATATATATATATATATATATATATATATATATATATATATATATATATATATATATATATATATATATATATATATATATATATATATGTATATATATATATATATATATATATATATATATATATGTATATATATATATATATATATATATATATATATATATGCAGGCCTATATAAAAGATATAAAATAAAAGTATATGAATAGGCCTATAAACATACACTATATATATATATATATATATATATATATATATATATATATATATATATATATATATATATATATATATATATATATATATATATATATATATATATATATATATATATATATATATATATATATATATATATATATATATATGCAGGCCTATATAAAAGATATAAAATAAAAGTATATGAATAGGCCTATAAACATACACTAACCTGCTGGTGGCAGTGTCCACTGAATTTCCAGGTGCATATTTTTACTGTCATCTACTTTTAGAAACACATTTATACTTTTTGGAGCAGCAACAAATGTGTTGTCTTCGAGGAGAGCTGGTTTGAAAGCAGCAGGTAATTTGGCTATGTCACGCCCATCAGAGTATGTGGTGCAATCTGTTTTGTTTACAATATAACAAAACAATAATAATATATTGATGTATACTTGCTTGTAATAATAAACTTTATTATAATCTACACGCAATTAATGATTTTAAAAAGAAAAATGTTGTTTTTTTTTTTGTGATGTGTGCCTGTTTTCAGAATGTCTTTTACTTTTGATACTTTATGACTTTTATGATGGTTGTTCTGGATAAAAAAGAATTAGCACCTAATTGACAAATTGACACTTGCATGCCTAAAAAAAAATTATATTCAATACACAGTAGTATGTAGTTCTAAAAGAAAGGAAAATATTCAAGAAAAACAATGAAGTCACTAAAATTCTATGAAAATGTTAATAATATAAAGAAAAGAAAAATATAAAAGGAAGCTTATTTTTGCAGTAGATTCTGCAGCTTATAATATATATATAGACTATTATAGATCTAGATCTAGTCTAGATTTAATTTTAAGGTACCACTGACAGTAAAAAAAAATATTTTAATAGTAAATAGCTGAAGCCATGTATATTATATCTATTTCTCAAATGATTTTTTATGCTTTAAACTACTAATAGAACAATATGACCTATTCAAATGTCTAGACATCCGAAATATAACTTTGAAATAAGTCACAAGTGGGGGGGAGGGCTTAACTTTTCCATTGTCCACTTTTTGCATTAGTGGCGGGACTTATCAGGACAAGATCCAAAAGGTTATTAAAAATTGTGCCTCTTTCACCACAGAATAAAAGGAGAACACGGACTAGAATGCTAGCTTACTCACCACTGTTCACAACTTCAGATTCCTGACAAGCATTACTCCCCTTGCCAAACTGAAATATCAAAATATTTTACTCCAGAGAGTAACCAACCCAGCCCTACAACATTCAATGTAACAAACCATCCTCCCTCCCCCCCCCCCCCTTTTCCCCTAACCCTCCGATTATCTTTACATGTTTTTCATTTCTATTTTTAGAATGTTTGCTACATTACATCGCGTTTCTTAAGCCCCCTCCCGACACAACCATAACGCATACACACACTCAACTTCCAGGCCCTCAGATACGCAAATAAAATCGTCGACATATAAAATTATAACATGTTTGTAGTATGTGTTACGATAAGCGGCAGCTTTATTATTTGCCTAATAGGCCTACAGTGTCGGCAATTATTTGATAAACAAGTGGTAACAGCTTTTTTTTTTAATTTGACGGTCTTTATTTGATTGATAGAAGTATATCAGCTGTGTTATTTTATTGAAGGAATGGTATCTAGGAAATTACTCCCATCTCCCACCCCCCTTCCGTCATTACCCCGTTGTCGATTTTTCAACCGAATTCGAATTAGCTCAATATCAAGAATAGGCCTATTTATTATACCTGTTGTAATTGGTAAAGTGAGAAACCCTGTATTCTAAAGAAAGCCTAGGCATCCTTCAGAATGCGTGAAATGGACTGACAGAGTAGGCCTACGTTTCTTTACTTTTGCTAGGTATTCAGTAAAATAGAAATCAAAGACAAAGCTTATTCTCTTCCAGATTATATCCTAACTATAACCTCATAACCCTTGCCATAAAGCTGACCCTAATAGGATTAGGACTGATCAGTGGCGTAGCTAGGTCGGGTGTCACCCGGTGCGGCACCTTATGGTGTCACCCCCCCCCCCCCACACCATTTTTTTTCAGTAAATTTTGCAGTTGGTGTCACCCCCACCCCCTCCGATAATAGCTTTAATGCGTTCACATTTAATACTAATGATGTTTAGCTACGGTCGGTTGTTGATACAGCTGGTTGTAACATTGTTTTCTCTACAGTTTGAATGTTTACGTCATGGGGTTTTTAAACTCTAATTAACTATTCGTCGAACTGGCGAAAAAACATGCATTCTATATATCTTGCAATTTTTTTGTCTTGGCGTCACCCCCCTAAATGGCGTCACCCCCCCCCCCCCCCTAAATGGTGTCACCCGGTGCCGTCCGCACCGCCTCCCCCCCCCCCCCTCTTACGACGCCTCTGGGGGCTGATTAACTAGGCTTGAGTAAATGGACGTATCTTAGACTAGGTATAATATTTATACTGGGAGAGTATGGGGGGGGGGGGGAGGTAATACAATACACACCTCGCAAACAGCCAAGCTTTGTTGAACTAGTGCAAATAAAAAGATGGTAAGAACCAATTTGCACTGTGTTGTTGCGTATCTTTTGACCATTCTCTATGGTATCCAATATATGCTTCGCACTTGATTGGTTAATTCATCTGGAGTTTATTTACTAATGGGGATGCCTGTATATGAAAATAAATTATCGAACATGGCATTGGTGCATTATGTCGATATGTTTATTGTATAGGAGGAATGATATTTAGTTAGAAAACTGATGAATTGCAATTAGTCAAACCCAAGTAATTGTTTACAATATATATATATATATATATATATATATATATATATATATATATATATATATATATATATATATATATATATGGCGTAGTAATACTGAAATACAGCTACTGGTGATATTAGAGCTAGATTAAAGTGAGCAGGGCTAAGTGGTCGTTGATAAATGACGTCACACTCATGTGGGAGGGGTCCGTAATTTTGTAACGACGTGAAATGAGGGGAAAAGGGGGGGAGGGGGGGAGGGGGCGATAGTGTGACATCACACTTAATCATTTTAAAAAAGTAATGTCACAAAAAAGACTTAATTTTAGCCGTTATTTCACGTTTTAAAAAACTGCTTTAATAAATTGTTAGAAAGTGATTTAAATACTCGATGTTGACCGAGCTAAGTTAATATTTTAGTTCAACTGCAATTTTGAGGGGTTGGGGTCTATGTTGAGATGTGACGTCATTTTAGGGGGAATTCTGTCTTTTTGTGCCTATGTGTGGCGGAGGGTAAATGGAGGGATAAATGGGGGTGGGGATGGGATAAAAATTATCAGAAAAAGCGTGATGTCATTTATAGATGAGCCCAGCTGTTATGTAGTAGATCACGTGTAGACACTGGTAATTTACTTGTAAAGCACATCAGCCGCACATCTCATACCCAAGATGTTGAACACCTAATTAAAACCCAAGACACTTGCATCGACTACATATTATATCGTCCATCGTTTTCTCCTACAATATTATATCGTCCATCGTTTTCTCCTACAAACATGCGTTATGTTCTATACAACTAGATTCCATGTACAATCTCATCAGTGCGTGGGCTCGCTCATAAGCTCTTGGGGGAGGAGCAAAAATAAAAGGGGAGGGGGCGGTCTTCAGTGACGGGGGAGGGGAGGGGTAGTTTTAAAAAGTTTTTTTTTTTTTTTTTGTGAGTAAATTGTATTACAAGTTGATCCATAATTGGAGTGAGTCATGGATTATGCTTTCGCCAATGATATTATTGGTGATGATTGATGTCTTCAGAATCATTAACAACCAGGACTTGCACATACAGCTAAAAAAATTTAAAAAGAAAAAAGAAAAGAAAAAAAAAAAAAGAAGAAATACCGGGGACAAAAAAAATTCAAATCTGGGAAGTTTTATCTGTAAGCCCTGCTAGGGGGGGATACCTTAAAATCTACCCTTCTAGGCTTAACTAACTAATCTGTCCGGTCAGTGCAACCGTGGTAGAACCCACAGTGGTTAAACCCTAACCTTAGTCTAAATAATAAGCTACTAAAATAAAACAAAACTTTTAACAATTTAATAAAATTTATTGCATGGAACCAAAAGTTATAAAAAAAGAATAGATAAAACTGACACAAAACAGAACCAAACGAAACAAACTTTTTACATCAAACAAAACATTACGTTTGACCATTTGCTGGTGTTGCGCCGACTTATGATGTCTAGGATGGTCCAGGCCCTGACACACAGAAACCTCCCTTCATCCATTCTCGACATCCAAAAATCCACACCAAACAAATACCTCCAACAAAACACAACGTACAACCACTACGTACAATACATTACGTAGAGGACATTACGTACAAAACAATATATACAAAACAAAACACCCAGCCAAGTTGCCCAAGCAACCTCACTCCACGCGTGCGGTGCGCCCGCACAGAAACCGAAACCTGACCCGACCTACATCTCGCCTCGGGTCAAAAAAAGGAAGAAAATCGTCCGACCGATCAATTTATACTGACCGCTCGGACGGAAGGGGACTCCGTGGCCGCTCCCCATTGGATCACCAGGCACTCGCAGATTCGCAACAAATATATTAATACAAAATAAATAATCCATTCACCCGCTCACATTCACCCCTTTTAAAAATCTTACGACCCTGTAAGACAAAATGCATATAACAATCTTAAAATAAAACATGCACCCATCTCTCACACCAAGCCTATAAGCTTGAATGCAAAAAAACAATGTACAATAACATTAATCTTGCGTCTCTGTGCTTCCTAAAAAAAAACTCAAGGCACCAAGATAGTGGTCCCTTCACTGAGTACTAGTCCTGTCGGTCGTTCATCCGGAAGGGCAAGGGTCAGGCTAGACCCGCCCGCTACTAATGGCACACGTTGCCTGTCCATCCCGTCCACTACACAACACACCGTGTTCTAGTTCTGGCCTCAGCGTCAGACCACCGGTAAAATTGGTTCAGATATGACGCCACCGCCTTTCACCACTGGCTCTCCGACTGTTACCCGCCCCCAACGATCGTGCCTCCGCTTCGACACACCTGTGGGGCGGGTGTCCAGTAGCCCTCTTTGTGGGTTCAGGAATTGACGTCATAGGCCTTCCGTTGGTAGGAAGCGTCCGCTTGGTTGGGCCAGGTGGTGACGCAACCGCCTTGCCCCACTGGCTCTCCGACTGTTACCCGCCCCCAACGATCGTGCCTCCGCTTCGACACACCTGTGGGGCGGGTGTCCAGTAGCCCTCTTTGTGGGTCAAGGAATTGACGTCATAGGCCTCTCGTTGTTCACCGGTCTGCCGTACACACCAGATCCGCGCCACGCCCGTGTGTGTTGTCCAGTCTAGACCACACGAGGCCGCCATCTTCATCACACGCCAGGTCCAGTGCCACACGCCGTGCCTTGTCCAGCCACGCACACTGAAGGCTCGTCGAGGCACGTCTCTCCGCCAACCTGACTGGGTGTTTAAACAACAAACAATTCCTACACTAAACAAAAACTAAACACATATGGTTCCATAAAGGGCCTATCAAGAACAAAAAATTTAACTAAGCTACACCTAGCCCTAGCAAAAAAAAAAAATTTAACTAGACTAAAGCACTGACCCCACTCGTGCTACCAATTTGTAAGCCCTGCTAGGGGGGGATACCTTAAAATCTACCCTTCTAGGCTTAACTAACTAATCTGTCCGGTCAGTGCAACCGTGGTAGAACCCACAGTGGTTAAACCCTAACCTTAGTCTAAATAATAAGCTACTAAAATAAAACAAAACTTTTAACAATTTAATAAAATTTATTGCATGGAACCAAAAGTTATAAAAAAAGAATAGATAAAACTGACACAAAACAGAACCAAACGAAACAAACTTTTTACATCAAACAAAACATTACGTTTGACCATTTGCTGGTGTTGCGCCGACTTATGATGTCTAGGATGGTCCAGGCCCTGACACACAGAAACCTCCCTTCATCCATTCTCGACATCCAAAAATCCACACCAAACAAATACCTCCAACAAAACACAACGTACAACCACTACGTACAATACATTACGTAGAGGACATTACGTACAAAACAATATATACAAAACAAAACACCCAGCCAAGTTGCCCAAGCAACCTCACTCCACGCGTGCGGTGCGCCCGCACAGAAACCGAAACCTGACCCGACCTACATCTCGCCTCGGGTCAAAAAAAGGAAGAAAATCGTCCGACCGATCAATTTATACTGACCGCTCGGACGGAAGGGGACTCCGTGGCCGCTCCCCATTGGATCACCAGGCACTCGCAGATTCGCAACAAATATATTAATACAAAATAAATAATCCATTCACCCGCTCACATATCAACAGGACATAAAAAGCAGAATCAATAAGGCCAGATGTGCCTTCCAATTCACTACACCAGATATGGAATTGCAGTTACTCCTAGAGTAAGATAGAAAAAAATTCAATAGGCCTACAAATGTAAAGGCAGCAGGCCTACTTCTGTATGGCTTGGACGGAACCAATTAACAATAGGATAATTCACAAATAAATGCCCGAGTCGATTACTTATGATGAGATGGCCAGATAAAATGTCCAACGAAGACCTATGGCAAATCACAAAACAACAGTCGACAGCCACTTGACAGTGATATTAAAACCCGAAAATGGAGATGGATCGCGAGATGATGCTACATCGCGAGGCAAGCGAAAGAAAAGTAGGCTGGTCTATGCAATTCTGGAGAATGGCTGAGAAAGAACAAGCAAGGGCTGAGGAGCTTATGTTTGCTCAACTAAAGAGAGCTAAAACGGAGTCCGGTGGAGAAGTTTAGCTGCAGCCCTATGAATTGCCCCTCTGGTAATTCAAATGATTAAGTCAAGTAAGTCATTTAAAAATTGATGCATACTAATTCTTGAATGAGCTCAGTTAATAATTTATATATAAATCCCTGTTTTTAAAATAGCAATTGACTGGATTGAGGCAGGCTTAGGTGTGGTGATGTCATTTTAGGGGAAGGGGACGTTTTGTGACGATGAGGAGGAGGGCAAGTAGATCTTCAGTAGAAGAAAGCATGACATCGTTTGTTATTTTGTAACTTTAAGGTTAAAAAAAAATTCATTCAAGATCTAAAATATGGTATAGTAGAAATAGGCTAGGCTAGACTAGCCTACATTGATAAACACTACTAAAATTAAACCGTTACCAAAATAACCATTCACCGTTTTGTTTAAACTTCCGTACTGGACACACCCCCGGCTGTCTTTTCCGCCAGATTTTATTTATGTTTAGCAACAATCTAGAACCCAGAGTCTAGATTACTTAGAAATTTAGTTTTGGTTACACGAATTATCTTTAAAAAATCTAGATTCTAGATCTAGTTCCACTTGTGAGTAACTAATAGAAAATGACTTTTTATTGTCTTTGATTTTAAAAGATAAATTTTAATATTGGCCACAGTTACTGTGTAAACTTGACTTTTAAGTTAAGGCAGGGTCCCGGTGTAGGCCTGTTTTCTTTTCTTGGTGACGTCTTGTCTTAGTCCAGTCTAGTTTTAGTAATTTAGTGTGACACACTCCTCTTGTCTTTATCACTTTATCTTATCTAGATTCTAGACCTATTCTAATATCTAAGGACTTAGGGCCTAATGAAATAGCAGATAGATCTAGATCTAGTCTAGACTCTAGATCTAAATGAAGATTTAGGCCCTACCTACTAGATCTACCTAGTTTTGTAATTTAATGTGTTTGAAAAAACCTAACATCTACGCCATACCCCTAGACTTTTCAGCTTAAATCTAAATGCAAATATTTAAGTAACATTGTGAGACATGCAAGTAAATAAATAATGTGAGTTAGGTGGCCATCTGGGTGGACTTAAGGATGTCCTATAGATTTAACCAAGATCCAAAACTTTTAGATTATTATAGGGTATAGGCCTATTTAATAATGTGTTTTGTGACCTATGCTATGGACTCTGGAAACTTAGCTTTCAGACGTGCAACTATCTCTTCTACTAATCAACATGGCCAGCTCTTGAGTAAAGTTGAAAATGCCCCAGGAGACCATTCTTCTTGAAAATAGTAAAAAACAAGTGATAAAAGCTATACACTAGTAAATCTACTAGTTACTAGACCTAGTTGGAAATTGTCTTTGTAATAAATACCTTTAGGGATCATCCATAGAGTTCATTCAGCTTTGGGTTTTTTTCATCATCACCATTAGTCACAATTAGTGGAAGTGCTTTTAACTCAGAACAGCTCTTCCGCTTGTCTCTCTCTTAAGCAACAATTCATAGTATGTATTAGGTGATGAACCACCCTGATATTAAAGAAGAAAAGATAAAAAGCTAAGCAGTAAAGGTGACGGCATGATTGGACGGTAGAGCACATGATGGTTAACCTGAAAATTTTGAGCAGATTACAGACTCGTGTCCTTAGGACTTGCCTGTGGCCACCCAACTTAGATAGGGTACCTGACTAGCATTAGAAAAAGTAAAGTCATAGTGCTGACCACACTATCCTTTCAAATGTAGAGGTCATAGAAACACATGAACTCAGCTTTATCTTTCCTTGGACTGCCGAACTTTAATGGGTAATTTTACAAAGAGAAAAAAATGCAAATCAGTGAGGTGAAATCATCATATAGATCATTTTAAAATAATTGATCTCCAAAAATGTGTTAAAATTGTAATAAGTATTAGCTGTGCTTAAAATACTTAAATGGTTAATTTTAAACTGACATAAGTTGTCCTCTTGTGTTGCCACACACTTCTTAAACATCTTTCTTTATCCAACAGTTTGTCACTCAACCACTCTCTACCTTGATATATTTCATGAACTGCCATCCACTTCCAATATTTGTAAAGTCAAATAATTGATGACCTTGTATTTAATTATTTTATATATTGGACTAAATCAAATGCATTTAGGATTTTAGGAATTAATAATTCTCTCAGGATCTATGTTTTAATATGTGTATTTTCTTGTCCTCTTAATTTTTTTAAAACTACTAGTAGTTTTACTACTATAATACCCCAATGTCGATAGTCATTTGTTCAATTTCCTTACCTTAAAGAAAAATTTCTTGGACTAGATTTCATTCATTGTCTGAAAAGAGCAATGGTTTTTTTTTATATTTCTTGTAAGTATATTGGTATACATCATAGATATAGTGTTATCATCCTTATCATAGAACTAAAAGCTAGATGATTCTCTATGTGTGCCGCAGTAAAGTGGGGGCTGGCATGATCGTGTCAGCAACGCTCATGGTTGCTAAACCGAAAAGTCCTGAGTTAGAAGCCTGTGGCAGCTGGGGACTTTAACCCATCTATGGGAGAGGAAACTCTAAAACCAAACTACTGATTTCTTGGGGAAAGTAAAGGCTGTTGAGTTCAAAGAATTGGCCACTCTCCCTTTATATTCTGAGGAACAGGTTAATTCTGCTTCATCCAGGTCCAGACAATATTTTACTTATTTCAAAGCTCATTCCTTGAATTAAACACTTCCAAAAAGAAATGAAAAATCTTAACAGTCAGGTTAGAGGTGTATTTACCTGAGCTGCCATACATATTTGATCACTGCTGCATAAACTGCTGACACAAGAGCTAACAGTAAGATAAATAAGGTGTCATCACATAGACGCTGGAACTTTTTTGACTTTGGTACTATAAATAATCTTGGCCAGCCAGCTCCGTTCCAATTAAAAAAGGAATCAATTGTGAATATTTATCTGTGATGGGGAAAATAAGCAAAAATTTGTTATTTATATTTTTTATGCTTCCTTGAATGTTAGCTTGATTTTTCTGTCTGTAACCTTGCACTTGAGTTGTATACAATATTAACCTAGGTAGGCACCATCTTATGGAAACTTTGGCCAAGCTATAGCTTGCAGGACTTCTTACCTGAAAGTCTCTGGTTCAGCTCTCAGGCTTGAGTCAATAGAATGTTCCTGAGTTCACCCAGCTTTGATGGGTACCTGACACATTATCCCTTTTTATGCTGCTGAGGGTGTGGAATCAGATAAACTCTACTTCACTTGCCCTATTGAGCATCAAGCCTGAAAGGGTGCCTTTATTCTTTTTTAAAACCACCTTTTTCCCCTCTAAAATAGTCTGATTTCAATAACTTATCTTTATTAGAATTATTATAAATTGGGGGAGGGGGGAGTAACTAAGTGGAAGTTGGCCTAGATAGTATAATTTTTAAAATTTGTTAATGAGATGATGGAAATTGGGTACCAATGTTAAAATGGGGTAGGTGTTATCAAAACATTAATTCCATTATTGATTATTTCAGTTTATTATCCTAGACTAGATCTATAATAATCAAGACTATAGGCCTATTTTTATTAATATCATGTGCACTTGCAGCTTAGTCCTTATGATATCAGCCTCAATAAAAACTCATGATACAAAATGCAATTCCAAATTGAAGTAGATTTAGAATATTTTTCTATTCAAGTCTATTGATTTTGAATCTCATTCTTGTTCTAAAACATCATATCTAGATCTATAGCCTATTCTTTATAATATTAATAATACGAGAGATCTAGATCTAGATCTAGGCCTAATCTAGATTTAAGATCTTGAGTCCGGATTAAGTTTAATAGTAGAACTAAGTAGACTATACCAGATCTAGATTCAAGACATCTAGATCTAGAATCCTAGATTAGATCTAGATTCCTCTAGATTCTAGTTCTTAATTAATAATTATTATTGGGCCTATTTTTTTTTTTTATTTTATAGCCCAAGCCTAAATTATTCTATTACTAATTACTATTACTAATCTTATAGATCTATAATAGATTCTAGAGTAGGAATAGTACATGCTTCTAGATCTAAAATCTAATCTAGACTAAGACTAGATCTAGGTGTAGGCCTGTTTTTTTTCCCCTGCGTTGTTTACTTTTTGTGGATCGAAATATTTATGTATGTAAACGTGTAAACTATTGTAAACTCTTACCGGGGTGGTATTGTGAGAGCAAATATTTTGTTTTCTTGTAACTAATAGATGGAAAGGGTATAAACAAACTTAAATGACTGGAAAAAATAAATCAGGCATGATGTTTTATTCTGAGTGCAGCCTGCCGATACAAAGTCGTACGTCACAGTGCGTCTGTTCATTTACGCGCACTTCTGTATTTGCTTTGGGGTATTCCCGTAACTTCGCGAAGCACTACTAACACTCATTTCTTGTGCTAAATCAGAGGAATAGGTCATTAAAAAATTAATTTAGGGTCTAACAGGTAAGTCGATAATTAATAGTCCATCTAGGTCTGCTTCAATCCCAAAGCTAAATGATATTAATTATGATATCCTATTCCTAAGCACTTAATGAGTAGCCTAAATTAAAATTACGGGTCTATCGTTTTCAACGCTCCCGCGAATGGAAGGGAGGGGGGGGGGGGGAGCTTCTGTAATGTTTGTTGAAGGGGGAGGGGGTGAGAAAGTGTGACTAGACTTTTCCGCTCAAAAAGTGATAGATCTACATTCTAAAATCTAGATCTAGTAGTAAATGAATTTTAGCCCATAGTTAGCGTCTTTGAGATAGATCTACTTTATTTTTGTAAATGTAATAGCAATTGACCCTGTTCTGTAAATATTTCAGGGTAAAATAGTTAAAATCTATTTAATGGGGGGGGGGGGGGGGGGGTGAAATCGTTGGAAAAAGTTACGCCATGTATTTATAGATGACCACTATGACGATTTTTTGCCCACTTCTGTTCATACATGGCCTTGACCTAGATTCTATGTAAAACATTTCGATTTTGAGAAAGTTGGTAGAGGCCTGGATGTTTATGTCGAGATTACTAGTCTTGGGTCGCACTAGGCAACATCATTGTTTTAGGTTTATATTATAGTTTACAACAAAAAGAAATATGTGACATGTTTTAGAGAGCCACCAATAAATTACTGCTAAATCGTCTTGATGCAGACTACCGCATCTAGATCTAGATTCTAGCAGTACGAAAGTAGATACACAGTGTAAAAAGTTTTGCAACGTGTTACTTGTCATGTATTACATTGTTTATTTTAAAATATTTTCTACTTCATAATTTAAAAAAAAAAAACTTTTTGTAGCCAATATATCTAATTCAATTTTCTTACTAGCTTGTGCACAGTTAAGCTCAAGTCCTAGATCTAGATACTTCTGTGTTGAAAAAAGTTTATACTTTTAAAAATTTTTAGTTGGAGCTCTAATTTGATTTTTTTTTTTCCCATCAAGGACAAATTAAACTGTTAGTTAAAAACATGACTGATGAGAAAACAGCTCCACAGGCTGGGGAGAAAAGAGGAAAGACCGACAAAAAATCAGCTGAGGTCAGTTTGGTATCAGTTACTGATATTTAGTTTAAAGCTTATGAGGGGAGGAGGGGGGATATTCTAAGCAGAGTGAGGTGGGTTGCTATTTAGTCCAAAATCACTGATCTTCCATCAAGCGCAGTGGTGTATTGGGGAACACTCACCTGATTTGGTATACACAGTGATAATCAATTTATTCAATAACAGTAACAACAGTAGGGGGGGGGGTTCACATTGACAGTTTTTTTAAAAAATCAAATATATGGGGTGGACAGAAGTATGTGCCTGTTGCCTTGGGGGTAGTATAGGGATCCATAAGACTAAGGAACCTTGTAAGACAACTTCGTGAGAGCTGAGGGGGGACCCCAACAAAGGGTTGGACCCTGAGCTTAATAACCCCAACTGGTAAAGAATTCATTTCAAAAATGCTAAAGAGAACAGTGAGGGAGAACTCTGGTTGGTATCCCATAACCTAGCAGGGGTGATGGGCTGTAGTTGAATGACTGAATCCAATATCACACATTCCACATTATTTTTATTGGTGTTACTGTTACCTGTTTATTTAATGCCATCTAGAGAAAAATTTGGCAATTTGATTATAGTTTGAATTAGAATTTTTAATCTTAAGATTTTTTCTGCCACATTATGACATCTTTATTAAAATTTTAAAACTTTGTCTCAGATGCACTATTAGTTTTACTTAAAGTGGTCTTTGACTTTTCTTGGGTGACCACCTGTATGAATATCATGTTTGTCCATAACTTAATTATATTTTCTTATCTGGGTGGAACAAAAAGTGGAGTGAATGTTCACAGTACTGCTACCTGTTAAAGCCTAGCACTAAAAACTAAATTGTACATTTTGTTTAATTACAGGAAAAACCCGATTGGTATGTTAAGAATTGTCTTTTAATATGTTAAAATTTGCATTATGACTAACATTTGTTATGAAATACGGATAAATTATATCTTTCTAATAGCTGGTTGTTTTTAGTCTACTAGTATATAAACTATTTCTTAAAAAAAGAATTTTACAAACATTAACCAAATGATAATCCCCCATTTAGTTTATCAATGAAATGCTATTTTTTTTTGGCATCTGTTATCTTATTTTCAAAATTTAATTTATTAGTTAATATAACTAATAATCATCTTGGAACTGGGTACTTTTTCTTGATCTCAAATGCTTTTTTTATACATCAGTTGATTTGAACTTGATATGGAAAATTTTCTCTGTAACTTAAGTAAGATGCATCCTCTTTGTTTCCTGTGTACTTTAGTCAATTTATTCATTCACAGTGAGGGGTCTGATTACAAGTTGGATTTGTTGGTATCTACATTTTAACCTGCTGAAAATGCGCTTAGTATAGTTATATTTAGTATGTTGACTTTATGGTTACTTATATTTCAGAGTAGCGAACCTAAAGCAAAAAAAGGACGAGGTCGACCAAAAGGAAGCAAAAACAAAACTAAAGAAATGACAGCTCATGTAAGATAACTCTGATATGTTTCTTTGTTTTATAAAACAGAAGTAAAACAAAACTAATATCAGTATAGAACAAAGCTTTTGTTATGTTTCATAAAAGTTACAAAGTTTTTACAACTAGACAATTAAATTATGAAGCAATGTTTTCTCTATCAGATAATTTTTATTTGTTTGTATTTGAATCAGGTCTCTAGAGGTCAAAGGTTATCAGCAAGGCAAGCAGTGAACGAGGTGAATCCTTATTTAGCCTCAAAATATTTCTTTATTACCATTTTTTTTCTATTAAAATTGAATTTTAAACTCATACAAACAAAAATGGATTTAGAAAAGTAAAATGTTATGTGGAAGCATAATAAAAATGCTTTTTGAACAAAACTTAGTCCTAAACAGAGAATATTGTACAATTTTTTTAGGAATGGTATTTTTTTCAGACTGCTGAAAAATCAAGTGAAGAAGAAACAAAGTCCACAGATTAAGATTGAGCAGCATGGAGCCCTTACAATCTGTCCAACATTTGTTTTAAAAAAGATCTAGTCATGTTCTCTATTTATATACTTGTTTTAAAATGTCATACTCTCGCAGTTCATTCAGATTTTATTATATTATTACAGGCCTGCCCATTTTATGCTGTCTAATCATATTGGAAAAAAATTTTTAGATTTTTAAAAAGTCAAACTTTAACATATTAAGATGATTTTTGTTTTAAATAGTTAATAGTAAGGGGCGAACTGGAATTAGTCACTTATACTAATAATACTATTTTGTTATCATAAGGTTTATACAATATATATTGATTCAGTAATACTCTGATTGCTTTTAGGCCCTTCTAAAAGTTGCTTTATCAGTGTATCACAATTTGTATTCATAAATTTTTACTCTATACAAATCATGTACTTAAAATGGTTATATATGGCTTTTATTTCGTAAACCAGATCTGTTTTACAAATATAGTTCTCCACATTTACAATAATTTTAAGATTTGTTTTTTCCCAAATAAATGCTTTAATCTTGTGCTCTGTGAAAAAGTATTCACTTGTTAAAAATAATTTTAGAATAATTCATATTTTTCTTGTAAAAAAATGTGCTTTAAATAGAAAACGTTTTAATATAATTCGTTTCATGAAAAGTTCTGTTTTTGTGTTTTATTTACAATTTCCTTTAGTTAAAATCAATAATAACCAGCATTTATTATCATTTTCTTTAAATAGTATGAATAAACTTAAAGAATTTAAAGTCTTTGATTATGACAAGTACTTTATACATTTCAATTTTTAGAATTGAATAACTCAATTTTAGAGTTCTAATTGTTTGAAAATCCTGGCTTATTTTTTTATTAATCCAAATCTATGTTTTTGTGATATTTTTTATTTACAAACAGCTTGGTTTATAAATGGCATTTTCATTACTATACCGCAAGCTTTAAAAAATTGTGTTTTTAAAAACCTAAAACTTTCAATATTTCGTCACAATAAAGTGTGTCTTGAATAACAATTTGTTTTCTTGCCTTGTTGAATTCTTTTTCATCTATTATATTTATAATCTATGAAAATTTTGAGTAGATAAACTGTGAAACCCAGACAGTGAATGTATTAAACTAACCACTTTGCAAAGAATTATGTTAGTATTGTTAGGTTTAATCAAATGTAATTTATGATCTTCAACAAATTAATACTTTAAATGGTAAAAATTATGGACTATTACCTATATTCATTTTATTATGTCTATAGCTTAAGTAAACTTATATCATTTTTCCATGCTGCTTACAGACAGCTATTGATTTTAAAATTGTCAGTAAATTATCTGTCACTTTAAATTAAAAAATCATTTTGTGGTTGTCCTCTAATGTTGGGTATAAATAAAATTCCTGATTTGTTTTTTTTTTTTATTATTATTACTGAACCAGATCAGGTATTAAATATACAATCTACTGACAAAATGTAAATAGCTTGATGTTTATTTCGGTCAGTAACTTTACTAAAGGGATTTAACCAACACATAAATAAGTGTAACATTTAAAATGTTTTTTTTTTTACATTTAATAATCCATTTATAAATAAGTTATTTCATATAAATTGATAAGTATCACAACAAGAAGACATTCAATAAAAACTGTCTATGTAAAGTTTATAGTTGTAATTAATATCAATAATGCAAAAATTAATTATGATCAATTAAGTAGACACAGCCTACATGTTAAAAACAGTACCTGGCTAATAGCAAACATACATAAAATAGTGTACATTTTGCTTAGTCAACAGGAATGTCAGTTACAAAACTGAGATCAAAATCAAATAAATGTCTTACAAAAGAAATAAATAAAAAAATGTGTGTTCAAATAGAATGTGTAAAGAACATTTCTATTTTTTAATGTGTATTGCACTCTAGCAATTTTTAAAAATAAATATGAGCTGGATTAAAAGTGAAACTTAAAATAAAAGTTGCCAGAATTTAAGCGCTTTAAAAAAAAATTCTAACAATTGTGTTCAGCTCTATTTTACAAAGTGTTGAAATAATTTACTTTGTTCTCCAAACATATTCAATAGTTATGCAATGTAAAAATGAGAAATACTTACAAAAGGTGTAGCATGGACAGACACAATACTTTAATACATATAATGACCAGGTGAAATATATATGTGTAGAAAAAGCTGAAACATTTACCCAGAAATTGGGATGTGTTGAGACAATTTTTAAATTCTACGCCTCTTATCAACCAAAGAAAAACCCCTGCTATGCATAGATAAACATCACAGTGGTACTGTTTACATGGTATAAAAGTAGTTACACAGTGGTAACTTATACAACTCACACGGTCCTAGCACAACAGAGATGCACATATTTTGTTTTGTGATGATAATAATCTGATGTGTAAGTAAATATGTTTATAATCCACTTAAAGTGCAAAATCCCATTTAAATTATTACTTGTAAAGTTGTGTTAATACTGTTGAAATAGTGCTCTTAAAAATTGTTTCTCTACTACTATTAATAGGCACAATGCAAGCACAATGGCTATATGTAGGGGAGGAAGCACACTCAGGTCTGGCTAAACTGTTAAGTGTAGTTTCATCTAGATCCATAGAAATAAAGGACTGGAAGTGTAGCCCTAGAGACTTATGACACCACTGTCTCATTGAAATAGCTTAATGTATTTTTTGCATTATGTTGCAAAAAAATTTCTTAGTTACTAACACACAAGTGGGTAGGGTATTGTGCTAAGTGACAAGCATTTATTCAGTTTGGTGGTTTTTGCTGTCTGGTATGTCTTGTACAGTACAGCATAAAATACAGTAATCACTGGTATGTATGTATTGTAAACAAAAAAATTATGCTTGAAACCTTAAAAGTATATCTACCCACTGTTTTACATTTAAAATAGAGTTAAGACAGAAATACAAGTACTCTGCTGATTAGGAATAAGTTGATTGAAATAAAAAAAAGCCAATGGTTGCTAAAACTGAATTATAAACTGTTACTCATAAAATAATCATAATAGGAATTTTACAGTTTGAATTAAAATGACTAAAGATTAGTACTGGTAAATGTATTTCTTTTGATGCTTTTAATGATGAGCAAGATAAATGTGAAATACTGCTGTTTGTTTAAAACGAAAATCAGGACGTTTATGAAACTGTACGAAAACAACAGCTCACACAAGGAATAAACATGAGGTTCTATGTACAATCATCGCAATAAATTTTTTTACAAAAAGCTTAGGATTGTATTGAGCTGGATCCCTTTTCATTTGTACAGCTTTAAACAAACTTATTCGACAGTTCAAAATTTTTAAATTTTTTTTTGGTAATTTAAAATGAATGTTTTTAATGAAAGGGGAATAATCATTTTTAGAAAATGAACACTTAAACCTGAACACCCTGAAGACTTTCTAATGTAAATGCTTGTGGGCACAACAAAAGTCTACAACACCAGACTTAATATTTCTTTAAGTAGCACCAATCATAACTCTGAATGCATGGTGTTCAATTTCAATATGGGTGAACTTGGTGGAGTCAAACTCTGGGAAAAGAGTAAATATAGATTGTTGTAGCAAGTATTTCAAGGTAATATTTTTGTAAGCACTAAAAGACAGTTTGTACTTTAAGCAACCATACTTATTTAAAAAATTTCTAGCAAGTGATGATATTTATTAAAAAAAAAATTGTAATGAATGCATACGTTTCGTAAACGAACTTCCTGACTTAATAGGTCAGTTTCCCAGTCCTGACCACTGTCTGATGGATCAAAGCTGTATAAGGGCATCAGGTGGTTTCTGAGTTTATCCATCCTGCGTTTGAAAAAAAAAATTAATTTATGTTTTGGTATTAATGTCAAATTATTTACAAGGTGTTTTAAATTAAACTTTTAAATTAATGTATTAGTGATATTGGTTTTAGAAGCAATCATTAAAACTGACATAAACTAAATATAAACTTTTTAAAAGTAGTTAACATGTGTACTTTAATTAATATTGAGTTTAAAATTATTTATGAACTATTGTTTTTCTCCATTATAAATTGTGAATATACATTAAAATTTATTAATTGAAACTTTAAAAACTTGGAAGAAATAATATATGTTGTATAATTTTTTACAAGTTATTTTTCAATAGTAATACATTTTTCTAAAAGTGGGGATGTAGCTAAGTGAGAATAAATTTGGAATAAATACAATTAACTGTTAATAAAACCTACAGATCAATACATAAAGCATAAATTCTAATTCGTAGAAAAAGTTTTAAAAAACCATTATAATTTAAAAAATGTTATTATTTGTTTTACAACTAGCCTAAAACTAAGAGAAATTTTTTTTAAAATAGTAAAATTACTGAAACTTGTCCACATAAGCCCCCCCCCCCCCCTCCCACACACACACACACGACCTATTTCTGATGTCTAGGGTGGGGGTTAGGGGATGGGTAAAAGATAACAACATACAGAACTCTACATGCACATTTTTACTATATATCCCAATTTCACCCCCTTCAATAAAATTAAAATTACAAGTTTCATAGCCTCTTTTTTATTATCTTTTTTGCGTGGTGAGGTTAACTTTTTGGCGGGATTTATCGAACAAGATCCAAATTATTTGTTACTGTAAAAACGTTTTAATAGCTTAAGATAAGTTAAGCTTATTCTCTTTGTGTATAGTAGTTCATTTCATAACTTGTTTTTATGCAGGTTTTATACTTATTTTAATTTAACTTTGCCTCACCTGCTGCGTTTGAGTAACCAAACTATCTGTGGAAAATATGTTAAAATAGAATTCAAAATACTAAAACAAACTTGTATCAATTATCAAAAGTAACAACAACATTAAAAAAAAGCTTTGATAATATTTAATAATTAAGAAAAATTAAACACTACTAAAACTATGTTATTTTTAAAATAAAAATATTAAGAACTTTTAACTATAAAACAACTCACCACTCCAATAGCAATCCCTACACATACAATAGCAGTAACTGGGAGCAATATAAACAGAAGAAAATTACTGTCTTTTCTGCCTGGCTGATGAACTGCTGAAGACGTTTCATTAAACAAGGATTGAGTTGTAGCAGAATCTAACAGAGACATGACAGATTCTTCTTGGTTTGACCCTCATAAAAAGTGTCATTGATTTTAGATATTGACAGGTTTAATTTATTATAGGTTGGGTATTACAAAATTTGCAAACAAGTTTTGCTTGAAAACTCCAAAACATGTGCATTTCTTTAACAGAGATCCTGAAATGCAAATTAGAAAATACATAATTAATATACATTAAATATTAAATTAAATTTTTTTTTTATAAACAACAATGTATTAGTTCTTTAAACTGACTATAGTCATTCTAAAACTGAAAAACAGATAGGCTTACTTTCCCATTAATATGGCAGTGTTATGGTATACTTATAATTTTCAAAAACTAATTAGAAAAGCAATCTTTCTTTATATTGAAGATAGAAGAGCCTTTTTATTGATAGAGTACATGTATACTTTAAATGTACATTTTTAAAGTCTTCTATTTTATCTAAAATTATGTGTGCTCAAAGTAGTGGTTTATTTTTAATAAATGATTTTTAATTATCAACTATGTAAAATTGATATCAAGCTATCAATCATTACTCAAGTTGTAAAAACTTGCAGTGTGTTTGATAATAAATATCCCTCCCCTCATTTTCACTTTTCAGGTTAGCCTGCCTGCTGCAACCCATCATCACAATTTTTACTCCATGCATCTACTCAACCTTGGACAAATCACTGATATCTAACACACCCAGACACACCAAAACATGGCTCCCTAACTATAACACTATAAGTAACAGAGGATGCAGTACTAATGCCAACAACAAAAATCACCATACATGTAGACATCCTAGTTACACAACTTCAACAATGGACACAGTAAAAGCAATGGCTGAAAAAAATGACAAGAACTGAACAAGACATAACAACACCACAGCCAGTTTAAACCCTGCAGGAATCACCCATCCAAGTTTTAGGCCCTAAAAAAAACTATCCCAACCCACAAGTAACACACAACAACAAACATGGACATAACATAATGATAACAGCTAGATTACAGCATCCGCCTCTAAGTCTAAAATGAAGACAAGACGGATAAAGAGACAATAACCAAAACACCCAGAGTCAACAAAGAAGACCAAAATCCCCTAAATCTAGATATCTAGTTACTAGCTAGATCTATATTTTTTATTTTTACTAGAGAGTTGCTAGAGGCAGTAGACTCAGACTCAGATCAGATCAGAGTAGACTAGAGAGGCTAGAACTAGATCTACATAATTTTAGTAAGTTACTAGATCTAGATCTATATGTTCAAGAATTTAATATGGGTTATTTTGTTTTAATTGCGCTGAGGTAAAGAATAGGATATTACTAGATTTATAATTAAAGACGTTCTAGTAGATAAGTAGATTAATAAATTAATGATGGGATTTTTTTCACTGCCACCGTCGCCATGTTGTTTACGAATAGCGATAGAAAAGTACAATTGCTTTATTGATCATACTTTTTTAGTTTGTGCTACTAAGAGTAGGCTACTTAGAGTAGTCACATACTACTAATAGTAATAACGTAATTAATAGCCTAATTATTTAGCGCTACATAAAAATAATTTTTGAAGTATTTTTAAATATTTAGATCTAGTTCATATTAAGTTACAAGATCTAAAATTAGAATCTCTGTGTTTTATTTACATCTTTAAAAATATTTTACTTTGTTAAAATAATCGATTTTAACGGAACAAACGTTTTAGTATAAATATTTTTTTATTATCAATATGCCCACAGCTTTGGTCGACACAACATGATCAACATGTCTATGTCATTCTTGTCAACGCGACCATTTATTTTATCTAGTTTTAATAAGTTGTTACGTTCATCGTTTGTTAATATTCCAGAGGTAAGATTAAAATACAAAATAGATCTCTAGATCTAGATCTAGATTCTAGATCTAAAACTAAAATAGGCCTACCCACTGAAATACAGAAATGTATAAAATATAAATAATAATTTTAAATAAGTCCCAAACCTTGAAAACAGACAATGAGGAGACAACAAGTTAATAAAAAGTCTAGTGACAATTTAAGCGCAATTTCCTTATGTTATCCATAACAATTTTAAATCGAGATAAATCATATATTCAGCCAATTTTTTGTGACCGAACGAAAGGATATTTTTGAAAACTTTCTTCGGCAATATTGTTCTAAATTATGGCAGGAATCGATTGGTAAATGTTTCAAGTCGCTAAGTGGTCTGGTTGCCGAGATATGGGCAAAAAACTGCATTTTTTCGATGTTTTTTGGCTTTTCCGGGAAATCCAGGAAGGAAATCCGGGAATTTTTTTGGCCCACAATCATCCTCGGAACTTGCTTAACATATTTGCTTTTGGAACTAGTCCTCGATATTGCTTCGTTGAGGAGGAGATACGACTTAAAGCTGCGGACACACATCCATCCATCCATCCATCCATCCAGAAATAACGAATTAATAATTGCAATTGTCAGTATGGAAATTGCGCTAAAAAGCAGTGTCTGAGTGTGATTATTTTATTTTTATTGTCTTGTTGATTACTGTGATTAGTGTATAAGGGGGGCATAAAGAATAATAGGGACATATATATGGCGTTAAAAGTTATTTTTCACACATAGATTCTAGATTTCTTTTCCTCCCTGATGGTTAGAAATAAAATACCATAATTCGTCTGCTTGGCAAGATTTAAGAACAGTAATCTAATCTGTGTTACCAACCTCAAATAACAATTATTAATTAATATTATGAAGAACCATCATAATCCAAAAAGAGGGAAAGTGTTAGGATGATTGTATGTTGTGCTCTTATAGTAGCCTGTTTTTACTTGTTATAGAAGAGAAGCTATTTTAGAATATTCACTGTTATGATCTGTCAGGTATAGTAAGTGATGGTAATTTAAATTTAATTCTCTTTTTCTTTTACATGCAGAAATCCTTGCTCATCTCAAATCAAAGGTCTTGTAATGAATGCTCCTCAGTAGCTACAGCTTCTACAGCCAGTTTGCATACAATCTTAGAGCAATGGACTTCAAAATTTCAGTCACTCAGCATATCAGAACCTGAATCTAGCTGCAGCCTAATTATGGCATATGCACTGGGGGAAAAGACTGTAAATGTTTAGACCTTCTGTTTGATAAAACGTATTAGTGATTTAATCTGTTATAAAAAGCAAAATTGCAAAACATGGATAGAGTGTTCATTGTTTTCTAATTTATTGTATTATATATTTTTATAAACTAAATACATTAATACAAGTAACAGATTTTACCTGAAATGAAATTATACATTTATTTTGGAGCACAATTTTAAATTATATAAAGATTAATATAAAGAGAATATATAATGTCCTAAAGCCTAATAACAGTCATTTATATCTTTTAGCTGTATAATGTTGAGAAACAGATTATACTTACAAAAGCGCAAATTGAAAGAATCAACAGACTTTGTCAACTTCGTTTATCAGGGTAAGTTTTGACTGGCTTTGTGTACTTTTACTTAAATTTTCTTTTAAATTTTTGTATAAAGTTGTGTCTTCCTCTTTTACAATAACAGAATGCCAGTTCAGTATGTGATAGGAGAATGGGACTTCTGTGACATTACTTTAAAAATGAAGGCACCTGTCCTCATACCTAGACCAGAAACTGAGGTATGAATTTACTTATAAACAGTGGAGACCTGTTAGGGTCAGCATTGTTATTTAAACTAACACATAAGTGTTGTTCCTATGATGGTATTCATTAAGACTTGCCTTAATCAGCTCTGATGAGTACTTGACTTAAGTTGACTATAAAAAGTGATGTGTGCTAAAAAAAACTAATAAATTCTACATTATCTGTTCTATGGACTACAAGGTCCCAAGAAGTACATCAATGTACAAGTCCTTAGGTTAGCCATACAGTGCTATAAACTTTAAGTTGCAAGTTTTTTTTATGATGCCAAAGGATTTGTTTATTATCATTGTTGGACTGGTTTGTTGTAACTTATCCAAAAGTTCCCTCATTTTTTAAAATAAATATACCAAATACATATGTTCTAATAAATGAATTGTGAAGGACTCAAATGTTTAATATACCTTTATTCCACAGGAGCTTGCAAATCTGTGTATTGATTCTTTAAAGCACAAAGAGAATTTAGAAAGTGGCAAGATTTTAGAAATTGGCTGTGGTACAGGGGCAATAACTCTGACATTACTTAACACATTTAAAAATGTAGGCTTCTGATTTTATTCATTTAAATTGTTTACTATTACAACAACCAATATAATTATTTATGAAGGCTAGGCAGAAAAATATATTTCTACTTAAATGTGTAATAAATATATGATATTTCAAAAAGTATACCATATCTCTTACTGTAGATCAATGCTGTGTCTGTTGATGTATCTTCTGTAGCATGTGAGTTGACAAAAGAAAATGCTGATATCATTGGAGTTTCAGACAGATTAAATGTTATTGAAGGGGATTTTACTTGTGAGAAAGGTAAAGCCTTTTCTTAAAACTAAAGTTATTCTATCTGAAGTATATTAAAATCTAATAAGCTTTGAACACTTTTGGGGTCGTTCTGGCTGCAGTTTCAAACATTATTTTTCTTTTTTAATATTAATTAACCTACTGTCTAAAGTGTATGTGAAGCTTTGTTTTATTATTGTGTGTATTTTATTATTGTGATTTTTAATTGTAAAATCAATTATTTTTAATTACATTTCTTTTTAGTTTTAGAGGAACTGGCAACACATGGGCCTTTTGATTTAATAGTTAGCAACCCTCCCTACCTTAGAACAGAAGACATAAACAATCTACAGACAGAGGTTAGATGGTATGTTGGTGAATTTTTAGTACTAAAGTTGATTGCGCTAGCTATTGTTTACTTTAGGTATCTAACAAGTTTATCTGTTATATTGCAAGTAACTCAGTAGTTTTATCTCAAATAGGAATAAATAGATTTTCAGTTTTTAATTTACGGTACAGTTTGTGATGTATTATGATTAATTGTATTTCTTTCTTTTTTTAGTTCGTTTTAAAAGCCATTTATTTAATTCTGATAACTCCCTTCTTAACACATCTTTTTTATTGTATATTAATCATACTTATTTTAGTAAAGAATTAGTTTAATTGCAAACAGCTCTTTTAAAAATGTTACGCTTTAGTTTTTAATAGACTTATTTTTTATCAGCTTTGAAGATCATCATGCATTAGATGGTGGATCAGATGGCATGAATTTAATTAAACATATTCTGCTAAAATCAACTGACTTACTACACAATAAAGGGTAACTACATTTGTGTTATTTCTTTATATCTTTTTTTAAAGTAATTGCTAGCCTATATTCACTTCCCATGTTGAAACTCAACCTTTTGTGCCAGCATGCTAGAAAATACTACCAAACTGAGTGTTACATTTTGTATAAAAAAATGTTTTCCTAGTGATCTATGGCTTGAAGTTGATCCAGCACATCCACAGCTGATTACTGAATTTATCAAGCAATCTGTCATCTGTAAATCTCTTGTTCTAGATAATGTAGTCAAAGATATGTTTGGAAAGTAAGTATGACATGATTTCTTGTTTGTTTACTTCACATTTTGATGTTCTATGAAATCATATTAAGTAGGTAGATGTACATCAATGCAAGTAGTTTTTAAATGTTAGTCAAAGAATTGAACTGGTGAGGGGTCTTTCATCATCAGTCTTAGAGCACTGGTGTGTAATTTGTATTATCAAGTCATGTAAAATGGTCAATTTTTAATATACTATATTCCCAGGGACAGGTTTTGTCATCTGCAGAGAGATTAGTTACACAACGCAGTCAAATGTTCATCTCTTTTTGGTTTGAATGGAGTAAATAAAGGGAAGCTACTCTATTAGCAACTTTAGTCCAGATTGTCTCTTTTCTTTAGATGTTGTTATTGCTTAAATTAAAATTTAAAATAGAAACAAAAAGTTATATTTATTATTTTTTTAATACAAGAAACTAATAAACAGGGGTATAAGAGTATGTTCTGGAAAAGATTAACATTACACAATAAATTGCTGAATACATAATTTTTTTTTAACTTTTCACTAATGAAAATCAAAGCATGAAATATCAATGCAAAATAATATTACAATAAGTAGGTAACTCTTTTGGACCTAATGGTCCATAGAGAAAATGAAGTAGAGTTCATCTGATTCTATAACCTTGGCAAATAAAGCGATATTGTTGTCTGTTCTAACCCAGCTACCTGTACTTTTCCTGATGTAAGTCTGGTACCCATCAGAGCTAGGTGGACTCATAACATTCTACTGACTCAAATCTTCCATCCTAACTCAAGACTTTTGGGATTACGGTTGGGCGTTGTTCTACCATCCAACCACGCCATCTTATAACATTACAACAAAGTACATGAAAATCTGAATAAATGCGGAAGATGAGATTGTGACAGTACATTGATAGATTTGGTTCAGTATTAATTTACTGTCCTTTATCTACTTCAAATACAGAGTTTTTATTTTCTTTAAGAAGAAAACATTTTATTTAAGTGTGCTCTTCTCTGTGGCAGCAATGCCTTCATTCTTTAGTCTCTGGAGTATGGATAGACACATTTCAGGTGCTGTTGGGCAACACACACCTTTAGTTTGAATCTCACCTGTAAAAACACATTTTTAACTTTTTTATAAACTACAAAAACTAGAAGTTTTCAATCTGAAATACCACAAATTTTGTTTTAAAAATCTAGAATTATCAAAATATTCACCAGTGAGGATCATTCGAGCAGCGATGCCTATTGGTAACCCCACTGTTTTAGCCATTGCAGAAAATCCTCCAATGTCTCCATATGAAACTAGGTCAATGCTCCTCTCCTCCATCTTGCCATCACCCCACTGAATACCAATGTCATGGCGCATGAGAACCATGTCACGTTCATGTGCACCTAGTAAAAGTCAAAAACTTGAATATCTAATATTTAATTTAATATCATAAAATTTAAATATTTTGAATTATTAACATTAATTATATTTTATATAAGTTGGCATTATATAGCTCATAGTTTTTCGTGATGAGATATATGAATAAAAACTAACTAAAAGATGTTTTCTATCGTATAATGTTATCACTAATGTTTTTTAATTGCAATGTAAACTGTATTTACTTTAACAAAAAAAAATTAATTTTGCACAACAAAAAATTTATTTTATGACACTAAAAAATGCACACAAAAAATGTCCTTTGAGAAACACACTGAACACTATGGGGTAATTACCATAAGAAAGTCGTTTGGCCAGGTAGTTACAGAGTGTATCTATGGGGGTGCCTCGTTTCTCCACAGGGAGATCATCAATTAAACCCAGCCTAGTAATTTTGAAACATGTTATTTTTACTCATCAGCTCAAAACACAAAGTGTGGAAAATTGTTATATAATTATCTGACAGCATTCCAAAATTCAATTTACTTAATTTTGTTTTACTTTTGTCAAATATTGATCCAACAGTGAACCTGAAACAAAAATGCGCTCTATCCATTTTGTATTTTACCTGACAATAACATCCAACTGTTTGGGGTCCTTGCCAAGTCGGTCCAAAATAACATCTTTCAGTGAATCTGTCAAAATTTCTCCAGATTTGTTAAATTTGGTGCAAATGTATTGTTTCTGCCAGATATATTTCACAAGTAAAATGAACATGTACATAATGAAGTTAATAATTACATAGGGAAAATATCTCCAGATTTGTTAAATTTGGTGCAAATGTATTGTTTCTGCAAGATATATTTCACAAGTAAAATGAACATGTACCTGATAAAGTTAATATTTACAAAGGGACATTACATGATCTGTTCAATTTTCATCAAACTTTGACATTCTCATTTTCCTGAATAACGTATATAAAAACATGATAAAAACCATTTACCCATGTTATTTCTGCTCCCTGAGGATCCAGATAGACATCTGGTTCTGTCTCAAACAAACCCATGGTGATCAAACCTTTAACAGCTTCAGTCGAACCCTCAACAATACAATTGAATAACTTATCACAATTTTCTTTTATTTTAACAATTATTTTTCTCAAAGTAAACAAAAATGTGTATAATTATTAAGTCATTTGATAAATAAGTTTGTGTCCAAGTTATAGTAATAGGTTTTAAAAAACTTTTACATTTTTAAATGCACGAAAAATATAAAATTAAATTTCAGTTCGATGTAAAACTGTTTTAGTTTATGCATCACCTTGTAACGTATAGTTCCTCTATATATTGTATGAGCAGATTCAATCCCATACTCAGTAGCATACACAGTTGAGTCTCTGTTGGGGAAACCTTCCAAATTTAAACCAGGCATGAAGGTGAGATTTTCAACTGCATCTAGCAAGCCACCTTTTCCAGGCACTTCAACTATCTGTAAATCAAGTAAATGGAACATAAAATAATTAGGAGACTCAACAGAAATCATTCAGTTTAGGTGCTCAGAAAAAAAATCATTTTATGATGGTTTTTTTTACCATTCATAATTTTAGTTCATGAAAAAAATCATGTTCAAAGCAAAAAAACAAAGCAAAAATATAAAAAATATTTTGAAGTACTCACACTGCCATTTTTAAGATACTTTGCTGATGACATGAGGTTCATAAGTGCACCTTTAGGATACCAACTATTACAAAAATAGTACAAGTAGCTAAGTATAAATTCTTATATAAATGTTACAAGTATTATTGATAAATTTAGATTCTTTAAGCTGTTTGATCAATATGTAGACTCATTAATGTTTAAAATAATGCATTGAAATGGGAATAAACCTTATAATTTTGCATTAATGAAGGGAGCGAACCCTAGATGTTTTTAATAAAAAAGGGAATTAACCTTATCTAATTATACCTGAATTTATAAAGAAGAGGAGTATCATTGTTTTCTGGAGCTGGGAGTCCACCACAGTAAGATGAGAATGAAGTTATCTACAAGGAAATATGTGAAGTAAGCAAAAAAATATTTTGTCTTTGGTTAGCTTGGTATTCCAATATCATAACATCAATGTGAAAAAAAGTATTTATTGAACCACAAAAAATAAAATGATTAAAATGCTTCTTGACAATGTATTGACATAATTTAGCGCAATCTATCTGGTTTACAAGTGCTACCTTGGCTGCCTCTTTCTAACACCAATCAAATGTACAAATAAAACTTCACATATTAATATTTGGCCAACTCAATAAATTGTTTTGGCATTTTAGAAAAAAAAACAATTGATACACTTACCTTTCCACCTGCTTTCTGTACTTCATCAATACACTGAATAGCTAGCATGTGGTCAATACCTGGATCAAGACCAACTTCATTCAAGATGGTGATTCCTGCTTCTTTTGCCCTTTATTAATAAACAAATTATTTTTCTTTAATTCTGTACACTTCTTATATCAATTTCAAGGGAGACCATTCAGTTTTTTGCTTCATCATGCTGGAGAAAAGCCCACACAAATGTTTAATAATAACTTATTTATTATACTTTATTTTTTTATTTGATAATACTCATGTGTCACCTTTATGAATGTTCTTCACCACCTAGATAAAAAACTAAATTCAAAAGTTAAATCTAAATGAAAAGGGTTTCTATTCTAACAAAAGAATTTAACTGATTTTAGCAGACGGGGTACATTGTTAAACATTGAACCCACAAGTTAGATTGCCTTGCTTCCAATTCATTAGCTGAACTACTGTTTAAAAGTATGTCTAGTCCCAAAAGCGTGGGACGGTGTGGTCTAGCGTCCCTGAGTCCACCCTACTTTAATAGGTACCTAACTCACATTAGGGAAAGTAAAGGCGGCTGGGCATAGTGCTGACCACACTATCTCTTCATATGCCAAGGTCACAGAAACAAGTGAACTCTACTTCACTTGCCCTATAGACGGTTGAAAGGGAACTTCACTTTTACCTTACTAGTACAAAAAGGTATTTTCTAAACTGGAGTAAACCAACAAGTTACTTTTTAAAATACATTTTAAAATTATCACAAAATCAATTTTATATTTGAAAACATGCAGGTTTTTGTATAAGAAATAAAATCACTTGAGATTTGTCCATGAGTTTTATGCGGAGGCCAATTTCTAATGATAATGCAATCAACTTACACATGATGTAGCTCTTTCATTTCTGGACTAACATAACTAGCAGTCAACATGCTTTTCTTGTGTTGGATGCACAGCTTTGCGATGTCTGGATGGAAGTGGCATGGAAGCAAGCTAAAAGTTATACACAAAAAATGCATCCATCAAAAGGAAAAGTTGAAATAATTCGTCATGAGAATTTTACAGATTACCACTATAAAAATACATGTTAGTTGAATCCATCTAGGTTTGTTTGAAGTTTGGAAACACATTGTGATCTCAGCCTCATCTGATATTTATGACGTAAAAGTGTATTCAAAAGATGTCAGTACAGTCAAAACTCTGCAAAATGGTCTGAAGAGGGAGAGAGTTCATGATACTCTTACGCTAGATATAGAAAGCTAATGACATAATGACATCACTAGGTCAAGTGCAGTAAATAAGGGGTTAAATAAATAAATATATACATATACATACATACATATATATATATATATATATATATATATATATATATATATATATATATATATATATATATATATATATATATATATATATACATATATATATATATACATATATATATATATACATATATATATATATATACATATATATATATATACATATACATATATATATATATACATATATACATATATACATATACATATATATATATACATATATATATATACATATATATATATATATATATATATATATATATATATATATATATATATATATATATATATATATATATATATATATATATATATATATATATATATATATATATATATATATATATATATATATATATATATATATATATACATACATATATATACATACATATATATACATACATATATATACATACATATATATACATACATATATATACATACATATATATACATACATATATATACATACATATATATACATACATATATATATATATATATACATACATATATATACATACATATATATACATACATATATATATATATACATACATACATACATATATATATCTATATATCTATATATCTATATATCTATATATATATATATATATATATATATATATATATATATATATATATATATATATATATATATATATATATATATATATATATATATATATATATATATATATATATATATGATTAGTCCAACTGAACAAGAATAGTTTTTTATTTTGGTATCACCGTTTAGATGATGTCAGTCATTTCTCCCCACCATGTGATGCTGCTGCTCGTAGCCTATTGTGTTTACCTGATGACAATATCATGATTGTCTAAATGTCTCTCCAGCTCTGAATAACCTAAGCTCAAGTCCATCTGAACTGTGTGCACACCAGGAAATTTTTGTTTTATATTGTCAAGCTCCTCCTGGAACTGTGAAACTGTAATCAAATCAAAGGAGGGGATACAAAGTTGTTTTCTTTATGGCATGCATTTAAATATTTAAATGTCTAGAAATTACAATAGGGTCATTAGTGGCGGGGTTTAACTTTCTGCCAGTGTATTTTTTGCATTAGTTAAATTTAGTGGTGAGGCTTATCTGGACCATACATCTACTCTTTCTTTAGTCAGACTAATACATAGATCTAATTATATTTGGTCTTCTGATTATTCTTAGCCAAAGTAAAATATGGAAGCACAAAAGGTGTAGGTATAGCCTCCATGTTTGTATGTTTTAAAATGCTTAAAATTAATGTAGGCTTATTTGTAGTATTACTGTTAAACTATTTTTAAAAATTTATTTTTATGGTCCAAGAAAATATGTAGATTTCTACCAACAGTGACAGAAGTTCTGGGTTCTCTAGTCAGATACTGCACTGCTGGACCAACAACATGACCAGCCCCCAACACCAAAACTCTCTCTGTTGCCATTTACATTTGGGGTTGTTCAATTTCTAAAAAAATTTAAGGTCTTCAAATCTGAAAAAAAGTAAGACTGAATTAATTATTAGGCCCATTATTATATTATTGATCTAGTCTATCAGCTACAAATTCTATATCTTTATTATTTTTTTTAAATAAAGGTCTGCATTAAATATAACTTGACTTTATTGTTTAGTAATTGTAGACCTATTTATATTGTAATTAAGACTTAAGTTTTATGATAATTAGATCTAGACCAAAAATCTTTGAAGAATCATTGACTCACCATCATTTGTATCATGCAAACATAATATATAGATCTAGATTCTAGATCTATGTCAGACTTTGTCCATTTCGACTTGAAACTGTATTAAGAAAAAAAAAGTATTAGTATTAGATCTAGATCTAGATCTAGATCTTATTGCAAAAAAAAAAATCAAGTCCAAGTTGAAGTAATTCAAGTACTATGGCCTATTTCTTTGCACGCACGGAAAATTACCATGCACATACAAATTCAGCACATAGATCTAGATTTCTACTTTCTAGATGTAGATCTAGAATCTAGGTGGATAGATAATGAATATGGGCTAGATTCTAGAAATTAAATATTCTAGAACAAAGTCGAAGGCTCTGCTAGATCTGATCTATTGTATATACTATATAGTCTAGGACTCTAGATGCTAGCCTTTTCTTATATTATGAACAGGGGCGGAACTACCATACCGCCAGACCCCGCAATGGGGGGGAGGGGGGGGGGGGGGGCAGGACGTTTAGGGGCCCAGTTCCGACCAAAAGACAATGATTTTTTTTTTTTTAAATTATGTTTTTCATGCATCTTGAAAGTGGTTTAGTAAAAAAAAAAAAAAAAAACAGGTCTACTATAGCAGAGACTAGCGTAGAAAAATATTTTAAAATCTACAAGAGCTATAGTTTGAAAGGTAGGTAAACATTCACACTACTTCCATGACTTACTGCCCTTCTTTAAAATAGGGATGCCCACGAAGCTCATTTAAATAGTTTTGTACTATGTATATAAAAAAGCAATTGATTCTCTGAATTGTTATTTAAATAAGACTTACTATACAATACTATAGCTATAAAAATCAATGTTTTCAAAATTGATATTATAAAAGCCAAAAATGAAAAAAATAAACATAACGCGAGAAACCATTCACGAATCAAGCTAACGTCTTTATATATTTTTGACCAGCATATTTGTGTTACTCTATTCACTATTGTTCTGTTTTGTTCTCTCAGAATGGTTATATAACGACACCAGTGAGAGCAGTCCAGAAATTGTCGAGGATGTGGATGATTGATGTGGGTGTGCTAGGGATGAGTGGTGTGGTTTTTTTTTTTTATGTGACAGAAAGTTGAGGTAATGTTACAGTGGGGAGGGGGGGGGGCTTGTTGACAGTTTGAATCTAATATATAAAGCTCAATTCTGTAACGCATATGTTTGTCGTTGGCATTTCTACGGATTTAAGTGTTAGATCAATTATCGTGCGCGTTTGTCTAAATTTATGAGTTAAAAAATTACTATTAAAAGTGTTGGGAAATCATTTTCATTTTTCAAATTGTAGTAATAATTGCCGGCATGTTCATTAAACACAAGTTTTAAAAAAAATATCATCTTTTACAAAAATTCTAATTATGTTTTTATTTAGTTCTATAGCGCTTACTTCCCTTTGATAAATTAGGCAAAACACAATTACTTCCCTTTATGAAACCCATTGCATTAGTTGAAAAGCATTTACTTTTTAATTACTTTGTTTTGGTGTTGGGAAAAAAAATAATTACATAATTAGCGGGGATTGATCAAGTGCAAATGTTGTAGGTATTTTACGGATAAGCTTGGAGTATTATAATTGTTCATTAAATTGAAACAGGCGCGTTCGTTTAAGTGAGTGCAAAAACTATGAATAAGTTGGGGTACTATAGTCGTTTATTAAGCTAAAACAGGCGATTCTGCCCCGGGCGTTTATGTTCGCGTTAGTGTTTTCTTTGTGTTTAGGTGGGTTTGCGTTAGTGGTTGCGTTTTGATTTGGTTCGTTTTTGTTCTTTCTTTTTTCGTTTTTGTTTGTATTTTTTTTTGTTTGGGTTTGTATTTGTGTTTTTGGTTGGTTTTGCGTTTGGATTTGGTTTGTTTTCGTTTGCTTTTTCGTTGTTTTTTTTTTGGTATTGGTGTTTGTGGTTGGGTTTGTTGTTAGGTTTTTGTTTTCGTTTGTTTTTTCTTTGTGTTTGTATTGGTGTTTGTGGTTGTGGTTGGGTTTGTTGTTAGGTTTTTGTTTTCGTTTGTATTTCTAATTGTGTTAGCGTTATGTTTGCGTTTTGTTGTTTTGGTTGGTTGTGGTTTGGGTGGGCAATGCCGGGTTTATGATGATTACTAAACACACAGGTAATGGTCTTTAACGGAAAGGTTTTTCACAGAAGCCAGAGCAGGGCCTGGCCGGGACGGCTAGTAAGAAATATGTGTGAAGACTGAGACATTTTGAATTGCATGTATGTATGCTAGGAATTTACATTGCTTCATTATTCATACCATTTTGATTGTATTAGATATTTGTAAATAAATTCAAAACTTAAAAAAAAAAAAAAAAGAATGGTTATATATTGTGCAATGAAGTAGACTTCTAGGATACAGATTATATATATATATATATATATATATATAAATATATATATATATATACACATATATATACATACATATATATACATACATATATATACATACATATATATATATATATATATATATATATATATATATATATATATATATATACATATAAAATTATATATAATTATATATAATTATATATACACATATAATTTGCTATAGGGGTAGACCTTGTTCTGCAATAAATCTACATATTTTTGTGTAATTTGTTGTTTTAGAATCTAGGGGTCATCCATAAATGACGTCACGCTTTTTTGACGATTTTTACCCCCCCCCCCTCCCCTCCGTCACACGTCGTCACAAAAAGCCAGACCCCCCCCCCCCCCCTAAAATGACGTCACACCTCAACCTAGAACCCCCCTCAAAATTGCAGTTGAATTTTTTTTAAAACATCGATATTTTTCCAAAATCTTGTCTAAACTATTACAATTTATTAAAACATTTATCTAAAACGCGAAATAACGTCTAAAATTCGTTTTCTAACATTGCTTTTTTATAATGCAAAAATGTGACGTACCAACATCTGAACCCCCCCCCTCCCCCTCCCCCTCATCACACATCGTCACAAAATTACGGACCCCCCCTCCCCCCTACGAGTGTGACGTCATTTATGGATGACCCCCTAGACGATTGCTGTTTTACTTACTAGATCTAGATCTAGTACTTAGCGATATTTTTTAAAAATAGATTAAAAGTTAATCTTCAGTGTTGGAGATAGGTCACGAATCTAATAATATGAATCTATATATATATTATATATGATTCTCTTCGTGGAGACCATAGAAAACACCAAGCTGTACGCGCGCCTAGCAGCCCCCCTCACTTCCTCTCTAGGCATATCCCTACCACCCCAACACCACGTGGTCTGGTGAGCTGTGGTTCACGCTAAATGTTTACAATCGTAGAGCCGGGTTTAGTGACGGCTATTAGGGGTAGATAATTAGTTTGAAACTATTTTAAACTTAGGGGAGGTAACTAAGAGGAGGCTGCTTTCACGGGGGGGGTGTAAGGTAGGGGTTGGGGGAAAGGAGGGTGGGGGTATCGTCCTTAACGACCTACTTGTAATGTTTTAAAGCAAATATTTTCTGTGGCAGCATTGGTACTGTCGAATTCACAAATTATGAATTACTGAAAAGTAGAAAATAAAACAACTAAATAGCGGCATATGATACGCCGCGGGTCGGCTCGTATATCTTGTTTCGATTATTTGGAACATAGCCTACTAGATCTAAGATCCATATCTAGATTCTAGATTGGAACAGAGAAAATTTTAAAATCATGGTTAATATATTAAAATACTCAGAGTTTCTTCCAGGCATCTCTTCGTGGGGGCTCAGCACACCCCCCCCCCCCCGAAGAAAGTCTACTGCCACCCCCCCCCCCCCCCGAACGAGATGGATTTTATATAATAAACATACAACTTTACTAGTGTGTGTGTGTCCCGTCCGTCCCCCCCCCCCCGAAAATTTCAAGTGCCCCCCCCCCCCCAGGAGAAAAAAGTCAGGAAGAAACACTAAAAATATTACAGTCTTGAAATGAGAAATGCGCCCCCCCCCCCCACCACACACACACGGTACTGTAGATAAAAGGCATCTGCTGGGACTATTTTTCCGAAACTACAGAAGTAAGCTTATGAAATATGCTTGTTTAGTTTTTTTTTTTTTTTTTTTTAGAAATACACTTTTGCTTTTGACTTAAAAACATAACCAAACTAAATCGTCTAAATGTAAATGTAACCTTTGCTTAAGGGGCCCTTTAGCATTTCAGTCAGGCCTTTATGGCATTATCAATATTGGCCTACTTTAACTAACTCATGTTATTATTTTAACGGTTGGTCTTCATTTTTAAATATAACTGATGTTGTTCATGTTGTTGTGATGTTAATGACAGGATTAAAAACAAGATAACATGTTATTTTTACAGATAAGTCATGATGCATTGGCCTATTTTTTTACGTTTTTCCTATATTCATGTTCAAGATGGTGGTCTATGTTCATGTTAAAGAAGGTGGTCTGTGCTGTTTCAGATGCAATTGCAGAAAGAAAAATAACCTCTGTATAACAATCTCAGCAAGCTGAAAGCGGAATCAATGGTCTTAATGGTGCTTAACTGTGTTGGAGGGGACCCCTTCCACAACTAAAATTAAGAACGACGAAGAAATTTTTAGAAATGCTTAAAAGACATTAAAATAAGTTTTAACAAAAGTTGTTTTAAAATTTGTATTTTTAATTCATTTGTAATTAACTGATGTATAAGAATATACTTTGCATAAGGTAAATATTACAACACACGCCCACTCAAGCAGCAATACTGACTACATCAATCAACCTAGTGCCAGGGCTCTGAAGAAGTTTGTGATAAATAAAAAGAAAATTAAGTCAATTGGACAATATCTAAAACAAATCCAAAAATTTAACTGATGTCATAGGGGTTTTTTAAGTAAAAACAATGGTAGTAGATTTTACATCATCAATGAACCTTCACATCAAAAAGTAAATTTAGGATAAATTCAGCATTACTTACATGAATAGTTTTTTTGGAAAAGTAGGTTTTGAATTTTGAATACATAAAGTAATTGTTAAAATGTGTTTACATAACTCAAAATGTAATAATTCACAATAATTATTACAAAAGATTGAACAGTAGCGTTGCTCTTTGGAAAACAAATCTGAAATTATTTTTGTACTGAAAAATAACTAAATATCTGGCAATGTAGTGTGTTCTTAAGGGAAAGCAAAACAATCAAATTTGTTAGTCAGTTGCTACAAAAATTTAAAAATTTATAATATCAGAGTATACTTCATTCAGATGCTACAAAAATCAAAGATAATATCAATGTAATCAAAGATAATCTGGAATAAAGCAAAATCTAAACTGTACTTATTTAAAAATCAAAAACAAATCAGATAAAGTATTCATTTATAAATGAGTATATTATGAAATAGAAAACAACTAGTTTTAATGGCTAAATAATTGAAACTGATATTGATATGAATAAAATAATTTGTAAATACAACAAGGAGAACTCAGTAAACATGATTTTTGTTATCCTATTTGCTTTCAAAAGTAATTAAGTAATTATGATGTTGCATTTGTGTTCTTAAAAATGTTCTTTACTAATGGCTGTTTTAAGACACACATAGGCCTATTTGTCACATATGAGATGAATTCAAAATATTTTAGAAATTTTCAAAAACAACCTCACAAAATAGTAAATAGCAAACTGTTTTTAAAAAACTCATATTGAAGTGCACTTCAGTTTCAACATTTGTATAAAAATACATTTAAAATATATAAACAAAAAGCAATATGAGTATTTTGTAAAACAAAACACAGGTCTCACAATGATTTCTGCTTTTAAAAAAGTTTAGAACTTGAAAAACAAAGAAAACACAAATAGGCACTTGTTATTTCATTTAAAAATGGCTTTTTTATCAGAAATGTGGGAAAATATTTTCTGCATTTTAAAACATTTCACACCAAAAAAAAAAAAACTATGCCATTGCACTCTAAAAAAAATATGTTTACACAATATTACAATTTAGCTTGTAAATATGAATGTGTGTGATCTGCATATTTCTCTACATAAAATGTACACATTTTAGTGGCTGGATGACCACAGAAAAAAGATTTTTGTAAACTAACTTTTGCTTTTCAGCAAAGTTGTTCCTTTGAAAGCACATTACCTTTTATTTTAAAAACATTTCATGTATACATATAATTTTATGTAAAGTAGAAATTACTTGAATATTGTGAGCATATTTTATTCTTTATAGATAAATGCAATATGGTATAAACATTTTGAAAGATTAAAAATAAATGCAATAAACTAAAACCAAAAAAACAGACTAAAATTTGTAAGAGGGTAACACATGAATGTAATTTGTTTCTCAAGCTGGGCCATTATAATGTTCCGTTTATAAGAAGCAAATTTATGTGAAAGATTGAATTTTAAAGATCTAAAAAAAATATATATGGACTTTGTAAAACCAACAACAACAAAAATTTGAGATTCGAACCGAATTGCTGACTAGCTTTATAAGAAATATAGCAAGTTCAATCCTTACTGAGAGCAATCTTGATGTTTAATATACAATATCAGTTCTTATTTTGACAGCATTTTATTGCATATGCAGTAATGAAAGAATTATTGGTTAAACATATACAATTTCACATAAATAACTATATTTTTAAAATTCCGTCGAACACATAACATAATACAGATTAGATCTCATATTTGTTTTAAATCTTCAAATCATCTCCATCAAACTTTGAGACAATTGCAAAAAATATATATTCATAAAAAGATATTTGGCTACCATTCCATTCTTATAACATATTTAAAGAATAGCTTCCCCTTTAATTCATCCTCCTTTCAACAATATCAACTACAACAATTCTACAACATGCATAAGTACCTAGGAATGCTTTTTACTATGTCACTGTCCTGTCAAATTATGATGTTGATCCAAGCACATGCATACACTCTCCATAAATATATGAGGTCAAATAAAATTGTAAATTGTTAAAAAGGTCATTATGGTTTTTCAAAATGCAACACATTTTTCTAACATCATGATCAGCTCTTGTTTATAAAGATTACATTACATAGCTAATTTAAAAACAGTCTCCACTAATGAGCATTAACAGATAGCTTTTACTTAATGCATATCCAGAAATAAATTAAAATTAATTTTAGGTATAAAAATATTTGTTTTTCATATTTAAAAAAAAATCATTCCAATTTTTTTAAAGTTTATGTAAATGGTGTCAAAATGTGTTTTTAGATATACTAATGCACATGACAATTTCACAAGTCCATTACTTATCAGATAATCAATCGCTTATTTTTAAATCTACCATAATTGTCATTTACCTGATTTTAATGTTAACTATTATTTGTAGTATTTTTCAAGGTTTTAAACTGTGAAACTACATAATATAAAAATAATACACATATATAGCTATTAAATAAATAAAAATATTAGTAATTAGTGTTCAATTTTCTATTTTAGTTTTCAAAATAACAAATCTATTTCTTTCAAATTTACTGAGAAGTGTAAGCTTGGATCATTTCATCAGTTTGAGCAATACAGCAACCCAGTGAATATACTACTTAAATTAATAGTGAATATTTATCTCTATACATTATTGTATATTACAAACAATACAAATTTTGTTTCAACTCTTTATAGTTTTGTGATAACTAGACTTTGAACTGGTGCTAAAAAATTCTACTGAAATTAAAATCAAATGACAAAAATGCTTCTTTTTACCATACAGGAAGTTTTTTTTTAAGAATGTCTTAAAATAATTATTATTAACAGGAAAATAGGCTGATTTTAATGCTAAGGTAATGTACATTTTAAAAAGCAAATCCATGTTTTTAGTTACCAGCACAGCAAAATACCACTATACAACAAGAGCATCTAAAAATAAACTGCTAAAATATACTTGCTCCAATCCAAACCTAGCTCTGATATCTACTTGAACAAAAATTCAACTTTCTTTGACAAACATATAAGAATAAAATACTGCTCTTTATGAATCCTCTTCAACATTGAAAATTTCAATAACGCATATATGATTTTATTTTTCAATTATCCAAAAAAGGATTTTTTTTGAGATTCTTAACTAAATGCACAGAAGTAACAGTTTGTGCCATGTATTTACAACTGTTTATAAACTGTCCATAAAAAGGCATTTCTCAAACAAATGTTAAGTTTTAAAACTTTAGCCAAGGTGTAAAAATGAAGTTATTTCATTGCACTGAAAGTTCATTCGTTTGGTCTGACTCTATTAAAAAACTCTTTCTAATAGGAGATTAGAATAGTTAAGATACTGTTGGATTTTATTTCAGTTTGATCTTCTCTATGGCAGAGATGCCTTCCTTCTGCAGTCTCTGGAGTATGGGTATATATGTTTCCATGGCTGTTGGGCAGCAGACACCTTTTGTTTGGATTTCACCTGAAAATTACAAGTGTAAAAATTATTTTAAAAACTTATGAATCCATACTTCGTACTTAAAAATAACTTTAATTAAAATTATAAACATACAAAATGAAGAATTGGTCATTGTTCTTAATAAGAAATATTCCAAACAATAATAATCAGTAAAAAAAATACTCCTAGATTAGCAGTTTGTATACATATCTATGTATCAATCATGTTTATAATAAAAACCTTAAGGAGGGCAAAACAATTTGCTGAATTTTGAAAAAATAATTATAATATGTTCTAAAAATAGTATTAACTGAAAGAAAAAGTGTTTTACCTGTGAGAATCATTCGGGCAGCAATGCCTGTAGGTAATCCCACTGTTTTAGCCATGGCAGAAAATCCTCCAATGTCTCCATATGAAACTAAGTCAATGCTCCTTTCCTCCATCTTGCCATCACCCCACTGAATACCAATGTCATGGCGCATGAGAATCATGTCACGTTCATGCACACCTACACAATACAATACAAAATTTAATGCAATAAATAAATATATAAATAAATATTTATAATAACAGGTATAAATATAAATAAATATACAGACAACCACTGAGCCATTAAGGAAATAAATAAAAAATTGGAGAAAAATGAACTTTTATAACAATGATGTACCCCTCTCCTTCAAAAGTTCTATTTAAGTCAGTAAATGTACAGTACAAAATGGACCTTATCAGACCAGGAAGTCAAAAGGGCAAAATACTAAACATTTGTGGGATAGGGTGAGTGAGAGGGCGTAGCACTTGATCAAGTCTGAGTCCACCCAGCTTTGATGGAAAAAAGTTGGACAGATGAACTTACTTCATCAAATAGTCTTTCTCTCCTTGCACGACAATGCCAGAAAGGTCAACAAAAACAACTTACCATAAGAAAGTCTTTTGGCCAGATAATTAGAAAGTGTGTCTATAGGGGTGCCTCTTTTGTCAACAAAAACAACTTACCATAAGAAAGTCTTTTGGCCAGATAATTAGAAAGTGTGTCTATAGGGGTGCCTCTTTTGTCAACAGGGTCGTCATCAATCAAACCAAGCCTGTTGAGAAGTGAAAATAATTTTACTCTAATGATCTTACGATGAAACAAAAAACTTGGTGATGTAAACACACCAGCAGGGAGATACAATTTAGTCATCGTTAATCACAACGATTATCTGCTAATTTACTCCAACTTTCTTCTTCTTCAGTCTAAAACACAATGTTGGAAAGTATTTCCTCCAGCACAGTTAAGTATTACATGCATACTCTTCTGTAGCCTTTTGTGTCCATCCAAGAACCTACAAGGCTGTAGTTGGTTGATTTGGAGTTGCTTTCCACCTGCTAATGAGCCTCATCTGCCAGAGGGTTCAAATTCAGGAATTTTTGGTTTAGCAACAAAGAGCTTTACGGCTACCGGCCTAACCACAACGCTCCCACTCAAAGTAACTGCTACCTTTTCTAGAAAAGTCTCTTTATATGAAGGCTACATTGACAAGGCTTAAATTATTATGAACAAATATAAAGAATGTTTTTTTAAAATAAATTTTGAAAGAGTCTATCCATGGATAAAGAGCATTACCTGACAATAACATCCAGTTTCTTAGGGTCATGGTCTAGTCTGTCAAAAATGAGATCTTTCAGTGAATCTGTCAAAATGTCTCCAGATTTGTCAAATTTGGTGCACATGTATTGTTTCTGAAAAGATCAGCAGGTTAGATTTATTTATATTTTTATCACATAGGGAAATTTTTTTTTAATTAGTTTAATTATTAGTAATAAGTATATTTACCCATGTGATTTCTGCTCCCTGGGGGTGAAGATGGGCATCTGGTTCTGTTCCAAATAATCCCATTCTTATCAAGCTCTTAATAGCTTCAGTGAAACCCTAAGAAAAAAACAGAACTTAATTAAAAATATTGTATGCATCTAGCTTGTTAAATAACAAGCATATCTGTTCCTTTCTACACTGCACAAGCTTTATTGGTGGCCTATGGATTGACCAAAAAGGCCTCAGTGAATATGTATATTTATAAATGCTACCTTGTAACGAATGGTTCCACGTAGAATTGTATGAGCTGACTCAATCCCATACTCTGAAGCATAAACAGTTGAGTCTCTGTTGGGGAAACCTTCCAAATTTAATCCAGGCATGAAGGTGAGATTTTCAACTGCATCTAGCAAGCCACCATTTCCAAGAACTTCAACAATCTGGAAGGCAAAAACATTATTTAAAAAAAAAAAATTAAAAGTCTTTTATTTTATAAAATTGCATATCTCCAAACAATACTACCCCAATCTTACCTTGCCTTTCTTGAGATATTTGGCTGTTGACATTACATTCATAAGAACACCTTTAGGGTACCAACTGTAGACAAAAAAAATGAAGACACTTCAGTAATCTAAATGTCTTACTAACATACTTGTCACATAATGTAACATTTTGAATTTTTTAAATTCTTTTATCTGATAGCTCAGTGTCCATTTAAAAAAAAAAAACAATCTAAATAGTTTAAGAATTGATTACCTGAATTTATAAAGCAGAGGAGTGTCAGTGTGTTCTGGAGCAGGCAGCCCACCACAATATGATACATAAGAAGTAATCTGTGAAGGGGAATAAAGAAATCTCTTGTAAAAGTCCAAAAGTAATATTTTATAAATTATTTGATGTATAGACTTGTTTATAAGCTACTTTTATTATGAATTCTTTCTGCAGGAAAAATGTATGTGGGATGTGAGAGAAGGATAAAAAAATCATAGATCAAACAATAAGGCTGTTTTGCTATATGTTAGCCCTGAACTGATTTAGTGGCAAACTTTGCTAAAGCAAGTGAATTATAATTGTCACAAATTTTATACTGCTAATCATAATAGGGATGAGTGTACTTTTACTAGTAATTATTTATTGAATAATGAAGTTTGTCACATGAAGGGGAAAAGGTGGGCTTTCAGAACTACTGAGCTTGGTTTTTTTTTTGTAAACAGAAGTTGCAGGTGTAGGCTTCTGTGGGTTCAAGTGAAGGAAATTATTCTATCTTAGGTTGTACCAGCCCAGGGAAATAATCAGAATCTAATTTGATTGCAGACCTTATGGTCAATAGCTGATGTTTTTGCTCTTGTAAGCGAAGGGAACCAGTTTTTTTTTTCTGTGTCATGTGACATCTGGAGAACTGGGTATAGTGACATTTAGTTTCACATGAATACTCAATTAAACCAGGAGCACTTGGCGCAAGCAGTCTGGTTCAGAATTGATGTTTATACAGCTGAAGTTTTGTTTGAAATATACAGAAGCAAATATAGGCCTAATGAGAGTAACCAAAACATTTTTTGTGTGTACACTAGGCCTACTATGTGTCTAGTCAGTTCAGCAAGAATAATTACTGCTAGCAAATGCATACATTTATACGCAGCATTTTTTATGTACTGTGAGATAATGAATGCAGGTAACAGCAGTATAATTTTGAATGTCATTTGTGCTGTACTTTAATGCTGTAATTATTTAATTAATGCATTATACAAGTCCTAATTACTTGATAATATCTCACTTTGTGTTGGAGACTTAAACTGGCATGGCTATCTTTAATATCTCGACTAATGCAGCATGTTGCGGACTAGAAAGGAAAGTATGATTGATGTACATATTTTTATAGATCTAGTCATGTCAATCCATTGTGATACTGGCATGTCACACTGTGATTGTGGACCTGATGAGTCTCGGCTACAAAGTCTATTTCAAATAGATTGTAATTACTAATATTTTAATCCAGTATGTGTAAAGTGAGCCTATGCTTGGCTGCATCAAATGTGTTTTGTTGGTTTGTGTGCACCTAAAACTAAAAGCATTAAACCTCAGTGGCTGACCCCAGAAAATACGGAGCACGTCCTTCAGGAATGTTCTTTGTATAGCCTGGCGCGAGTCAGACACTGGCCCCTGCTCACCCCACTCAGGAAAAAATTATATGGGAAACCTGCTGACCTGGAGACCACAGTCCGGTTTGTTCACGAATTAGGACTTGTTGTCTAAATCCTCCACCATATTCTCAATTAAGAACGAAGAAGAAGAAGAAGAAGAAGAAGAAGTGGCTGACCATCACATCATATTCCCACTGGCAGTGTTACACATATTTCAAGTTAGTTTTTAACTTCACATCAGTTCTTTACTGGTGCTCAGTTAATAAAAGCATCAGCTTTAGAATGAGTGAATGCTGTATGTATAAATATAAACTGATAAATCTACACCAGTTTTGTCTATAAGAAACATTATTTTAGTAATCAACAGCCTTCATATTAGTGAATACAGCTGTGTGTAACTAAACTGTTGACAAATGAAATCCCATTACCTTTCCACCTGCTCTTTGCACTTCATCAAAACACTGCATGGCTAACATGTGGTCAATACCTGGGTCAACACCCACCTCGTTCAAGATGGTGATTCCTGCTTCTTGGGCCCTTTTAATCAAACAGTTTTAAATCAATTCACAGAAATGAAAACCAACCTGAGTCTTAACAATATTTTAACAAACTCTTGCTCTACCCTGAAGCAGTATCAAATTAAATAAATAATTTAAAAAACAAATCTTAATTTGTTAGTTAACTTAAAAAAACAAAAATAATTGTGACAAAAATACGCCAACATACGCTTTATGCAGTTCTCTCATGGCCGGGCTAACATAACTGGCTGTCACCATGTTTTTCTTGTGCTGGATGCACAGCTTTGCAATATCAGGATGGAAAGAGTATGGCAACAGGCTAAAAGAAAGTTTCATTCAAGAAAAAAAAAGTTATATAAAAAAATTGTTTTTAATAATAAGTACTGTAATTTGACAAAAATAAATGATGTCTAGAATACAGAAATAATGTTACTGAAACCAGAAACCTAATTATAATGCCTTATAACACATACAATTTTGTTTACCTTATGACTAAATCATGATCTTCCAAATGTCTCTCTAGCTCTGCGTACCCTCTGTTCAGGTCCATCAGCACAGTGTCCACACCTGGACACAGCTTTGTAATGTTGTCCAGTTCCTCCTGGTACTGTGAAGCTGGAAACAAATTTAAACTACCATGACTTTGCAAACATTTGGCTGCTAGCCCGAAGATTTCGAGTTCAGATCTCTTGAGTCCCTGAGTCCACCCTGCTCTGATGGATACCTGACTCATGTTGTGGAAAGTAAAGGAGGGAATTGGTGCTGACTACACCATTCCTTCATAAGCTGGTCAAGTAACTTATGAACTCTACTTCATCAGGAAACAGAGTGTTACTTTACTTTTAATGACTTTGCAAACCACTTTTTTTAAAGTTAGATGCAGTCCTATAAATGAAATGTGCAGAAATTGTAAAAAATAAACAATGTATTGATCAGTTTCAGCAGTATAAAAATGTGTAGGAAACTATTTACCAACAGTCGAACAGGTTCTGGATTCCCTAGACTAATACTGGACAAGATAAATTATAAGGAATACATCAGTCTCAGCAGTACAAAAATAATGTGCAGGAAACTACTTACCAACAGTGACACAGGTTCTGGATTCCCTAGACAAATACTGGACAAGATAAACACGGTATACATCAGTTTCAGCAGTAAAAAAAATAATGTGCAGGAAACTACTTACCAACAGTGACACAGGTTCTGGATTCCCTAGACAAATACTGCACAGCAGGACCAGCAACATAACCAGCCCCCAGCACTAAAATTCTCTCTGTTGCCACACTGAGTTTGGCTTTATGGGCAGATCTAAAGTTACAAGAATGGTTAGGGGTTAAACTTCAATATTAACAATACTTGAATATATGCATAAATAGACCAAAGACGTGTCTGGTATTGTGAAAGGTTGACTTACGCTCTCTGCTGCCTTAACTGCTGGATATACTTGAAGTTTGGAGTTAAGTGGCCATTACTTGTGATGACTGCCTGTTGATATGATTATCTTATTACTTATTAGTGATAGATTTATATAAATTTTCAATAGATCGGGTGGTAGAGCACTAGACTTAAAAAGTTTCAAGTTCAGATCTCTGACTTGTGTCTGTAGGACACCCCTGAATCACCCAGCTTTGATGGATACCGGAAACATGTTAGGGGAAAAAATGGGCGGCACTTGGAATAGTGCTGACCACCTGATCCCTTTATATGAAGTGGTAAAAAAAACATGAACTCTACATCATAAGCAGGGTAATAACTCTACATCATTAAAAGATCCAAAAGAAGAACTATTTTTAAAAATAAATTTTCGTTTTTAAAAATAAAAAGGTCTTTCAAATATAACTGTAACCAACACATGAAAGAGAAACCCAAAATTAGTTCTCATGTTGCTAGAAAAGAATCTAAAAAGTAAATGAAGTGTAAACATCAGTGCAGTCTTTAACAAGAAAACTTACATTTTTAACAATGGGGCTGCAGTTGTACTCTTCAAAAGGTGTTTTGGCATTTGATTTTAGCTGGAAAATAAAGTTCAAGATTAAAAAAATAATTTACTTTTTACTACTATACAGATATTAGCAAAATTAACTTCTATCTTACCATTTCTTTGATGTAAGGGAAGAGGAGGCTACCAAAGTACTCCGTGGCTTCCCTTGGAATCTGGGCTGGCATATTATCAATGGAACAGATGAGTACACCATCACCAGCAAAACTGAAATAAATTTTAGACAGTTAGGTCAAAGTTGGAGAGAACAACTAATAAACAGGCAACACTGCAAATTACAAAGCATTGCATTTATTTGCACTTTAATTGAAACAAACTGTATCATTTACAATTGAGGAGCTTTGTGCTAAAGCAGGTTTTGATCTTTTTTTTTTATTTGTAATCAAACCTTGCAATGGTAGAAGCAGTAACCTCAATACAAAATGTTCAGCATGAAACACAAAATAAATTCATACAAAAAAAATGTCTCTTCTACTTTACAATGTAATATCAGCACAAAGTTTTCTATTGCTAGTTCATATTGTGTTTTCTTTAATTAATACACATGAGGAATTACAAAATCAGTTTTATATTAATTTCTACACCTGTTGAAATTCATTTATCAATTTTTTTTCATGTTTTTACAGCTGGCAATGTTTAGTTCAAAATTCAAACTAAAAAGACTTGCCATTATTTCAGAAAATCATTGGTACAATTGAAATTCAGTTGTTTAAAACTATATACAGTTGAGCAAATTAAAATAATGTAGGTATTTAACTAGTAAAAAAATGTGTTGTTAAAATTATACAAGCAAAAAATTGGTTATAAAATAATTAATGATTACATCTTATGTATGAGTAAAAAAAAAGTTAGTTACAAAAACATAAATTTTATCTTCTATTCTTTTGAATAAGCATTAAGACAAAATCTATATTTAAATTTACAAACAAAAACACATCACTTTAAAAAGTATTCTACAAAAGTTATAAACAATGCTGCTTTAAAATAAAATTTTAAATAGTGCTCAGTAAAGTATTTTAATAAAAAGACGTAATTTTAAAAACGCTCACAAAAAAAATTAGGATAATTTTTTTTCCATTAGATTTTGTTAATAAATATTATATAATAATCATGAAATCAAAAACTTTGATAAAAATAATTATTATTAACAAATAGTGACCTAATATGCTGTTTGACCCAAAAGAATAAGTCTAAGGAATGTGTTATTGAAACTTAAATGTACAATACATAAATAGCAATAAATAATTGTATACATATTTCTTTGTAATAAATGAAAAAAAATAATGTAGTTAACTACTATTTAAAAAGCTGAAAAATTCTGGTTAATTAGTTCACCAGAAAAATAAAAATGCTTTTAATTTGGACAAGTTAAACTAAACAATTCACAATGAAACCAGCATTATAATTAATAAACTACATCTGTAGACTAAAACAATGGTTACAGCTGAATTCATAATTATATTTTAAAATGTAAAAAGAATAAGTAACAAAACACAAAACTATTGTAATTCATTTTTCCTAACTGGAAAACACTGGTTAAAACAGTGTAAAAATATAACTGAAGATAAAAAACAAATAGGTTAGCAGCATGCACTTAATCATATTTTTAATGTAATTTAGTAATAAAACAAAAAACTCAAACAGAAACATACATGTTACAAATTAAACAGCTATTTAACACAGTTTCAAGTAAAGAATAAGGACCAGCTTTAATAGGCTGTAATTCTATTTGTGTGAAGAAGATATATGATAGTGTTCATCCCATACAAAATGGCTTTGCATGAATGAAGCAATGAGTGAACAGCAGAAACTGAACTGAAGGAGACAGAGCCTATGGTCCCTTTGTGTCCCAATCAACCAGAATCTATGTACTATTTGCATTACTTTTTAAAAATTACATTACATATTATTTATGATTATATTATGCTAAAGGATACTTACCTAAAACATTTTCTAAACAAAACATATCAATAGGTTAGAGAAATATAATTAAACAAAGAGAAAGTCCCATCAAAGAGACCCTATTTCACAAGTTGTTGAAAATATAGGCACAACCCAAAAATCAAGAAAGTGATCAGATTTTTAACCCCTTTCACTCCAATAAAACTTTTGAGATAATGGAATTTTACAGCCAACATTTGAAAATATGAATGAATGAAGTTATGACTATAAATAAGTAAACCATATGTAATAGAGGATTTCATAAAAAATTACTTCAGATAGTAAACCAGCTACAAATCATGCTGCAGCTATATTTCCAACCACTGTGCAGTGTTTTAGTTTCCCCTTAACATATTTTATCTACCAATTAAAATAAAATCACTAAAAACAATAGCAAGCATGCATGAACGAAACAAATTAGTTACCAATCAGTCTCACCTTTCTGAGTCAACATTCTGTTCAGCATCGTAGAGCGAGAAAGGTCTGTCAATGGTGGTGCACTCTTTCATAAATTCAATCGAACCCCCAGGGTCGGCTGAAATGTCACAGATGGCCAACAGCCTGTGGGGGAGGGTTGGACACCCTGGGGATGAGGGTAGCCACGGAGCAACAGTGGGCTGAAGAAGTGTCTTGGCGTCTGGAATGGTGATCAGTCTAGGGGCACCTGGTGCCCAGTATATACCATTGATAATGCAAGAGGCATATGGCGCAATCTGTAGTAAGGCAGAAATACTGAATTCAGTAAGTAAAACAGTTAAAAACTTATTAAAACATAACAATAAAAAAATTAAATAAATAATAAGTTGACAGCTTTATCATATTTATATGAAAGCCAATTATTTATAAATAAGCATAAGGGCTTATATTTTAAATTAATAATGTCTTAATTTCAAAATTAAAATTAATATATAGATAACTAGATAATTAAGAAATTCTTAAGACTAGAACTAGATAATTAAGAAGCTCTTAAATTTAGAACTAGATAATTAAGAAGCTCTTAAGATTAGAACTAAATAATTAAGATTAGAACTAGATAATTAAGAAACATATACATCATGACTAAAGCTGGAGGCATAACGCTCTGGGTGCTTTTCAAATTCCTCTGCGTCAAACTTGCCACCATCCTTGCGCTTGAAATGGTCTTCACGGCTTACAACACAGGCATAGAGCTTGGATGTTGCTGTATGGTTAGTATCAAAGTAGATGATAATTATGCCAATTACAATAAAAATGGAATATCAAAATTTCAAATGACTATTAATTTAATATATATAAAGTAAAAAGTGCTTAATTAATAGACCTCTTTTTTTATATTTTTAAGCCCAGAGAGGTTATGTGGGACTGACATGCAACTATTACAATAATCCAGGACCAATAGCAAATACAGAAAAGAATATTACAATGTTCTAAATGCTCTAGTGTGAGTTGAAAAATGTGAAAAAGAAGAACTAAATCATAATGCCAAAAAGAGCACAGCGCTTGTGCTAGTAATAGCCACAAAAGAATGATCCATATTAAATTTACAAAAGAAATAAATGTGAAATATTGCTTACATCCTTGCATGGCAACCTTGGGTAGATGCTCAGGTTCTATATACTCATGTGGAAGTTCCTGGAAAACTTCTTGAGCTCCCTGGTATAATAAAAACAATGGCATACAAAAAACAACTTTATGTACGAAATTTTAAATGTGTTATCTCAATCATACTCCAATAAAGCCTTTTTGTTCAAACAAAGATATTTCATCAGCTTCTTTCAAAGTTTATTTGAACAAAATAAATCCCTCAAATCTTCATTAAGTAAAATCACTTGTTATAAAATAATACAAGTGAATTATTACTAATTGTGAAAATAAAACAATATATACAAAACACATTTATGCCTAAAGATTTCTTACTTGCGAAACATTGCCTGAGCCTGTAAACACAAAGGTCATTGGTCCAATAGACCTTGGCATTCGTCCCAGTGCAATCTCATAGCCAGCATCTCGTACAGCTTGTCTGGCCATCTCTGTGTTCCTATAGTTATGACTGGGGCCAATGTGCTAAATAAGGAACATCATGCACAAAAAGACTTTAAAAAATTAAGCTTGCAAAAAGGTAGGGTTTTTTTACTCAATATCACTCAGAAGGCTTACGAAAAGGTACGGGTTTATTTAACTAAAGTATAAGTCATAAAGCTTAAATAAAAACTGGGTTTAGCTTTTACCTATAATGTAAATCATAAGATAAGGCTTATAGAAAACTGGGTTAGCTTAACTAAAACAATAGGCCTACCTGAGTGGCTGCTATCAAAGCAAAGAATAAATTAGTAAAACTACTTAAGTAAAAAAAATTAAAATTGCTTCATAAAAGTAAAATAAGTAAAAAAAAAATGATTTACCATAAAGGGAGTATGATGTCCAAGAGCCAACAGCCGAAGACCCATTCCATGAAGAATGTTAATCATCCCTGAAACACCAGCATACTTGCCGAAAGCCACAACTCTAGCTCCTTTCTCATCAACCATTTTCTCATAATCAATCAAACGAATATTCTGTAGTTGAGATAAAAATATTGCATCTAACACCAACAGTTAGTAGAATTATATTTTTTTAAATGTCTATTATCCATTAAAAAAAAAAAAGAATAGACCTTCTCATTAAAATCAATTTAAAACAAATAAGAATTATTAAAAAGTGATTTTAGAAATAAAAATAAATGAAACAAACTTTATCCAGGATTGCATCCAAAAGTGGCATATTGTCCTGCTGAGCCTTGATGGTATGGGAGAAGAAAGCGTATGTTTTATCTCTCATTAAGGAATCAATAGGGACGACCTTCACTCCGATGATGAGTGAAGCTTCTGACATATCCTCTTGAATGATGGCACCCATATCTGCATATTCCTGTTTTAATTAAACAAAAAGACTTCATTAAAAATTATTGGTAGAAATTTACATTTTAAAAATAAGGTATTTATTCAATTTTAGAAATGAGATTTTTAAAATACTATTATCAAGGTTAAACACTTTTAAAGAAAATGATGTTTACCCAATTTTGAAAAAGTGATTATTTAAAACCCTAATAAAAAGGAACACAATGTTTTTTAAAACTCAGATAAAAAGTAGTTAAGTAAAAAAAAAAAAACAAAGAATAAAAGCATACCTTCATACTATAAGCCCTTCTATCAGAAGGCTGCACAATGACTTTTATTCCTGATTTCACCAATCTTCTTATGTGCTGAGGTGACAGCGGCGCTCGTCTCTCCCAAACGTTGACTGTCTCTCTCCTCATAGCCATCACAGGCTGAGACTGATCACTGTACATTTTAATTTGTGCAGCAAAAGTTGCTGGTAGATTTCTTGAACAAAGTCGTGCATTACTGAGGCTATGCATGAGTGATGTCCCAGTTTTGGCCATAACAAACCAAGCCATGGTGAACTTCAAATGTATTTAAATGCTATCTTTCAAAAAAAAAAAGTTTCAATTTGAGTTAGCTTGAGTTTCTTAAATAGTCCATGAGGGTCTGCTGCACAATACTGAATAATTTCTGGAATGAAAATTAGTATATTTTAATTGATAAATCAATAATAATGAAGTATAATTTATGATAATGTTATTCCTTGCTATCAATACTATCTGTCCCAATTGCACAATCTGTTAGAAATTAAAACAGTGACACGCAATATGCTTCCGATATTTTAGTATTTTAGTATTTGTATTACACAAAGGCAGCAACAAATCCTTCAAGAAGTTTTTAAAATAATGCCACTCTTAGCTAGACTATAGAATTATTTGGGATGGTTAATTAGGCTTACTTACAAAGTTGGATAATTTAGACCCTAGCAATGGTTTTATAATTAATGGTGATACTGGGTTTTTTTTTTGTTGCTTTAAAAGTCTACCCAATGAATCTATCTCAGGGCTGTAGGTAGCTTTTAGTCCCCTATCTATTTACCCTCTACACTCAACAATAAATCTGCCTAGCACTGCGACCTTGCCATTACTAGGTTGGGTGTCACACAGTAAGTTAACTGAGGATGTCACCCTACCCCTAAAACATTTTTGCATTTTCGGTTTGGAGTCACTCCTCTCCCCCTATATCTTGCTATCTTAACTGGATAAGACATTGTGAATTTTACATTTTTTTTATGTCACCCACTAAATGGAATGCAGACAGCACCCCCTCCGTCCCCCCTCACCTTGTGAGGTCACTGCACTGTGAGACTGTAAACTGTTTCTATTTGGTGAATTAGTTTATTACTATTTTATTGATTTATTGGCAAGACCAGTGCAGTAGGTCTAAGATAACTGTACACTACTTAACATCATTCTACCTACTCAAGACTAGTAGGTAGAATGATGCAATGTTAAGTAGTGAACAGTTATCTAAGTTACAGTAAGTATCATAGTAAGTAATATTGTAATAATGCTGGATAGTTAGGGGCTTGATAAATTTTAAAGTAACAGAAGCCTGCCAAAGATTACATGTTGGGTCTAGTAGGTTACCTAAATCTATTATCGCTAGTATTAAAATACTAGTTATTAGAATTAGATCTAGGTTTAGGAGGTCTACTTGGACTATTTAGTACTATTTAGATTAGTGGTTCTTAACATGGGTTCAATCAAACTCCAGGGGTTGGGTGAGTCAGTCTCAGGGGTTTGACGGAGGTCAAGACACAACCAACTGATTTGCAATCAGATTGTGTCAGTGTGGACGAGAGCACTAGCAGCCTCTTCCCAAGACAGTTTAATTACTATGTTTTTGTGTGAAAAATCTGTTATAATGGTTTTGTTCTTTGTTCTTTGTTATGTAAATGGTGTACCAGTAAAATATATAGATTAACTACGCCTGTAACATAATGCCCAAATCATCACATTTTCCTGTCGTGCCCAAGAAACATTGGGCAGATGAAGTAGAGTTCATCTGCTTCAGAGACCTCAACATATGAAGGGATAGTGTGGTCAGCACAATGCCCAGCCACCTTTGTATCACTAAGGTGACAGGCAGAGCTGGGCGGACTCAGGGACCTGAACCAGGATTCAAACTCAAGACTTTCAGTTTAGCAGTCAAGCTCTCTACTGTTAGGCCATGTAGTCCCATAACGTTCAAATACGACAGCATTACTATGCTTTTGTGTGAAAAACATGTTTTAATGGGGTTTTTTTTTAACACCCTGATGCTCTTGCACACTTCACTTTGTGCACCAGTAAAATATTAATATAGAATCTATATATATATAGGCCTATAGGGTCATAGGCCTATAACATAACTATATAGTATATAGGTTATATAGGGCAACTCGGAATAGGCTATGGTATTCTTTACATAAATAAATAGATCTAGTTCTAGATCTACTTATTATGTAATAATATATTAAATATAGATCTATGTTTAGAATTTGAATAGAAATTTTATTTTTCCTATTAACTAGATCTACGAAAGGGTTCAGTGAAATGAATGCAAATGCCTAGAGATTTTAGAGGGCCTATAGACTATAGATCTAGATCTAGATATCTAGATAAAATATAGAATGGGGTTCAGTACCTCCAAATCCAACAACAACAATGTTAAGAACCACCGATTTAGATCTAGATCTAGCTGTTGTGTTGTAGATCTAATCTTAGATCTAGCTAGAGTCTAGTAGTTGAGTAGGCCTAATTAATTGGTTGGGACTTTTTGAAATGTTTGGTATGTCCTCTGCAACGCTTGACACCTACCTAGTTACCTAGTAAAGTAGTAACACTAGATCTAGAGATCTAGTAGATCTAGTAGTAGAATTATATATAATATTAGATCTATTATAGACTAGATCTAGGCCTAATGATATTGATTCCAATAGACTTCTTTTTGTTGTGTTTATTCTATTAATTAAATAGATTAAATAAATCATTACACCTAGAATCTAAATTAAATTAACATTTGTAGCAAAACATGTTTGTGAAGCTTAAGTCTAAAAAGAAGGTCATTGGGTCAGGGGAGTTGATTTACTTATCTGCTGAAGCCGACACAAACAGCGATGTTTTTTTTCAATAACATAACAGAGGCAGAAAACATAATTTATATGTTCATGAATTTCTGCAGACTGTGTTTACAGCTAGATCTAGATCTATACATTATAAAATAAATAAATAATTGTTTACATCAAATAAATACAAACCTTGAGGAGTTTGAGAGCTGTATACTTTCAACGTGTAAGTTACTACACACACTGAAAGTTAGCCAATCCGGACACAAATCATTATAAAATATAAGCCAATCAAGTTTCGAATTTTCAGTCACACCTTCAAAATTACGTCGATGTTTTCCACGGGCTCATATAGATCTAGAGGTCTAGGCCTAAGTTTAGCTATTGTGTTTACATTAAATAAAATTGTTACAGTTATTTCATCATAGTTTGTTGACGGCATTTGTTAAATGTAAAAGGGACAATAGATTTATGATAAAAAATTATATTTCTAAAAAATATTATAAATACAAAACTGACACAATGTAGCCTATTAAAGTAAAATTATTTCAATATTTCTTTATGGCATTAGGCCTAAATTATACGAATTATTTGTTAACCTATACATTCTATATATACTATATGTCATAGAAATATCTGAATAGTAATTTTTCAAAGCAAATAAAAAAAATCCATAACGCTGTCACTGTTAATCATTTCTATTTTAGTATTTTGTCTTAGTATAGGGGGATAGGCCAAAATGGTAAATGTTATTTTATTACACTAGGGGTCGTCCATAAATGACGTCACATTCGTAGGTGGGAGGGGGGTCTGTAATTTTGTGACGGTGTGTGATGCGGGGAAGGGGGGGGGGGGGGTCAGATGGTCCGACGTCACACTTTTGCATTATAAAAAGCAATGTTAGAAAACGAAATTTTAGACGTTATTTCGCGTTTTAGAAAACGGTTTTAATAAATTGTAATAGGAATTGAGACAAGATTTTGGAAAAATATCGATGTTTAAAAAAAAATTCAACTGCGATTTTGAGGAAGGTTGTAGGCTGATGTGTGACGTCATTTTAGGGGGAGGTCTGGCTTTTTGTGACGATGTGTGATTGAGGGGAGGGGGATAAGTAAAAATCGTCCAAAAAAGCGTGACGTCATTTATGGATGACCCCCTAGGCTAATATAATTTAGAGGATGGTTCAATAACCACGCGCGTCGACGTCTTTAAAAGACGTCACATATTTTTAAATGCCAATTATCATGTTTACCGTCATGTTTACTCCAGCTAATGTATTTTAAATATTTATTGTAAAGACCACTTAAAGCATGTACATCGGGATAAATAGGCTAATTAATATCGCCTTTGAATTATTTTGTGAAATCATGACCTATTTATGAAGTGAATTTTGAAATTTAGCACCTTAATTAAAAATGGACTGTAGTTTAGGTATATTTAATACTTTCCGTTTCAAGTTAAAAAACAGAATGTTTATTTTTAACACAGTAAGTGTATTCTTGCCTGATGTCGACTAGAATAACATGTTAGTCATTTACAACCAGGAAGAGAGTATTAACCTACAGATGAGATTTGCCCTTTAAAAAACAACTGTTTAATATATAATTTAAAGTATGGGATGATGTAATGCTGATAAGCCTTACTATACATTAATTATATATTTTTACCTAATAAATTCGTTTCGCATGTTAAATAGGCCATACACAATGAACATGAAGTCGGAATGCAAAAAATAATTTATCTGTTGGCATACTAAGAAAGGCATTTTTTAATTTAGCACGAGACGAACCAGCAAGAATGACATTATAGCAGTGGTTCTTAACTTTTGATGGCGCCGAACCCCACTTATATTGACTGGACCCTTCTTAATAGCTATATCGTCCGCACTGACAAAATCTGGTTGTGAATCAAGAATCGGATGTGTGTCGTGTCTTGACCTCCGCCGAACCCCTGAGACTGTCTCACCAAACCGATGGGGTTCGATGAAACCCAGGTTAAGAACCACTGACTTATAGTAGCTCTTCCTAGGATCTCAGGGCAATGACCTGTGAAACCATAATTGTGTTTTGTAATTTCCTTGTAAACTTAACTTGTAACAGCACCTTAGTCTTTGTAACTTTTTGTGAACTGAGAATAAAGTCAAAATAAAAATAAAAATAAAATAAAAAATAATAAAAACGCCCGTTAACATACCACACCTCTCTGCTTGCATAAACAGCGATGGGTTTCCTTCTACTCGATATACTCTCTATTAGACTACTCCTTCTATTTGCCTACAGACTACTCCTGTATACTCCTTCTACCGAAATTTACGATAATTCAAAGCATGGCATCTATTCCACACATAATAAAATAGCCTACTCCACCGTGCTTGGCCACACCATCCCACCCCTCTTCTTACCACCTGTCACTAAACTATTATATATATTGTTAAACCTAGCCTGGAAACTTGCGGCTATTGTTCACCACTGAGAGCAGTAGAACAACGTGGGTCTGGTGGCGCTCACTTGAATTGCCCATTGTTACAGGCGATTTGAAAGCCTTCGTTGTTGATATACACGTGTCAAGAGTAATGGCAGGTCAGAACTGTTTCAATTATCCACCCCCGCCCTCCGGATATCCAGTATTGAGTAGTCTACGTTCAGAGGCGTAGCGAGGGCGAGGCGGAGGTGCGGACCGCACCGGTGACACCATTTAGGGGGGGGGGGGGGGGTAACACCAAGGCAATATATTGCAAAATGTACTGAAGAAAAATGCTTGTGCCAGTTCCATTAATGATTAAATTAGAGTAAATATTCTTTTAAGTACAAATCTACAATATATAGGGTGGGGGTGACACCATGACGTAAACGTGCTAATTTGCTAAATATAGAGAAAAAATGCTACACCCAACTGTATTATTAACAGACTATAGATAAACATCGTTGCTATTAAGTCTGCAGTGATTAAAGCTAATACACATACACACACTCATATATATATATATATATATATATATATATATATATATATATATATATATATATATATATATATATATACAAATGCCGCACCTGGTGACACCCAACCTAGCGACGCCACTGCCTTCGATGTAGGCCTATATCTATTGTTGCCCAACTTTGACACTTGGCTACATATAAAACTAATAATAATTTTATCCAACCCTATTCCCTATTTTCAAATCTTTTATTTCTTGTTATTATCATTATAGGCTATAACATTATAGTTTTATTTCTAAAATTCAATCGACGTATTTTACCTTTTTTTAGTGAGCATCTTGACTTAATTAATGTTGCACCTTGAATAATAGGCATGCCCTCAGCAGTTGACATGGCCAATTAACTCGCCATTGATAAATGTGTGGCTTCTATCGACCTAAGTAAACATCTTCTAAAATTAAACATTTTATAAAAACCTACTAGACCAGCAATCAGGAGACACACCATCCACATCTCACAGCTGGGCTTACAGCTAGGCTCCAGTATTAGATGACGTGATCCACATCTCACAGCTGGGCTATAGCAATAGATGACGTGATCCACATCTCACAGCTGGGCTATAGCAATAGATGACGTGCTTCACATCTCACAGCTGGGCTTACAGCTAGGCTCCAGCAATAGATGACGTGATCCACATCTCACAGCTGGGCTATAGCAATAGATGACGTGATCCACATCTCACAGCTGGGCTTACAGCTAGGCTCCAGCAATAGATGATGTGATCCACATCTCACAGCTGGGCTATAGCAATAGATGACGTGATCCACATCTCACAGCTGGGCTGCAGCAATAGATGACGTGATCCACATCTCACAGCTGGGGTCCAGCAATAGATGACGTGATACACTTCTCACAGCTGGGCTTACAGCTGGACTTACAGCTAGGCTCCAGCAATAGATGACGTGATCCACATCTCACAGCTAGGCTCCAGCAATAGATGACGTGATCCACATCTCAAAGTTGGGCTTCAGCAATAGATGACGTGATCCACATCTCAAAGTTGGGCTGCAGCAATAGATGACGTGATCCACATCTCACAGCTGGGCTAAAGTAATAGATTACGTGATCTACATCTCACAGCTGGGCTAAAGTAATAGATGACGTGATCCACATCTCACAGCTGGGCTAAAGTAATAGATGACGTGATCCACATCTCACAGCTGGGCTAAAGTAATAGATGACGTGATCCACATCTCACAGCTGGGTCAAGTAATAGATGACGTGATCCACACCTCACAGCTGGGCTAAAGTAATAGATGACGTGATCCACATCTCACAGCTGGGCTAAAGTAATAGATGACGTGATCCACATCTCACAGCTGGGCTAAAGTAATAGATGACGTGATCCACATCTCACAGCTGGGCTAAAGTAATAGATGACGTGATCCACATCTCACAGCTGGGCTAAAGTAATAGATGACGTGATCCACATCTCACAGCTGGGCTAAAGTAATAGATGACGTGATCCACATCTCACAGCTGGGCTAAAGTAATAGATGACGTGATCCACATCTCACAGCAAGGCTCCAGCAAAATAGCCTATACTTTCTTTAATAAAAAAATTTTGTCGCTAAAATATGTAAAAGATCTCAAGAGCGACCACAGCTTTTATTTATTAAAGAAATTAGTTTTATTTTCTTATTTTCAGTACATTTAAAAGCTTGAATTGTTGCTATGAAGTTTTTTTTTAAAATATATTTCCCAGGACTAAAATAATAAACATCGTCTTGGATGTGCCGCAAGGTATGTGTGTGTGTGTGTGAGCACATTGCGTATTACATCTATCGGTGGGTAGTACTAATTTTAACCTAGGCACGCAAGGTGCTTATATCCTCTCACATCATGTTGATGATATACCAGGAAATACTACTCGCTGGGAGGTTGAGAAGAAATGTGCACAGTATTTATATCACCGACAGGGTGTAAAAGGATGTAAGCACCGTGAGGATTTTATGTGTAGTAATACCGAATTCTCAGAGGGGAAAGAAACATTTACATAAAATATAGGTCTATATCTTTGCGTCAAATTATAATTATTTAATTCTGTTAAAATTCTTAATATTTGCTCTTTTAAAAATCATTATTATTGTTTTCTAAAACCCGATACAACGTCTAAAATTAGTTTTCTAACATGGCTTTTTTATAAGGCAAAAGTGTGACGTCGCACCATCTGAACCCCCCCCCTCCCCTAATCACACACCGTCACAAAATTACGGACCCCCCCCCCCATGGGTGTAACGTCATTTATGGACGACCCCTAACCCCAATGGCGTAGCGAGGTCGGGTGTCACCCGGTGCGGCACTTAATGGTGTCACCCCCCAGAGACGCAGCGACCCTTCCCTGGGACAAACTTTCAAGTTTTCGATGTGCACCCCCTCCCCCCCTCAAACTTTTGATTTGCACCCCCCCCCTCAAGTTTTTCTCTATATATTTTGCTATTTTTTGCCTTGGTGTCACCCAGAGTTTCTTCCAGGCATCTCTTCGGGGGGGGGGGGGGCGCAGCCCCTCCCCCCCCCCCGAAAAATTTTTACCGCCCCCCCCCCCCGAACGAAATGAAATTTATATAATTTATATAGAAAATATATACTTTTAACAGTGTCCGCCCCCCCGAAGAAAGTTTACCGCCCCCCCCCCGAAGATTTCAAGTGCCCCCCCCCCCCCCCCGGAGAAAAAAGTCTGGAAGAAACACTGGTGTCACCTCCCTCCCCCCCCCCCCTAAATGGTGTCGCCCGGTGCGGTCCGCACCCCCCTCGCTACGCCCCTGCCTAACCCAACCCTAAATCAAACCCTAACCCTATAGCTCTTACACCTAACACTAACTTACCCTTAACCCTTAGACTAACCCTAACCCGTAGGAAGATATAATGCGTTAAAATTATAAATAATAATACCATTTGCACTAATAACAAAAAGAACATAGATTCTAGATCTAATTCTGACAGATTCGATAACATAACAATGAATATTTTAATTTAAAAAAAAACTTTTAAATTATACAGCTCCGTTCAAACATTCTAAAAATTATGTTTTTAAAAACATCATGTATGATTTTAAAAATATTTAGGCCCTAATGCCTTAATGGGTCTTTTGAATAATTTTGAGACTACTCTCGGTTATGTCAAGATGTGAGAGGATATAAGCACCACCGTGCTGGTCGTGCTACTAATAGGCTAAATTTAGAATGAGGCTAGATCGAGGGCAAGGGCTTACCCAGAGAAATCAACAATGGCTGATGATAACAACTTTCACAAGGGAATGAGTTTTCTACTTTTTCTCACCGTTTTAGGATCCAACTTAATACCAGGTAAAACCTAGATCTAGAGTAGAGTATATCACGATAGCTTATCTGTTTTTAAAATTATTAGGCCTAAATTAGTAGGCCTAAATAGACTGTTATTAATATTATCAATTATCATTAGGGCCTAAGTAGTAAGTAAGTAGATCTAGTAAGTAGTTAGTAAGTAGTAGGCCTATTGGCGTATTGAATTGCCTATTACTTACTTACTAGTACTTAGGCCTAACTATTTATTAGTATTTAATATTTATTATTATTTAATATTTTAAATTATTAATTTATTTATTATGCCTAAAAATGCCGATTAAACTAAACGATTTTATTAATATTACTATTACTATTATTAGGCCTAGAATTTGATTAAACAATTTAGGCCTAATCTTGTTTATTAATGTAATAATGTTTATGGCATGGTCCTAAAGTCCTAAAACGATAGATTACCATTCAATAGGCCTAATTATTATAATTAATAATTTAAATACAGGCCCTATTGGCTAGATCTAGGGCCTCGAAGAATGAGATCTAAATACTAAATACTAAACTAAATAGAATCTAGTAAATTATTTGATTGAATTAGACCTCACCAGGTGATACCATTTAATTTAGTGGTGGAGGGTGACACCAAGACAAAAAAAATGAAAAAAAAAAACCCCATAGAAAAATGCTTTTTGCCAGTTTAATTAATGATTAATTTATAATATAAGTTAAAAAGTCTTATTAGCAAATCAAAGATTCCAATAAGGGGGAGGGGGTGGCACCTTGACGTAAACCTGCACTGGGTGACACCCAACCTAGCGATGCCACTGCAATTTGATCTATATATATATATTTAATATATTTGTTCTTAGTCCTATAGGCCCTATTAATTTAATAATATTAATTAAATAATTAGTAGGCCCCTAATTAGGCCTACTCTACTAAAATAAGAGATCTGATATTGGCTATAATTTTGTTATGTGTACTAGTGTACCCATCACAATCTAGTCCTGCACAAAACATTTATAAGCCTATAAGGGTTTCATCAACAGGTTACCAATAGTGTTTTTAAGATTTGTGACCTTGTTTTCTAAATATGAGTTATTTAAATATAAACAAAGCTGTAATATTTCTTGGATCTTAGTTATTGGGGCACAAGTTTTGTCCACACTACCGCCCAGATGCCCAAGGGCGTGTTGTATTAAAGCATAAAATGTACATTAATGGATCAATCAAAAGACTCCACGTGTTAAGATAGCCACTCAGAACTCATGGCGCCAAACTGTACTCTACTGCTGGGACCCGTCTGAAATTTAAGGGTTTTTTATAGCAGAAACTTTCCAAGAGTATTATCAACATCTTCCCAAGTAATATGGCGATCCTTTTAATTTCCTGATGAAAGAACATGTTTCTGGTTTCTCTGTAAACCTTATTAAACTATTAAATGTTGCCTTTCAAAAATTGTAATAATCTTACTTTAGGTTTGGTATTCTGTAGCCTATAAATTGAGTACAATGTTTATTGATTTTGCTTTTACCATGTACATTTATTACATTACAGAGAGTGAGACCTTTAATTGACTGTACAATATCAGCATTTAAAAAAATAAAATAATTATATATAAGTTTATGTTTATTAAAATTTTATAACTATTTTTCAGTGTGTGGAGAAATATGCTCCCGGAGCAATTTGTATAGTTGGTCTAGTTGGTCTAGTTGGTCTGGTTGGCCTGAAACCAAAATTTGTGACAATGGCTGCTGTGGTTCTGATAAGTTTCAATGCTGTCCTGTGTAAGTAATTTCAAATGTCAGTTTATTAAAAATCATTCAAGATATAACTTGATACTTTGCTTCAAACTATTTATATTTCATAATAGGATTATTCATTTTAGAGTAATCTCTAATGCTAATACCAGATTACTACCTATTTAATAACGATTTATAAGGCAGTTTCCATAAGTTTTGAGGGTATGGTTTGGTAGGTAAATAAAATTTAGCACCTGCCTTTGTCTCATGAAAATATATATTTGTCCCCCTCTATGACTTATAGCAGGTTGGGAGGGGGGTGAAAACTGATATTGTGTGATTATCTATGTGTTGAAAAACAAGATTTGTTGACAACATCTGGTGAAACTCAGGTATACAAAAAAAAAATAAAGCGGTAGTGATCTCTCCTAAACTTTCTCAAATATTCTTATATAACACTACCTGGGATGGCAATTACTACTTCCTGTCAACGGAAATTTCTCAAAATTTGAAAGAAGGCGGAGAATTAGATCTTTTACTTACATGTAAAATTTCATTTATCTTTCTGAAATAGAACTCAAGTTATAGGCTTTTGAAAAATTGAAAGTAGAATAAGTCCCACGTCCCGCTACCGGAAATTGTTGAAAAGTTGTTACAGAACTACAAATTTGATGTATTACTTGTATATGAAATTTCATTAACCTAGCTGTAACAGCACTCAAGTTATTGTGTTCACAGACACATATACACACACAGGCATACGGACAGAATTGCAAAACCCATTTTTTTTTACTTGATTACGCATAAAACGCCTAAATTTTGATAAATCTGGATTTATTATTTTTGCCCGATCCTTAGGATTTAAAACTATAGAGGATCACTTCCAACTGTTTGTTGACATGATAAACTAACCCAGGGCCATATTCAGAAAGATGTTTCTATTTCTGTCTTTCACAACTTTCTTGTCAGTTTCCCAAAACAGTCTGCATCTTGCCATTTGCCTTTTAACTTTCCCCTTGTGTTCTCCAAGTAGCATTTCATTTTAGATAGTGACACTATTTCTCATTGTGTCTGTTATTTTTTGTTTGGATTGAACTTTTTGGTTTCCATCACAAACAAATGCCAGTATTGAATATTTTTTACATTCTGTTTTGTAACATGCAACATTAGCAATTTTATGGTGAAAAAATATTTTAAAATATTTATTTATTCCGTAATTTTCTTGCTTCCTATTTTTCAGGAACATTCCATTGGCTGTTGGTCTAAGCATTGCTGCTGTTATTACTGCTGTCATTGTGGCCATAATAGTAATTGTTTGCCGTAGAAGGCGCACAGCTGGTATTGTTTACAGAAACCAACCTGCTCAATCTACTGTTGTTGTTCAAAGTAAGTTTTCTTGGTTCTTATTTTAAATGTTCTTTTCTCTCAAATTCATGTTGGTTTTAAAAATGTATTTAAAATAGATCTATATTAAGCATTAGATCTAATTTAGATCTTAGGAATTATATTTCATGGCTTAATTAGATGCAAAACCTAAGTTACTAAACACATTTTTTGACTTAGCTCTGTGACTTCTTAATGACTTGTAGTATATAACTTCTAGTTACTAAATCCTTGTTATATTTTTTGCCCTATTAATCTGTCTTTTTCAGTTATCAAATTCAAAAACTTGACCAAATAAAATTTTATTGGATGAATACTTGAAAATTGTTGTCAAAGTGAGTTATTGATTTAACAATTGAAACTTGATGTTTGATTTTTTAATCTTGAAAATTTTTACAGGCAACCAAACTTCACAAAGTACAATGGCAGGAGGGGTCCAACCAGGAGCTTACCCCTATAATCCCCAACCAGGAGCTTACCCCTATCCTCCCCAACCGTACAACCCCTACCCCACTCAACCATCCGCTCCTCAGCCATACCCTGGATATCCTCCGCAACCTTATGGAGCGCAGCCCGTAGCCTACCCCCCTCCTGCACAGCCCGTAGCCTACCCCCCACCTGCATATGCTAATCAGTACAACCCAGGATATGCCGAAGCTCCGCCACCATATGATATGAGCCAGCAGAAGAATACTGGCATGGTCAGCCCAAGTTAATCAAATAAATGAATTCATCTTGTTGACTTTTTAAAAATGTTATATTAATGCACTAATTAGTGCATCGTTGTAATGCTTTTTAAAATTTTAATGCATCAAACACAGTATGTTGGGTGGCATTTTAAATCTTTTTTTTATATTATAAAATAAATTTATTTAGGCCCTAAACCCCAAATATTAAATTTTATCAAGCAAACCTTCTCACTTGCTGCATAATACAAAAACTGCATAATATGACACCTCATAAAAATACTAAACAATACTGTCAAAACTCTTGACTACTTAACTGTCACATGGGTAACACAAATGTAATTTTATTATGAACCACTTTTGTAGTACAAACCACATTCCACTCATTTAGAGTCTTGACACCAGTCTGTAAACATTTGTTTTCTGCTGAATCATTCTAATTTTATAATATCCCTCTCATTACATTGCCTTGCAAAGGGTTGACATATTATCCTTGTATACTGCTGTGATTATTGTACTTTACATGTCCAGCTTGTGGTTTATTTTTAATGCAAGTTTCTGAATTTATTTTTCAATTTTAAAACAAAACTATAACATTTGTTTTTTAGAAAAAATTTTAAACTATTATTTTTTTACTTTAATAACTTTCTTGTTGACATGAACTGATTGCCATTTTTATTTTCCTTGTATTCAGCTTTGAATATAGTATTTCACCTATCCGGCCACTGTTTTTGTTATTGCCAAGTATTTAAATTTATTCTTCAATTTTAAAACAAAACTAAAGAGCTGAGATTGACTTTATTGAAACCATTTTTTAAAACTGTAACACAAGCAACAGCTTTTTTTTACATAATTTCTAAATACAATGTCATTTAAAATAGATATTTAGAGTAGAAATTGAAGTATTTTTGTGAAGCTTTATTGAGACCTCATTTTTAACACAGAATGGTTTCCCCTTGGATCTGGGTTATCTAAATATACAAAATTTGTGTTAATAAGAAAAAGTTTTTAATTACTAGCAGTAATTCCATAAAGATATTTCTTTGTATCAATCTGTATAATGCAATCGACTTTTATGACAAACCATTCTGGTAAAAATTATCCTTCCCTTTCTTGAGTGTCTGGGTAGCATATAAGTCAACGTGTATAAGTTTTAATGTAACTTTAGTAGTTGAAGTAATGCCTGTAAAACTTTTTACTGTAACATTGCATCACTGGTTTATCAGTTAGTTTTTACTATTTACTCTGAAACTTTTACAAAACTGCTGGAAATTGCATATGATCTTTAATATATGATTCTTTTTTGCTGAAAGTAATATTTTACTTGACTGTTGGTATAATTTTTTCTAAAATACGCTTTGTTTTATTTACTGCTCCAAAGCTACGTTATTGTTAAAAAATTTTATGTAGTTGAATTTTGGACTAAAACAATGTATTTTTTAATATTTTATTGTTTGGTCCTGCTTAATGTATGATGAATGTAATACATTATCTTTGAAAATTAATTTTTACTATCAACAAAAATTTAAAACAACTGTTTTTTTGTTTTGTTTTGTTTTTCTTATTACTAAACACAATGTGTACTTGATTTTCCCTGGATTTGATCCACCTAAAAAAATGTGATTTATTTTTCTTACACCTGTGACTAATGCAAAAATTTAATGGTGCCTTTTTATAGCAACGGTAAAACATTGCCAATTTTTTTTATTTTTTGTAATTTAAATAAATATATAATGTTCTGTAAAAGCCTTGCATTACAGGCTTCAAAAACTTTTAATTAACAAATGGAAAAGTGTTGTACTTATTTGTTTTATGAATGACATCCCCTAATACTAATGGAGATTACCGAGTTGATGAGAATCCTTCCATCATAATTGTTGCTATTGATAAAAAATTAAAAATTGTGTTTTATTTAGAGTTGCCATCAAAGCAGCTTTACTGTAAAAAAAAAATTAAATTGAAATCTAAAAATAATTTAGAAATTTAGTAATTTTTGAATCCATGTTATAAAATCCAGCAAACTTGAAATAGCTTTTTTTAGTATAAGGCTGTATTTCTATTTATTTTCATCAAACCTAAGTTATAAACTGGTTTCACTATTGTAAGACAAACATTGATTGGCTGTTCAGGAACTCTGTAATTGATATTCTTAAAACCCCACTTCATATTAATTTGTTCTCAAAACTTTGACGATAAAGTGTTTCTCTAAAATGATGGTTTTTCAAACCACATGACAGATGTGCCATTTTTGTTTACATTTTCTGTGATAAAAAGAAAAAAAAAATTGTTACCTAAAACGCTAAAAACATTTAATGCATCAAATATTTAGTTTAAGTCCAACAAAAATCAAACATATTTTTAAAAACCATGTTTATTTTAACAACATCGTTTATGATTTTAAAAATAGTTAATGGGTGTTTTGAATAATTTTGAGACTACTCTGAGTTATGTCTATTGAAACTCCAGAGATTTAATAAAGCCTAAATTTAAAATGATTAACATTATTAACTGAATGTCAGAAAATGCACTAAAAATACTATTATTAAAGCGATTAATTTCACATCATTTTGTTTTTGTATTTTTTTTATTATTATATAAGTATATGAATATGAAATTTTCAAATGGAGATTGTAGTTTACAACGTACACCCTCACAGACTGAAATCAAGTGTCAAGTGATTAGAACTGTTTGCATGGAACTTCAAAGGTGCATGGTATAGACCTAGTTGTAAAAACACAGTGAAAGAAGTCAAATCAAGTTTTTGAGTTTTCAAGTGTGCTGGGCTTCCCTGCTCACATGAAAACCAAAAATGTGGGTCGTATATACTACATAGTAGAAAAGTATATACTTCAATGGCCTCGCAATCATCAATCATGATTAGTTGTTTTTTTTTATTTTTTAAATAGCTACATAATCGGCTATTTTACCCTGACAATCATGCTTGATGCTAGGCCTATATTGTTCATAAAAATTCAATCATGCTTGATGCTAGGCCTATATTGTTCATAAAAATTCAAAATCATGCTTGATGCTAGGCCTATATTGTTCATAAAAATTTTAAATCATGCTTGATGCTAGGCTTATATTGTTCATAAAAATTCAAAATCATGCTTGATGCTAGGCCTATATTGTTCATAAAAATTTTAAATCATGCTTGATGCTAGGCTTATATTGTTCATAAAAATTCAAAATCATGCTTGATGCTATGCCTATATTGTTCATAAAAATTCAATCATGCTTGATGCTAGGCCTATATTGTTCATAAAAATTCAATCATGCTTGATGCTAGGCCTATATTGTTCATAAAAATTCAATCATGCTTGATGCTAGGCCTATATTGTTCATAAAAATTCAAAATCATGCTTGATGCTAGGCCTATATTGTTCATAAAAATTTTAAATCATGCTTGATTTAATAATCAATAAGCACTACCATAAAATCATGTATCAAAGATGCTATAAAATTACTTAATATTTCTAAGTGGTAAACACAACACTAATGACATGCGCCCAATAAGCAGGAGTGTTTATTTCCTGGAGAATATAAGTGACTTGCGTATATCCGCAATAGTTGACCGCAATAAGCACTACCATAAAATCATGTATCAATGATCAAAGATGCTATTTTTAGACACAGATCAACCTGTGAACCGAACTGTAGGCCGTAGGTGTTGGTAGAAAAGGAGTTTCTTTTTGGTTAATAGCCGTACACTGATTTATTGACGATATTAAAAAATAAAACTTTACAACTTAAAAAAAAATTCAATCGCCAATAAGTATTTCAGTGTGTAAAGTTCCACCCATAAAAATTACTCTTTAAGTTTAAGCGCTTATCTTTAAAAATTAGTGTAAACTTTTGTTTTTAAAAGGGTTGTCAGTTACAGGTTGTCCACAAAGTATTGTGACTGTCACATCCTGTGTATATAGAAATAACGTGATTGCCTAGTTAAAGTCTATATACTTAGGCTTTTGTTAGTTTTGTGCATTCAGCAAAATGTCTATAAAGTACTGTGTGAATAATTTTTTTTTAAGATTGTGTTAATAAAAGTTAATACAATTTTTGTTAAAAATAAATGTGATAAACGAACTAAACATATAAGATTTTATCAGGAAACTTTAGTTCCATTAAAGTATCGATTTTTATTTTGGGTCGTAGATCTAGAAATCAAGTAGTTGGTGCTACTTCTTAATAAACCACATCGTTATATTCATGTCGCCTAACTAACAGAGTTAACCATAGGCTAATACAGCCTTGAACCTAATACCCCAGTGGTAACACAAAAATAGTCTTTATTTCAGCAATACAAATAGGCGTACCTAATCAATAATATTCAAAACAACCCTTAACAGCAATGAATACCTGATTGTTCTCATATAAAAAGCCTATAAAATATTTAAGCTCTATAAATAGAACAACGAAATTCCTTTTCCCATTGACGCAACCCCCTCGACAAGACCGATTTCACAAAACTGGACCAAAAAATCAGTGAAGCGTACAGCAGAAGTGAGGCGTTGATTGTTACATGTAGAACGGGTGTGTAGGGCTGTACTATACCTACCATAAGACACACAGCTAGTGTGTACCCGCAACATAAACATGGCAGTCGGAGGCTACGCGGCCTCGAGTTTTGGAACCATTTTATTTGCTGCTTTCATTTCAGGTTTGGTTAGAGGACATTTGTTTTTTCGTCACGTACATTGTCACACCTGGGATTGTCATAGATAGAGGACATTTGTTTTTCGTCACGTACATTGTCACACCTGGGATTGTCATAGATAGATGATAGAGTGCTGTGGTGTTAACAGGAAGTAATATCGGGGTTCGGGGGTTTGGGTTAGGGTTTGTGTTATCTGTTGACATTAGTTATGATGTAACAATGTCTGCTAACTATAGATCTAATATACTATCAGCAATAAAAAAAACCCTTTTATTTCGGATTCATGTCCGGGTATAGATATAAGAGATAATAATGATAAAGTAGTTTGGACCAATATATATAGGCCTATATATATATATATATATATATATATATATATATATATATATATATATATATATATATATATATATATATATATATATATATATGTGTGTGTGTGTGTGTGTATGCTTATAGCCTATTTGAAACTTGCTAAGGCCCTTTGTATGTAGATCCCATTTTAGTTCGAGGTATAAGCAGTGGCGTAGCGAGGTTGGGTGTCACCCGGTACGGCACTTAATGGTGTCACCCCCCCAGAGGCGTAGCTACCCTTCCCGGGGACAAACTTTCAATTTTCGATGTGCACCCCCCCCCCTCCTCAAACTTTCAATTTGCACACCCCTCAAACTTTCGATTTGCACCCCCCTCACATTTTTCTCTATATATTTTGCGATTTGCCTTGGTGTCACCCCCCTAAATGGTGTCACCCGGTTTCGTCCACACCCCCGCCCCCCCCCCCCCCTTTCGCTACGCCTCTAGGTATAAGTGTCTCTTATAGTTTCCTTACTTACTTGTAAGAGACTCGGAAAATATCTTTAAAAGAGTTTCAAATTTTACCGGGTTAGTCTAAAGGACATTTAATACGACACATAAAAAAAGTGACACGAATATTTTCAGGGAAATGACATTTCTATTTTGCTTGGCCTCTCATAGGCAAAGGGATGCAACTAAAAAAATTTAAAGTAAGGTAGACAACTTGGTAAAAACTGCAGAAAAACTTAAATTACACATGCTTATTTTAAACTAAAACAATGTCGGTGCAAAAAAATTATTACATGATTTTAGCTACATTAGAAGTAAAGTTAATTTTTTGGAATTTAATTGACATTACGCCAGACCTCAGTGAATATTTGTTTTCCCGGCGTGTATGCAACCGTGTGGTCAATAAAATGCTCAAACGTATAAATATAGAAAGAGATTATCAACATCGCTTAAGTGTTTCGATACACTGTTTTCAATTTTTTACTTTCTCGAATATAGATCTACGAAGTATAGAAAAATTCTTGTAATCGTGCACAAAAATCACATTAAATTTGGACTATTTTCACCGTTTTACTCCCCAGTCCTTCATCACATCCGGAATGTAGAGGACTTATTTTAATCGGGCAAAAATTATAAATCCAGATATATCAAAATTTTGGCGTTTTATGCGTAATGGAGTCGGAAAAACTGGATTATCCAATTCTGTCCGTATGTCCGTGTGTGTGTAAACACGTTAACTTGAGTACCGTTACAGCTAGGTTGATGAAATTTCATTTATAAGTATTATATCAAGATTGTAGATTCGTATCAACTTTTGAGCGATTTCCGATAACCGAAAGTGGAACTTTTTCTACTTTGAATTTTTCAAAAGCATTTATCTTGAGTACTATTTCAGATGGATAAATGAAATTTCACATGTAAGTAAAAGATCTAATTCTCTGCCTTCTATCAAATTTTGAGTAATTTCCGTTGACCGGAAGTAATAATTTTCGCTATTTCCGATTTCTCAAAAAAAAAAAACGCATGTGAATTTATAAAATACTAATAATAATATTCCGCACTATTTTGCACATTTTATATGACGTTCACTTGGTGTGCAATTCTTTTTTCTACGAGATTTTATTCTATTTTAAAAAGTTTAAGTATTTAAAATGGATTAAAAGTCATGTCTATATCCCGAGTTGCCATTCCCTGTTGTTTCATATTAGAATATTCGGGAAAGTTTAGGGGAGATCACTCAGAGGCGTAGCTAGGGGGGGGCGGGGGGGGGGGCGGCCGCCCCGGGCGCCGACCCTATGGGGGCGCCAAAAGGGGTGGGAAAAATTTTTTAAAGCTGATTTTATGCTGCAGTTTTGAATTATAAACTGTCTAAGTTAAGAAATGTAATGGCTACACGCATTTACATACTGATTTAACTGTTTTCTATCTTGATTTCTTAATGTAAAACATATACTCTTAAGAAACAGTGACCGGCAAAACCGCTTTGAAGCTTATCCTAGATGGGGGGGGGGGCGCTTTTTCGAGACTTAAAACGGAAGAATTTACACTAGATTGTTGAGTCGATAAACGTTACCACTATTAAAAGAAACCAATTGTATTAAAACGTATTGTACGATTGTTGAACTGTAAAATACGTTAGTGACTTTTATCAAGATGGTGCAGGGGGGCGCTTTTAGGCTAAATAAAATAGCAAAATTACACAGGATTCTGAGTAAACAACCTTTAGCTCTCAGAAAGAAACGAATTGTACTGTGCATTGTATAATTGTGTAACATTTTTTTTAAAAAAGTTAGTTACGTTAAAAACCGCTCTACAAACTTTGTCCAAGATGGTTTTGATGAGTGTGTGTGGGGGTGGGGGGGGGGGGGGCGCTTTTTTCGCTAACAAAAATCGCAAGTATTTGTACTGGATTGGTGAGTAGATAACTCTCTTAACACTTAGTAAAGAAACCAAGTGTATTAACGCGTAATGTACAATTTCAATAGCCAGTTTTGTTAAAAAAAAGACGCGACTAGTTCTTTGTAAGATTCTTACGATTCTCTCAACTTCAACGTGAGAGATCAGATACTTTTGATCAGTGTTTCTTCCAGACTTTTTTCTCCGGGGGGGGGGGGGGGGCACTTGAAATCTTCGGGGGGAGGGGGGAGGCGGTAAACTTTCTTCGGGGGGGGGGGGGGCGGACACTGTTAAAAGTATATATTTTCTATATATAAATTATATAAATTTCATTTCGTTCGGGGGGGGGGACGTAAAAATTTTTCCGGGGGGCTTCGCCCCCCCGAAAAGATGCCTGGAAGAAACTGTGTGCGAGAAGGCAGGGCAAATCTGCGAAATCCAAGACTACGAGCTGTTAACATCCGTTGGATTCCAGTTTGTTTTCTCTAGCTTGCTTTGTCATACCATCAACCAATCAACGAAATACCCATGTCGTATTCCAATGTTAACAATAAATATTTCTGATAACTTCTTCTTGTATGTCACTTGTGTGTCCTTACTCTAACAAACTTCGAATCCAACTATGTACCATATCACAACAGAGATCGTTCAAAACTAGAACATAAAAGGTTGGTCTAAACATATTAGCGTTAGCTACAAACTACCCTCTAACACAGATCAGGCTTATTTTTTTTAACTGACATTACTAATCTTTCGCAAAAAAAGTTAAACGCATCTTAATGGGAATTAGATTGTCGTAAAGTTTTAAGGAATGAAAATCATACAATGTAATTATTAAACCTTGTCCGGACTGTAGCATACACGCTTACACACACGCTTACACACACAAATACACTCTTACCCACACACAAGCTTATATATAAACACACTATCACACACACATAATTATACACACACACACACACACACACACATATATATATATATATATATATATATATATATATATATATATATATATATATATATAAATAAGCGGGGGGGGGGGGCGCCAAATTGAAAGTTCGCCCCGGGCGCCGGGAAGGGTCGCTACGCCTCTGAGATCACTCCCGGTTTATTTAAAAATAAAATTATAATTAGACGTTTTGTATTAAATCTATGTATAAGTAAACCATCTTGAATGAATGAAAGTAGGTTACAAGTAAGAAAAAAGTATTACTATTGTAAATATGTATCAGTCCTCACAAGCCGATGATGAAAACCGTAATACTAAAGCGAACATTTAAGGAAAACTGACGCTGTACATTACATGTCTGAGGCGGAAAAAAAAATTAAAATTAAAATTTAAACTTCTGTCAAGTACCGACGAACCTAGGACACAACCCCCCCCCCCCCCCCCACGTCATTTTCAGCCACGAGTGTCAACGATAGTGTCAATAATAGGGCTGATACGAGTCAGGTACTAAATTAAGTAGTGGACAAAAAGCAGGCTTGTAGGCCTACATGTTAGGGGAGGTAATCAGAATGGTGAGTAGTTCTTCCATGTTATTATTTTTTTTTTTTCAGAATGTGCGGCCCAGTGTGGAACAATCAGTAATTGCGCCTACGGCTGCTGCGCCGGCCCTACATGCTGCACGTGAGATTCATAGTATAATATTTACTAACTGACATGTTTAATTATAATAATTTTTTTTTAATTGTCTTAGTCGGATATTAATTGATAATAATAATGTGTCAAACATTAATTGAAAATAAATCAATTATCTGTTGGGTGATTGACGTTAGCTGATATTTAAAAAATGGAAACAGTGTAGTTTATTTAGGTTTGTTTTAAAACGTTTGCTATTGGCTTTTTAAAAATGTGTAATTATATTTACCAAGGAGAGTAGTGTATAAAGTTTATGTTGTGGTGGGGGAGAGAGAGAGAGAGAGAGAGAGAGAGAGAGAGAGAGAGAGAGAGAGAGAGAGAGAGAGAGAGAGAGAGAGAGAGAGTGTGTAAGTGTACATAATAATTATGTGTTATGATATATATTTACATTTAAAGTCACGATTCTGTGCTTTGGCATAAAAATTCCATTCTATTAAAAAGTACAATTATCATTAACTTAAGTAGCATAGGCCTAAACCTAAATGTGATGACATGTTCTGTGGTTGCTGTCTTTTATACTGGAACAATCTCCGTGTTGAAATGTTTACGTCACGTTTGATGACTCTTGTAACCTACTAACCTACTTGCACCTCGTGGCTCCGCCCCTTCCCCTACAGGTACAGCACCTACTACTACACTAACTATGGAATGATTTCCGGTATTTCGCTGGGTGTGACGGGGCTCATCACCATCATCATGACCATCATCATCTGCTGTCGTCGTCGTCGGGCACGCGCCGGGGTGGTGTACAGGAGTGGCCCGGTGGTGCAGTCTGGTGTGGTCATTCAACAAGGTAATAGGTGGTCATTCAACAAGGTAATAAGTGGTCATTCAACAAGGTAATATGTGGTCATTCAACAAGTGGTCATTCAGCAATGTAATATGTGGTTATTCAACAAGTGGTCATTCAGCAATGTAATATGTGGTTATTCAACAAGGTTATTTGTGGTCATTCAGTGAGGTAATATCTGGTCATTCAGTTAGGTAACATGTGGGCATTCAGCAAGGTAATGAGTGGTCAATCAGCGAGATAGTTGTAGTCATTCAGCAAGGTAATATGTGGTCATTCAGCAAGGTAATATGTAGTCATTCATCAAGGTAATATGTAGTCATTCAGCAAGGTAATATGTAGTCATTCAGCAAGGTAATAAGTGGTCATTCAGCAAGGTAGTATGTGGTTATTAAGTTAGGTAGTAAGTGGTCATTCAGGAAGGTAATATGTGGTCATTAAGTGAGGTAATATGTGGTTATTCAACAAGGTAATGAGTGGTCATTCTACAAGTTAATAAGTGGCCCTTCGATGAGATAGTTGCAGTGTTTCTTCCAGACTTTTTTCTCCGGGGGGGGGGGGGGGGCGGCACTTGAAATTTTCGGGGGGGGGGGGGGGTGGGCGGTAAACTTTCTTCGGGTGGGGGGGGGGCGGACACTGTTAAAAGTATATATTTTCTATATAAATTATATAAATTTTATTTCGTTCGGGAGGGCGCCTGGAAGAGATGCCTGGAAGAAACTCTGGATAGTTGTCGTTATTAAATGAGTTAATAAGTGGTCATACAACAAGGTAATAAGTGTGTGTTGAGGATACAAACTTTCATTCATACAAGAAGGGGTCATTCAGCCATGTATAACGTTGACACTCAGCAAGTGGTCATTTAGAACGGAAATTATAGCCACATTCCAAACGTAGACCGACATGTGATCACTTAGTAAGGTAGTAGTGGCTATTCGAAACTCGAAGAGTTTAAGGTATTTTCTAACCACAAAACTTCAGTTGACTTTTTTGTTAGCGTTCCACATTACAGTAAAAGTAAAAAAAGTAAAGTTTCCCTTTCAAACCTGACGGTCTATGGGGCAAGTGAAGTAGAGTTCACTTGTTTCTGTGACCTCGGCATATGAAGAGATATTGTGGTCAGCACTATGCCCAGCCGCCTTTACTTTCCCTAACGTGAGTTAGGTACCCATCAGAGTTGGGTGGACTCAGGGACGATCTACTGACTTGAACCCGGATTCGAACTCGAGACTTACGGGTTAGCAGTCCAGCTCTCTACCGCTAGACCCCCACATTACAGTATTTTATTCCCCGACAGAGAATGAAACGTATTTATCTCCCTTTCAGGTACAGTGCAAACAGGAACCGGATATCCCATGCAATTGTACCCACCCCCCTCTGACCTACCTCCGGCGTATCCCCAGGTCGGATATCCCCATTCGCCCGTTGGATACCAGCCCCCACCCCCTGGATACCAGGAAGCCTTGGCTTGTTACCCTGCTCCCCCCTACCCTGCCCATCTACCCAGCCCTCCATCCTATAGTACGCTGGCCAAGACAGGTGAAGCAGAGTCTACTGGGAATAAGCCTACAGGAACAGACAACACCGGCTTCAAACCGGATTAACAGTATATATATATATATATATATATATATATATATATATATATATATATATATATATATATATATATATATATATATATATATATATATATATATATATATATATATATATATATATATATATATATATATATATATATACATATATATATATATGTAGGTATATATATATATATATATATATATATATATATATATATATATATATATATATATATATTGGGCCTATACATACATACTTATAATAAATTCAGTAAATAACATGTCATAGTCTTGTTTCATTTTTGGCTTATGTTGACTGACACGACTCGGATGAGTACCTTCCTCTACATTTTGGCTAAATTGAAGTCAGTCGGACACAGTGCTGACCCTAATCTTTCACATGTCGAGGTCACAACGTGCCCACATCTGCCTCTCAGAGGTTGCTTTTGTTTACTGAGCTTGGCCATTGGTTTCAAGAAACTACAACATCCTTCAACTTGTCGTGTGCCTATACCCAACGATGGTGAAATCAAGCCGATGTAATTGTCATCACTGAATACTTGTCGTTAGATTATACCCTACTATGTTGTAATCAAGCAGATGTAATCAGATGAGTCTATAATGTTAATTTACAAGGGAGTTAACACTTGTAACTGGTGGGTAATACTGACCAGTCTGCGGTCCACTCTTTACAGTGACAATAATTTTAAGTATGTTTAATTCAAACAAAATAACTAGCATCATAAAAAAGGATATAATGACGTGTAAACAGGCTCGTATACAGTATTTCTTCCAGATTTTTGTCATTACTCCGGGTGGGCACTTGAAATTTTCGAGGGGGGGGGGTGGCAGACACTGTTAAAGGTATATATTTTCTATATAAATTCCATTTTCTTCTGGGGGGGGGGTAGACTCTCTTGGGGAAGGGGGAAGAACCCCACGAATTTGCTGTTGTCCTATGCACCAGTGCGCCTAGGGAAGATTTCATTGTGCAGAAAAAGTCAAACCTGTAACCGGGTAAGGTAATTAAAACAAAAATGTGACGTTTACTGGAATAAGTTTTCGAGAAAAATTCGCACTTATAAAGTATGCTCATGATATAGAAATATACCGTTTTCTTAACATTAAAAAAATGCAACTACATTATTTCCATTTTTAAAACACTTTAAAAGCTGGGCTTAGGATAGACTTAGGGGTCGTCCATAAATGACGTCACACTCGTAGGGGTCGGGGGGGGGGGGGTCGGTAATTTTGTGACCATGTGTGATGAGGGGGAGGGGTCAGATGGTGCGACGTCACACTTTTGCTTTATAGATAAGAAATGTTAGAAAACGAAGTTAAACGTCATTAAGCGTTTTAGAAAACAGTTTTAATAAATTATAATAGGAATCGATCAAAATACTCTATATTTTGACATATTTCAGACAAAATTTTGGAAAAATATCGATGTTTAAAAAAAAAATTCAACTGCCATTTTGAGGGGGATTGTAGGCTGAGGTGTGACGTCATTTTATGGGGGGGGGGGGACTGGCTTTTTGTGACGACGTTTGACTGAGGGGAGGGGGGAGGAGGTAAAAATCGTCAAAAAAAGCGTGAATGACACCTTAGCCTTCTTTGTCCATTTCAGAAAAATTATATCGATCATAAGAACCGTCTTTAAATATGAGATAAAGATTGAAAACGCTGATATTTTTTTGACGAAATTCTGCACTTGTAACGTTTTTTTTTAAATTTTATTTTGTCAAGCAAAAGCTTTTAACCCTGATTCTATAAATGTCCTGGATATTGCTGATAGGGTCAGGACTAGAGAGATCTAGATCTAAATTTAGAAGTGGTCTAGAGTCTAGTGCTTAAAAGAGGATATGTTTTTATCATGATATGTTTTCATATGTTTTCATCAGGATATGTTTTCATCGAGATATTGTTACATCAGGATATGTTTTTATCAGGATATGTTTTCATATGTTTTCATCAGGATATGTTTTCATATGTTTTCATCAGGATATGTTTTTATATGTTTTCATCAGGATATGTTTTCATATGTTTTTATCAGGATATTTTTTCATATGTTTTCATCAGGATATGTTTTCATATGTTTTCATCAGGATATGTTTTCATATGTTTTTATCAGGATATGTTTTCATATGTTTTTATCAGGATATGTTTTCATCGAGATATTGTTACATCAGGATATGTTTTTATCAGGATATGTTTTCGTATGTTTTCATCAGGATATGTTTTCATATGTTTTCATCAGGATATGTTTTCATATGTTTTCATCAGGATATGTTTTCATCGAGATATTGTTACACCAGGATATGTTTTTATCAGGATATGTTTTTATCAGGATATGTTTTCATATGTTTTTATCAGGATGTGTTTTCATATGTTTTCAGCAGGATATGTTTTCATATGTTTTTATCAGGATATGTTTTCATATGTTTTCATCAGGATATGTTTTCATATGTTTTCATCAGGATATGTTTTCATATGTTTTCATCAGGATATGTTTTCATATGTTTTCATCAGGATATGTTTTCATATGTTTTCATCAAGATATGTTTTCATCAGGATATGTTTTCATATGTTTTCATCAGGATATGTTTTCATATGTTTTCATCAGGATATGTTTTCATATGTTTTCATCAAGATATGTTTTCATCGAGATATTGTTACATCAGGATATGTTTTTATCAGGATATGTTTTCGTATGTTTTCAGCAGAATATGTTTTCATATGTTTTTATCAGGATATGTTTTCATATGTTTTCATCAGGATATGTTTTCATCGAGATATTGTTACATCAGGATATGTTTTTATCAGGATATGTTTTTATCATGATATGTTTTCATTTGTTTTTATCAGGATGTGTTTTCATATGTTTTCATCGGGATATGTTTTCATCAGGATATGTTTTCATATGTTTTCATCAGGATATGTTTTAATCGAGATATTGTTACATCAGAATATGTTTTTATCAGGATATGTTTTCGTATGTTTTCATCAGGATATTTTTTCATATGTTTTCATCAGGATATGTTTTTATATGTTTTCATCGGGTAATGTTTTCATATGTTTTTATCAGGATATGTTTTCGTATGTTTTCAGCAGGATATGTTTAAGGTTTATAAAACGTCAAAATTTATACATTTCTCAATGGACACAATAGACAATGTTCTCGATATTAACTAAAGGGCTCGTTAAATATTAAAAAAAAAAAACAATACACGATGTTATTAAAGTGAATACGGTTATAAAAACCCTACTGTTTTTTTTTGTCGGACTTTTCTAAAGATCGGATGTAGGTAAGTTGATGTTTTTAGTATTTTCGGTTACTACCAGATTTTAATCTATTGTCACAGAAAATGTAAATAAAAGAGTAAAAATTTATCGGTGTAGTTTAGAGAACAAATCACTAAAAAATGGGGTTTACAGAAGATCGACCACGGTGTTTCAGTATAGCCAATCTATACGAATAACTTAATTTTTTTTCCATCAAGCCTACATTATAACCAACAGTTTCACCTTCGTATAAAAATGTCGAAGTTCTCTGCATTAGCAACTTTTATACTATTGAATGATTGATTCTTAAAATACAAAAACTTTTATCTCAAGCTTCATTTTTTTACATCATCTAAATAGGCAAAATTAACAAAAACACAATTCGTATCCTTGTTAACGTACTGATGAAAGGATTTTTGTCAACTCTTTGATGTCCATTTAGATTTTTCGCACGATTATAATAAATCATTTATATTCCATTGAAAACTGTCAAAATATCTGTTAATTATTCATCCCGATTACAATTCTTCCTCTGTACGCTGCATACGAGAAAGTAAAAATAAAGTAAAATTAAAGTAAAAATAAAGTAAAAGTAAAGTAAAATTAAAGTAAAATTAAAATGGATCGCCGTTAGTAAAGAGTTGTGATGAAAATCGAAGCATTTAAATAAAGATTTGTATAATTTCTTCCCCCCAGGAACACCTATTAAGATATAGGTTTTCAACGGTACAATTGTATCAAGGGTGCTCCTGTCGGTGGAGGGGGGTAGAGAACATGACTAGCCTTCCATTTAAGGAACAAAAACGTATGTGAATCATGTTTTTGTATGCGCTGGCTACTTGTAAATTATAACATGATTGCGCGGGAAGTTTACAACTGCTGCGCGGTAGCGCAACCGCACAGCTTAGAGAGAAAGTGCGTAGGATTGCTAACCCTTACGTCCAGATTCCTGATGTCATACGATGTCTTTTACGTAAGGACACATGTAGCAAACTGCTGACGCTATTTATTTAGACACAGAAATAAATGTTCAAACCATTAGCTGGTCGTAAAGGGGTTGTCTATAAATGAGGACACACACATGGAAAGAGGGGGGGGGGGGGGAGCGGAGGAGCAGACTTTGGCATGCCAAGTGATAAGGAGGTGGGGGGGGGGGGGAGAGGTTAGAAAGTGTAACATCAACATTTTGATTTTTTAAATGTTGATTTTTAAAACGAAATTCAGCGCTTATTTATCATGTTTTAAAAATATGTATTTTATAAATGGAAATAAAATTGATCAATGCGCCTAATGTTAATAGCTAACATTTTTAGAAAGATATTGAAAATTTGTGAAGGTAAGTCGATTGGCAACATGTGTATCACACATTTGTTTTAAACGTTGTTTGTTGCTATGTCTATATTTTAACTTTGATGTCCTTCCATAATGCTAATTTAATAAAACAAATCGATGTTCAGAAAAAAAAAATCAATTAAGACTTGATATGTTTAAATTAAAATAAAGCTGTAAGAACAAAAGGGCGACGATTTATTTTTAAAAAAATTACAATTAAAAAAAAAAACTATAATATTTAAAAAATGTTTAATGAAAGAAAGTCTTTGTATTGGACAAACACACAAAATAAGGAAAGTTGGTCTGTCTGTAACGCTCCATTTTACGAGATAACATATAAAATACAGGGGTGTGATAAGCATAATTGCTTGTTCTGATCCAGGGGCGTAGCGAGGGGGGGGGGGCGGGGGGTGCGGACCGCACCGGGTGACACCATTTA